CCAAACAAAAGGCTCAAAACAGCCTTATACTTATATCAAAGTTGTTGACACTAATACCACCTATAGTATCTATAGTATCAAACTCAAACACAGCGGCCTTTCCAGTTGCTGCTTGATGTTGATGGTTTGCCTGCACTTTGCCACCTGGGCACATCTGAGTTCAACATCTTCAACCCGTGCCCAGGGTGCCCAGGGTGCCCAGGGTGCCCAGGGTGCCTGCCATCTCACTGACCTTCTCACCCAATCCACTGGTGGCCAGATCATGGATCACCAGCTTCGCTTGAAGGACTTCGTTTGGATGAAGCTCTGGCCTCATCAAAAAGACCATCTCAGCTCTCAGAAAGCCTTACCCGGTTGAAACATCGGCCAAAACTCCGAATACTCCGAGTTCTGGTAATTTTCTAATAAATAGTTTTATGTTTTATCTGTGTTATGCATATCTAAACTTACAATTTTACATAATTCCAATATACTTCATTCCCCATAGATCTGGGACTTCGTGCGCTGTGGGCGGCCGCAGTTCTGGAACCTGCAGCGATGCTCGTGTCGTACCGTGTCGATATGCACAGTCTCGTCACAGTGCTCCAGTGCTCCCTGCCTTCAGCAAGGCTTCCTCCATGTGTTCCACGAGTAACTGTGCCTGGGTGTTCTGTTGCATGAGCTCCTTCTCGATTCGTGCTTGACGCTCCAAACGTGCATTGGCACCTCGTTCAAAAGAAATGTGGGAAATCCTGCGGGAGGTGTCAATTGTGATCTTCCGCGACAAGATCTCTCAGCAGCACTTTGCTTCCGCAGAACAAACATGTACATACATGTACATACGCGTTCCCAGGTACGTGTACATAGGATTACGTAGGTACGTAACACAACAACAGGTGTGTATGGTATGTATGATATGCATGGTAAGTATGTAAATATCTATGGTAAATATCTATGCATCTATATGTATATGATTGTATATGTATCTATCTATCTATCTATCTATCTATCAGTCTGTCTGTCTGTCTGTGTATGTATCTCTATATGTGCATACGTACTCATGTATGTACAGATGTACGCATGGATCCCTGCATGCATGCATGTTTGTGTATGTGTGCTGTTATGTGTGCGGATGTGTATATATGTCTGCAAGAGAGAAGGAGAGAGAGGGAGAGAGAGAGAGAGAGAGAGAGAGTGAGAGTGTGTGTGTGTGGATAGGTGTATGTGGACAACTTAATCTTGACACCACCTCTGCATAGAAATGCAAGTGCATGTATAATTATCTTTAATTGGACACACACACACATATATATATATAGATGTATAATGCAATACATGCAAATGTGACTTTTCAGGACAACGGCAATGCACTCTATAGACCGACATGTGGCTGTGTGCTACTACAGGTAGAAAATGGTAGAAACATCTTGTAGAAACATCCTGCAGAGGATGCAGAGGAACATTTTTGGAAATGCTAGTGATTTCCTGAAAGAGAAGTGTTGTACTACCTTGCTATGGTGCACTGGTCTCAGCCAGTCCATGCCACTAAGGTCCAGGCGAGCATCTTTTCTGCCAATCTTCGATTGTTGCTTCCTCAGTAACACCAGGACCGTTATCAGCCGTTATCACTCTTCATCCCATGTTCGCCTTCCAACGATATATTGTGGACGGCGATCGTGGGTGTTCCTTTTGGGAACACCTCATCATTCAAACCAATTCTCTTGCTCATTGATCTCACTGCAACGAGTATTTGGTTGGATACTGGGACTGTCTTTGCACAGAGATTATGACCCATTATGGCCTATTATGGCCTATTATGGCCTGTAATTCAGGCAAACACCCGTGGATGTGTGGATGTGTGGACATGATTGGATATGTGTGGGAGTCCCCAGGGAGCGACTGACACTCCAAGGGACGCTCGGTCCACTCGTTCCTTCTCCTTCTTCAAGCGGAGCATCTCGTCTGCCATGCGTCCGGCTTTCTGACGCTCTACCTGTCGGTACTCGCATCTCACGTGTGACACATTCCGAAGTGGTTTTGGTGCTAGCTGCTGATGTAAATCATATGTAGATATATCATGCAATTCATGCATATATGGCACAATATGTTTTGCAATATCTTAATAATCTGAATAGAATACCCACATCTTCAGCTGTCTTCGGCTCAAAGTGTGGAAGAACAAATATCTTATGGTTGATGATGGTAGGGGATTTTATCGTTTATATGACTAATCTTTCTGTCTGGTTGATGCTCCCTAAATGTGTTGTGCCCTATCTCTCTACCTACCTCTGTATCTCTTTGTATCACTCGTTGTATCACTCGTTGTATCTCTTTGTATCTCTTTGTATCTCTTTGCATCTCTCTGCATCTCTCTGCATCTCTCTGTATCTCTCTGTCTCTCCCTCTGTCTCTCCCTCTGTCTCTCCCTCTGTCTCTCTCTGTCTCTCTCTCTCTCTATCTCTCTATCTAAGACTCTATCTATATATATATACATCTCTCTCTCTCTCTATCTATCTATCTATCTGCCTATCTATCTCTATATATATATACACCTATATATTTAATATATACCTATCTATCCCTATATTTCTCTAAGACTCTATATCTCTATCCCTGTATATCTCTCAATCTATCCCTCTATGTTGTATTTATTTGTCAATCTATGTGTCTATCTGCCTATCCACCCATCCATCCATTTATTCATCCTTCTATCCATATACACCACAACACTCAAGGGGGGGGTCAGGTTTGTCTTTGATTTGTTGTACAGCAGCTGCTAGGCTTTGCATTCATGCTGGGCTAAATTGGCAAGAGTTGTGTGGGTCCTGGCTTTCGTTCATTCTCCAATGCGCAAGGCATATAAATTACAAAACATATGAATTCATATTGAACACATATGAAACTAGAAACCACCGTCTGGAGCATTTTTCGATATTTTTCGCATTTCGCGCCTCGATTTGCCACTCAGCAGGAGGCGAAGTAATACCTTTGTAGACCCTGTTCATGGCCATGACCTTGAACACAGCCGCCTAAGTCGCAAGGCCAATTTTGGAGCACGGTATACCTCGGAATGGCCATTTCAATAGGATAATAGGGATGAAAACATCAGGAACATGTCCGGTCCTTCATCTTCTCTGCGGGCGTTCTAGTCCCCAAATGTTTCGCCTCAAGGTCCGACAGAGTTTGTTTTTGCGCTATGGTCATCCCACCATCATTGGGGATATCATGGGTATATCAACTAACCCCTACGAATGGGGGCATGACCGTCCGGAGGGGAAACTGGTTTCCCACATATCATCATCTCCAGAACAGATTGGACATCATGGGGCCAGCAAAAACATTAATCTACAATATTTAGCTTCAAATAGATAAAACATGTTGGACTATAGTATCTATAATTATCTATAGTACTTGGTCACGGTGGTATTCTGAATCCAGTGGAGTTTCTGAATCTGGCTTCTTTCATAGTACTATGATCTCCAGAAACATGCAAACACACACACAACAAACAACCTGATGGATTCTGACCCTGTCTACACCAAATTTCTCAGCCTTTGTGTCTGGCACGCCCTCTTGTAGCATCTTATGTGCAAGTCATATGCCATTGTCATGAATCAGGATCCATCTGATTTTTGAGCCAGGGAGCCTGCAACAGCTTGTCCTTCCACTCAATTGGGTTCCATTCAATTCGCCTGTGGTCATGGCAAATGGACATGGAATAGCTGCTCAACACGCAAACGTCTTTACACAATGATCAATGACATTTGGCATCATTTGGCCTTTTGAGGCCTGCTTAGTACGCACTACTAATCACTATTATAGTATCTATTGGTTTGCAATATTTTGCAGTTTACAACATGCCATGGCCATCCACCCATGGGCTGTGTCTGTTAAGCCATCCGCTCTGACAGCAAAATTTCAAGTTCACCCCCACACCTGACTCCAGAGAATTTCACCGATGCATCTCCGCCATATGCATATCGCCTCCATCAGCTTACTGCTTGCGGATTGATGATGGGTTGAAATGGTGTGATATAGCCACTGGTCATTGCTAACGTGAAATGACCTCCAGAAGCATTATGAACCATTGGGATCTATTGGAATCGATTGGGATTATCATCCCGTCATGGCGCCTTTCGGTTCTAGTTGGGTCCCAGCGACTCTGAACCTCAGCCGAAGTTGGATCGCTTGGATCGCTTGGATCGGGGAAGTTATAACTCAGCTGGTGGCATTGCCCGACAAGGACTCCTGCGAATCCTTTCGCCAGCTCACCACGGTGCAACACGGTGCAACACGGTGCAACACGGTGAAATTGCTTCAAATCGAACTTTGGACGCTTTGGAGTTGTGTGGTGCCCATGGTGCCATCTGTCCTGCGACTCCGCTTCAGAGAGGGAGTCATCTTCATAAGCACGGTAGCCCTGCACCTTCGACTTTGGTACACTGCTACCCTCCAGCTCACGTCATCTCACATCATCTCACATCATCTCATCGATCATCAATTCTGTCCAGTTTGGTCCCATGTAATCCCATACAGTCCTAAGTCGTTTTCTTCCAAGCCTCTGCAGAACGAAGCGCCGACAGGTTGAAGCTTCCAATCTCGGCGCGTTGGGCATCGCCATGGAATCGGATTCGCGTTGCACCGCGGAGCGCAACTATTTCACTATCTATTGCACGATTATATTAAAATGATTATATATAATATAACTATATACACATACATGACATATATATATATAACTATATATATATATATACACACCAGATTCATAAGTCAAACTCCAAGAACACGTTCAAAGAACAAGCCACTTGACATTCACTAAGTCACTAAGCCAATTTCACTCTCCGCATTTGGTTCTAAAAGGATGCGGAAATCGGATGAGTTGCCGACCTCTGCTGAGAAACGTTGCAAGGCAGGTCGGTGTCCTCCAGCTCGAGCTGCAGCGGGCCCTTCTAGCCTTCTACGAGGCGTTGCAGTTGCGGTTTCAACATTTTTCAAAATTTGTTAAATATTATGAAATAATATGTTTCAAATATGTTCAAATCGTGTGGCTTCAGAATGCTTCAGAATCCACAGGTTCTCTCTCTCTCTCTCGCTCCTGGTCCTCGGTCTCCCCCAGTCTACCCCGCTCTCTCCCTTCCCAACATCATCTGAGTATATGCTGATTATACTATAAGTGTCCGATTGTGTTTGCAACTGCGAATGCAATTAGTGTCTAATCTCAGCATATGGCGGCCCCTCGGCCTGTATGTCTCAGCTTGAGCCCCGGCTCGAAGCGGCACCCTCACCACTCCCATTACTACATGCTATTGCTATTGCATGCTATTGCATGCTATTGCATGCTATTTCGGCTATCTCTGGCATGGCATTTTTGTTGCAAATTTGAGGTTGCAACGCCCAGGGTTCATGCAGCTGATAAGCCGGCCGGGGCTTTGGAATCTCGGGCCTCGGCTTTCAGCAGCGATGTCATGTGACTTGCCGCGGCCATCTGAAGCTCCCGCCGGCCCTTCACTGGCTGTCGCGGCACCTGCCAGTCTGATGGTCTTTTTCCTAGCTGGTCCCAGTTGCAAAGCCTCCAGAAACTTTAATAACATTTATATAATAACTTATATTATATAAATATATATAAATTATATATATATCTTATATTTGAATTATCATGAATTATCTGAAGGGTGCCATCCGCTACTATCATTTGCCACCCTCGCAAATTCAGAAAGCACTGAAGCGGCTGAGACGAAACTATGCTAAACTATGCGAAACTAGCATTCAGAACATGAAGGGCAGTTGATGGCAGTCGCCTCCTCCTTTGAACTGGCTGGTGCAGATTGTCTAAGGTCCTGAAATGCTTGGCATTGGATTGCCCACTATCATACACTTTCTGAGGTGGTCCTTGTTTGTGAGGAATGAATTTATCCACCCTTGGGCCTCCAGGTCCGAATCATCATCCTCACTACCTGGCATCTCAAATTCCTAGGGCTAACCACCTCTCCATTTGCTGGACCTACAAGTAACTGTCAGGTAATCATAACCACACCAGCATGCCATGCCATGCCTTTGGCTTTTGGAGGAACTTTTTGCTTTGGTGGCATTACCTCAGAAGAAAAAAAACACTGAGCCCGAGGGCCCGTTGGGCTCCACATTTTGCATCAATTGTGGCCTTCTCACACACAATCTTTCGCTGCCTTGGAGAACATGGTGCTGAGGCGAGGGGCTTGCAAAAAGGAAGCTCGTCCATTCGCGAAGTCCCTGCACCCTTGGCCCTTTGGCTCCCTTGAGCCAGTGAGCTTCCAGTGATTGGATGTGATTGGCTACGACATCATGAATCTCATGAATCATCACAAACAAATGTCTTTGGATTCTGAGGTCAAACGCGTTTCATTGTTTCTTTTCCAAGTCATCCATCCTCATCTCACAAGCACGTTGGAACTGATGGTGGGCACTGTGACGCATGTAAAGCGCGGACCATCGGGAGAGGAAGTTCGTCGCGCGGCCTAGAGTCACAGCAGCTCAGTCCCTGAATATAGAACACGTCAAAGCACTGCCCCGCCGATTCCAGTCATTGCGTCTGCAACCTACTTTGTATATTCTTGGCAGCATCATCGAGAGTCAATGAGAATGGAGACATCAACCTTTCCTGCGGTCCAAAATGGTCCAAAGTTTAGAGCTGCTGTTCGCCCTGTCACTCCTCCATGCCTGAAGGAACAAGCTGGCCTGTGGAGATTGCACGTGATTACCTGGTTGCTGATGGCAAGAACTTACAGGTCATGGCATGTCATGGCACAGCAATATACAATGTGAGATGACATGTCATGTCGACATGACACGACACGGCCTGACACGACATGACGCCGTCAAGCCGAGATGCCCCTCCAGGTTTGGTACGAAAGCCATGAGCTGGGCCCGAGCCTGTGCAAAGTGGGCTCAGCTCAGAAGAAAACTCAGCTTCTTTGAGAAGTCCCAGTCTATCTCAATCTCATTTTCTCGAAGCCGACCTTCATTTTGGACTCCGACGTGAACCATCTGAACCTTGATGAACCTAACATCCTGCTCCAAGCCTGCTTATGGTCGTGTCACTTGCCTCAAAACAAATGCAAATGCAAAGCAAATGTGGGTGACATAGTACTTCTGTATCAGGTGATACATGGATACCAAAATAGGAACTAGGAGACCTAGGACGCATAGTACGTGTATGTTTGTATCATATACACGCGGATATTTGCGGTACACATGATCTTCATATCTACATCAGTCTACCAGTACATCTTTGGTGAGGATGAATTAGAACTAGATTTTAAGATAGACAACATAGATGGTAGCCATTATCTTTATTAATTACATAGTTATTGTCATATTGTCATTCAAATTTATATATTTGGTGCCATATTGGATAATCTACAGTAATCTACAGTAGCCATTGGCGTCATAGCACTGCCAAGAAACGCGGTAAGCATCTGAGAGTTGCCGCCCTGAGAAGGACATGCTGAGACAAAATACCTCCGAGCAAAAGTGCCACATTTATCAAAATGTGAAAAAATAAGAAAAATACGGAAACATATGGAAACGCAACGAAACGTACATAAAAACAGCAGTTTTAACGAATTTTAGGCGTGTTTTAAACGTATCATGTATATGAAGGTTGCACATGGCCTCTTCAGCAGTGCAAGCCGTAGAGACAGGACTCCGCTGCCGCAGGAGATCACCTGTCGCCACTGTCACGACAGCATGTGGCCAATGCAAGCCAATGCAAAGGGCGGCTCGTGTACCGTACCGAATATGTCAATACGGAGCCATGTCCTCCGTTTCAAGCCACTTCAGACGCTTGTTTTCGAAGCTATGAGATGCTGCTTGGATTCAAAAGACTACTTGAAAGTGACTGAAATTCAGTACTGAATGACTGTGCCGAATGTGCTCTCATGTGACGACGGACTTGGAATACAAATGCTTCAAATCAGGAAGTCCAGCGAGGAAGTTTTTCACTTTGTGAGTCATCCCCTTCTTCTTCTTTGGTGCCTGGGTGCAAAGTGAAAGTGTTTGCAAACCAGTCAGCAATATCCCAACCTCTATCCACAATCACACGCACACACACATCCGACATCTCACCTCTCATATCCTGTCACCGCACCGTGCACAGCACAGACTAGTTCAAACAAATTCAAGCATTCTTCAGGTTTCAGGTATAAACAGCATGCAGCGTGAGTATGTGCATGATGATTCGGCAAGGTCGGGGTGGAACCAGGGAACCAGTGCTCGATCCCTGTTAAGGAAAACTACACAGGACTTACATTCTCATCTCATAGACAAATCAAAGAACCTGTTTGTGGGACCTTGTGGTATATTGTGAGGTACCCAGAAAATTCACATGTGTCTCCTAATGTCTCCTATGGCATAGGCATAGTCCGATCGTGCTCACATCTGCCCACATGTGTCCACACGTGCCCACTTGCACTATCTTGAGGGTGGATTTATTATTATTGTTATTACTACTATTCTTTTGTATTTTCCAGTCTGGGGCAGTTTTCCTTGCTATTTGCTGCTATTTGCAGCATTTCGGAACCAACATCGCAAATTTGGGGAGTAAAACCGCAAATTTTGGAAGGTATTTACAACATTTTGGTGTTCACCTTTTTTTTAATGGTTTTCAACGATGTCTGGATGGTTTTCATCGATTTTTTGATGGTCTTCAGTGATGTTTCCATGGTTTCAGAGATTTGTTCAATTTCTTCGATGGTCATAGCAGAAAAACAATACCTGTTCTCTTATGCAATGCTGTAGGTTCAATGTGGTACTCAGGGTGTATGCAATGCACAACATGCACTCTCCGCAAATCAGCACCTTCTGAACATGTAGAATGTAAGCTGAGGAACACGCGTGAAACCAAAAACCAAAAACCACGTGGGCATGCAAATGGGAGATTTTAGCTCCAAAATGCAAAATGCAGCAACTCAAAAGGGAAGCTGCAGCACTGGAAAACCAAAACAAACAGAAAACAATCCTCAAAAAAATACACCCTCCCTATCTTAATCTATCTTACAGTTCTTACATGTACAAATTTACAAATCCCAGCGGAACAGCCATGGTGCAGGTGCCGCTTCCAACAAATCCGCGGACAGCGGAACCATGGAGGCTGCTGGCTGTGCTGCGGGTGCTGCAGTCAGTCCCACGGAGCTGAGCGCTTGCGAGAGGACATCGTTGGTGGAAGCGGCTTCGACGTTGGAGGTCTGTGAGGTCTGTGTCGTACCAACCTGGACTTGAATGACTTTAGAATACTGTGTTACTATTACTTTTATATATTAAAATCATATCTTATAGATGTTCGAACCCTCACTATCGTGTGTGCTGAAACACGATGTTTCAAAATGATCAAACGGTGAATGCCATGGATTGCAAAACGCTCGGATCCTTTTTATCTATCACTTGGCCCAGTGCACTACGGTCCATGCATCAAATGAGATCAAGGTCATCCGCATCAACGTTCACACTCGAGTATCTCTTTAATCTTGATCTCTCAACATCACGTAAAGTTGCTGGAGCCACTGATGCGGTATGTTCATAAGCTTGTTGGGGTATTTCGTCAAGCCGTCTGCCCACATCAGCTGCGTAGGAATCCAGTGTGTGTTCTCCCTTGTGATGCATTGCTGAATGCTTCGTACATAGATGATTGCCCGTTTATCATCTACTGCAGGGTTTTCCGTTTTCAGCCACAATGCTATCATACAGTGATTTGCGGTCAGTTACTTGAATCATGCGCAGCGGTGAGGTGATTCTGAAGGAAGGTACCTTCTGCAAAATCTCTGACAGCATGAGGTTGCAAAAACTTGATCTATCGAAGTGTCTGCAGCGCTAGCCTCAGCCGCTAGGGTACTTCTGCAAGCTCTCCCAGAACGAGAGCTCTTCCAGTCAATCAAGCATGCATGTGTCGCCACATCTGTTGCCCTAGCATCCGTGAGCATGATGAGACATCCGTGTTGCGAAGCATAGTTTTCAGCATTTGCCCAAAAGGAATCAGCATAGGTAACCGCTATGGTTGAATCATCGATTGCAGCGGGGCTCATCACGAAACCTTTATCACTCGTTTGTCTCAAGTGATCCACAGCGTCATACACTGCCATCAAGTCGGCATAAGTGGCCTTGCTTCCTTTGCCATGCAAACTCACAGTGGCGGCCACATCAGGTCTGGTTTGGCCTGAGACCCATTGTAAGCAACCTGCTACCGATCGGTACTCAGGAAAATCACTTTGCTGGAGGCTGTCGCATTTCTTCCCTTTCACATGTCCACTCCTGAAAGCCTTGATAAACATTTCCAGCTTGAGGTCCAAAACATGAACTGTCGCTCGTGGTCAAACCTCACATGGATTTCCTTTCCCTTGAACCCCAGTGGTGTCTCTGTGGTCAGGGTTGTCTGACTACCCCAACTGAAAAGACCCAGCAGCTCTTTCTGGCCATAGTGATCACTAAAGGTGACGAGAAAATCATCAACGTAAACAACTGCTACTGCCAGCAAAATCTCAGAATGGTATCCATTGACCTTCTTGCACAGGTAAAACAGCATCTTGTCAAGGCTATGTTGGACCCATGCGCCTTGCTTCAAACAACGGCAAACATGTAAAGTCCACGTCCGTGGTGCTGATGCTAGGCCGTAGATGTCGCCTTGTATGAGGTAAAGTGGTGCGGGGAATATCTTAGCTCGAATGCTGACCTCATCCCTTGGTGGTGCTTAAAAAAAGTGGTTCTTCTCGGGATTCTGGAACTCCCTGCAAAAAGGTCGTCACATCGCCAGTCCATAGATGCCATTTGGTGCCATCCCGATTCATTCTGCCATTTCTGCCAGAAATGAAAATGGCATACACGAGCATCTCAGCTTGCCTCGTGGGTGTTGCACTTTCCCTGCGCAGGGAATACAAATCTGGATCGTTGCATCCCAGAGCCACTACGCGGGCTTTCGCCCAAAGTGGGCCAACATTCTTGGCTTTGTCTCGAAAGGCAGCACGGAACTTCAAATCTTCTTTCTGCCTTTTGCCACGGGCATTATCTGAGCTGCGGTTTTTGCACCCAAGGCCTTGACGGAGTTGAACTTCATCCATGACTTCTGCTCATCCCAGGTCCCAGGCCCAGGCGGCCGAGATGAAAGCAGCCAGATAGTCTCCCCCACGATCAACAATCACACGCCGCGGTAGCTCTTTGTCAAGTGTGAGTGGAGTTTGTGGTGCTGTGGAAGTAGACATGTCGTCTTGTGAAGCATCAGAGTCTTCACTCATACCATCATCTTCATAGTGAGCATCGGCCTGATAGGCTTTGAAACGAGTGTTGCATTGGTATGGCATAGATGTCGGTCGTGCCATCAAAGTGCCTGTGGTTGAGTGTGATGCCATCATCGTTGATGATCATAGGTGCTTGTGCCCCTGTGCGGTGAAACTGTGATAGTGCTTATAGGGCTCTGTTGTTGCTGAATTCTGACCACCGTGTTGGCAGGCTGTGTGTCGTAAGAATGCCGTGCTGTCACATGTTTGTTTGCAAGTGCAGAGTGTGACATCTCTGCTGGCTGCTGTTGCTGTTCTGTTTGCTGCCCTTGTGTTGTTTCTGCTGCTTCCAGGACCCTATTGCAAGTTGCATCGGCAAGTTGTTCGCCTGGTCGCTTGGCTGGAGTAAGGCGGCTGGGTGCTGAGCTGGTTGCAGCCATTGGTGTGCTTGCTGGTTGTGTCAATGCGTCGGGCATTTGTGGTGCCTGGTCGCCGACTCCTTGCGAGCTGTCGTCAGGGATGTTGATAGCAGGCGGTTGTTCTGCTGGCGGGTGTTCTAATGGTGGTAGTTGTGGTGTTGTCATTCCTTGTGGTAGTTGTTGATTGTCTGTAGGTGGTAGTGGTGTTGTTGATGTTGCTTGTGCTCCTCTTGTTGGTGTCCTGGAACGGGGTGCTCTCCTGACTGGTGTTCGAACAGCTGGCCTTCTCAACTGATCGGTTGTCATGCCAAAGGTTTTGTGTTGTTGTTGTAGGTGTATGTCTTGTTGATTGTAAGTTGGTGATGAAACTTCTATTGTTATGTTCTGCTGCTGTGTGGAGGCTGTGGCTTGGTTGAGTTGAATTTGTGGTAGTGAAGAAGGTCCGGTTTGTTGTGGTTGTGGTTCAGATTGTTGGTGCAGTGGAACGACTTGTACTGCTGGTTCAGGTGTTGGTGTGAAAATTGGTGGTAGTTGATCAGGTTCAACTTCTCGCAAGTGATCATCGTCACCAAGTTCTAGATATGGATCTTGCTGAACTGGTAGTGTCTCATCTTCAAACATGCTAGCCTTGATGTTCTCGGAGGCAGTTCGTAGAGCTTGAAAGTTAGCAGGGTCAGGATTCCAGGATTCAAATCCATAGGCCTGCCTGGCTTGTTCTTTGGCTACTTTGACTGTGTTTGTTCCAGATTGAAGCCATATGACTTTCCGTCAGGATCAAGTCCGGGCAGACGAGCCAGCTTGTAGCCTCCTCTCTTCTTGCCGCTTCTTGCAGTCCATCGCCAATAGGCTACCGTTGTGTCGCCTATGGAAAGTTGTTGTAATTACTTGAGAAGGTTGTGTTTTCCGAAGCAAGGCCCTTCGGAAGTCACCATCTACCTTCATAGCGGCTATCTGTTGTTGAGCTTCGGACCTCAGAGTGTCAGCAAGTTGGTGAATTTGTTGTTGTGTACCTCCAGTGGTCGTCAGAGAGAAGGTCAAGCCCCTATGTCGAGGAATTCTTTCGAAGGCTGCAATGAAGGGCGGACGGTCTGTACTCATGTGCATGCGTTCTTGGAGAAGACCGTGCTGGCAATGGCATTTGATCTGGTCCTGAAATGCCCTGAGCATCAATGATCCGCCCGGCTATGTCACGCAGTGTTGAGTTGTGACGCGCAATCAAGCCAATTCGGTGGTGAGCTTCAGGTGGGCTGAAATCGGTTTGGGTGCCCGTGGTGTCCAAGTACTCTTCAAATTTGCCTCGACAACTTCCATCAGGATCGAGATCAATGGATAGCCAAGAGGCTGTGCCCAGATCCGGACAAACTTCCTCAGGGCCTCACCAGGAAGGCGGCTATCAAGAACTGCTGCTTGGTGAAGGTGAGTGCACTCATCTATCACCCCAAGTACCGGGTAGTTTCGACCGGCGATGTCCCTGATGTAGACTATGCCAATTTGGATGGCATCGGCATCGGCAAACTGTCGAAAGCCAACATCAGGGAGTGCAGCAGGTGGTGGCTTCGCCGGTTCTCTGGCAAGATGAGCATACCATGTCCTCAACAGCCATGATGATCTTCTGATTCCTGATCCCATTCATGGCCAACAGTTTTTTGAGTTCAGCTGCAGGTGGATGTCCCAGGTTTCTATGAAGCCGGGAGACAGCAGTCTTGGTGTCGTTGTCGTAGTGTTTGTTTGGTGGAAAGCTGACCTCTTTGTCGGCATGGTTCATCAAGTGATGTGGGTTGTCCTCACGTGGTGCAATTGGATCAGCTGATAAATTTTCAGGTTGTTCTTGTTCAGGTGGTGTGGCCATGCCAAGCCAAAAGACACCAATGTTGACTAGTTCCTCAAATCACCCAGGTCTTCAGCAATGACTTCTCTGGAGCCGTCATTGTACAGAAGTGCAGATCCTCTGTGGGTGTGAGGTACGGGCGTTGGGAATCGATGTAGTGCAGGTTGAATCGCAAGTTGAACTCGTTCAATGCTGTGCTATGGTACAAGTTGTCGAACTTGCTTCCAACTGGGGTCAGATTGTGGAAGAACTATTGTTCTATGTTCTACGTGAAATGGTTCGGAACAACTTCTCTGCAGCATCGAAGACTGGTTGCCACTTGTCCAAGTCTTCATCAACGTTGAAGTTGATCACTGCAAAGGTGGCAAAGTTGTTCTTGGTCACATGGAATCATTGTGGATCTTGTTGAAGGGCTGTATCATACAAACCTTTCAAGATGGCCTGCGCGAGTCCAGGGCAGTACTCCTGGCTCAGGGTGGTTTCACGCCCTTCAAGAGGTACACAATGTCCAAGATCTTCATGTGACAGTTTGGCTTGGAGTTGGTCAAGTATCGCGGGGCAGTTGCCTGCAAAGTTGTGGCCCTTTCGAATCATCTCACCCTTTGAGTCTTAGAGTTTGTCGCTCCATAGGCGTCTGCATGACAAGTCACCATGTTGGACGATGGTCGTGCAAGAAGTCGTTGTAGAGCGGGGTCGTTCCAAAGCCGGCTTTTCTCTGGATTCTCGATGATCCAAAATCTGCCCTCACGATCTTGTTGCTCACACCGTTTCACTACTTGTTCTATCATAGGCCTGACTTCTGCCCTACAAGCCCCAAGTTGTTGACGACAATGCAGGTAGTTGACGTTGTCCTGCAACAAAGTCCATGGTCTGCAATTGATGACTTGTAGCAGCAGAAGAGGTCGATGAAGTTGAATGGTGTCGTGAACTTGTTTTCTGGTCTTCGGTTTGGAAAGGTCGAAGCCAGTGTTGTAGTCCACAGGCGTCAATGCCTTCAGTCCCCAATTGGTTGCCTGTTAGCTGATGTTTGCCGCACCGGCAAAAGTTTCAAGAAGGTCAACCTTGGAAAGAGGTTGACAAGGCTTGCGGTTCACCATGAGAACTTTCTCCACCTCATGCAGGTGTAGTGCATGGCGTATACGCTGGAGTAGGCCTCTCTTGACGGCATTGGTCACGTTGAACACCTGGTTGGGTTTGAACTTGAAGACAGTGCGGCCAGTCCATAGTTCATTGGGTTGCTTCCTGGAACCATTCTTCCAGTTATAGTGCAACACATGGGACATGCCATCATCACGAACCATCTCAACCACACATACATGCCGAAGGCGGTGGATAGCAACTGGGCATTCTGAACCATATGGTTCAAACAGACGACACCTTGACTTGGTTCCACATGGTGCCTTATACACTCACCCGAGGTGATGTTCCAGTAGTCCTTCATCCAATGGTCCTCCAACCGAACTCTGTCCCCATGCCTGCATCTGGATCGTCTAAGTCGATGGGATTCGGTGCCAATCATATTGTTCGGAATCTCTCTGACCCGTGCCGAAGCTAAGGTCTTTGGAGAAGCCTTGGCCTTGGAGGTAGATCCCTTGGCTCTGAGCGCTGCGATGGCGGCCCTCCATAGATTACCCATGCGTGAAGTTCATCGCTGAACCTCTGGAGGCATTGGAGGCATTGGCTGAACCTTCCGGCTCGGTTCCCATACCTTCGGAAGGGGTGTGAGCACATCGTTGGGTGTGGTCGTGTCCTTGATGCCCTTGTTGCATGATCTTCCAGGCTGATGATGTGCTGCTCCAACATCGTGAGCCATACCCGTGGAGCCATTCCAGAAACAGGGTCATGGCACGCCGCACCAAGTTCCTCCATCGCTGAAGCCATTCCGGAAGCACGTTGGTGGAGAACATCCGGTTGGCTGTGTCGATCAGGGTCTTGTGCAAGAGTTGCAGCGATGGTGACTTCAGGATCAGGCTGATTCCAAACATCATCGGAATAAAGGTTCTTCCATACATCAGACTTGCATGCAATCTTCGAAAAACTGGTGAGGTTGACCACATAGTGAACATACAAACGTTCGAGTGGAACATCATCCCCAATGAACTCAAAACGAAGTCTTTGACGAACGGTGTCAACCACACAACCAAGTTTTTCCAACATGGTGTTGCTTGCAAGAAATGGAATCTGAGCATCCTTCAAAACACTCACCCTCAGCAGCAACCCTTCGGCCAGCCGACCTGGTAATGCTGCAGGAAGATAGGCGCGCTTTGCTGCTTTGTGGATGCCACCTGAGCCGAATTGAAAGTGGTCAGCCACGTGAATCACATGGGGTTTGAAGCCATAGTTCATGAGAATCTTGGAATGAACATCCAACCACTCAGCACTGCGACATGACCTTTGTCATGCGGCATCAAGAATCATGTACCCGGCGTAGATGATGATTTCGGTATAATGTAGTTGGTGAAGGGGTCATGCTCAACCATATGGGTGCCCACAAAAGGTGAAAAAATGCTGAAGTGTCCCCCAAAGATGTAGATGGCCCCGAAGAATCGGGTAGTTACTGGTAGTTGATCTTGAAGTGGTTCCCCAGGAAAATTCACAATAAAAGCCTTCTTGACAGGATCGTTCGAGGACGTCCAGTGAACTTCCTACCAAGCACGCCGTCGGCCGCAACTTCTTCGAAGTCACGGTCAGCACATTGGCTAGTTCTTGATGCTGATAGGCATCTTCATCACCTCCTTGGTCAGCATCTTGTTGTTCACTGGGCTCGTCACCGTGTTCGCCATCTTCATTCAGCATACTCTTCAGCATCTTGGTACTCTTGCTCAGAGGCTTGTTGATCTTGTTCTGCAAGTTCTTCAGGAATCTGCTCCATCTCCTCAACTTGATCGGCCTGGTACACCCGTCTTTGGATGTGATCCCTTTGAGGGAGGTAGATGGGAGGAAGATGAAGATGCTGTTTTCGAAGAGCTCTGAGAAGATGTCGAAGGTGAAGGCGAAGTAGGGGAACTTGATCCCCTACCTGCTCTTGTGGTTGGTGTTGCCGGAACCCGCAACAGGTGGACTTGGTTTGAAATCCGGAGACTGAGAGTTCAAGGACTCACGCGCTCGATCGAACTCCAGTGAAACGTGAACGGTCAAGCAACCTGTTACCACGAGAGTCGGAATCATACATAGCAGCGGTGCTGATTCCGATCGCAGACAAATCTTTCTCGACACGCGCATATCGGTTTGCAAATTGACGAGCCGATTCATTTGGATACCTGGAAATGTGCGCGTAGTCATGCGTAGTCCGACAACAGCTTCCTCTTCTGAAACAACAACTTCTGCTGCAACGGCTCTCGAAGGGTACCCAAAAGATACTTGATTCCATCGGCTGAATTCACTTTGTTCAAATCCAAATGTTCTGTTTCCAGTTCCGCTTCACCAGACAACGACGTAAACAGCATGAGTGCCGCATCGGATGGCGGCATGAATGCTTTCATCTGCAAGGCCCAGACCCCAATCTTCCGTTCCCATCGCGCAAAAGCCCGAAGATCAGCTGAGTTTCGCCATTGTGGTGGTGAAGGTGGAGTCCCACCACGCCAGCGAACCCCTTTTTGCGGACCCGCTCGAGAACACCAAGAATCTTGACTTCCAGAGGAATGATTCTGCTGTGCAACCAGTTGTGTCAAAAGGTCAATGATCATATTCTGTTGCGAACCATCCAAGCCCAAAACATTCGATTGTTGCACATCGCCCTGCCTCTTATCGGCATCCGGTTGGTTATCGTTTCGCCCACGTCTCCGGCGTCCCCTCCTTGGCAGAAAACTGCTCCAGATTCCGGATCTACAACGGGGTCGGTTGTACGACTCTCGCTGTCGGACTGCTCAAAACCTGGAGGGCTGCTATGGGAAGGTGGATCTTGTGGTGCAACCGGTCGCTGTCTGAACCCAGATTGGGAACATAGACACAGCATCCCTCATCAGTTGCCAGGCGTTGTGGACGAGTTGTGTCATAAAACTCGGTCTTGCCGCAACCAAAGCACACCCATGATTGAAGGGAGGCGTCCCAATGCCAGAACTCAGAATTACAATTACAGCATCGCCACTTCGACGAATCCCTGGATCTATCAACATGCTTGCCTTCCGCCATTAGATCATCAGTCATGTTAGGTCGGGTCGCATCTCGATATACTGGTGTTTCGGAGTAACAGCTGCTGATTTCATCACCATTGCCAAAAAGATCGAACTCCCACAAATCATCATGACTAGGAGGATCAAAATGGGGAAGATGGAACTGTTTCATGTCGGTCACCCAAGCTCCGGTGCCAACTCGCAATCGTGTGTGCTGAAACACGATGTGTCAAAATGATCAAATGGTGAATGCCATGGCTTGCAAAACGCTCGGGTCCTTTTTATCTATCACTTGGCCCAGTGCACTACGGTCCATGCATCAAATGAGATCAAGGTCATCTGCATCAACGTTCACACGAACATGGGAGAGTCAGTGAATTTTGCCAACGTGCCATCGATGAAATAGTAGCTGGAATGCGGCATTGAGCGAAGGAGAGCAACATCAAATGACCAAAGCATATAATATCATATAATCCGTTTCTTCGAATGATCCCCACCAATTGAATATGTTCTGACATGTTATCTGGCATTGTGTTTGGCTATGTTTGGCTCAGGCGAGGCCCAGAGAACCTGCAAGCTCACCATAATGTTCGGGTCCGTTGATGCGAGCTAGCAGCAGCTAGCAATCGTGCGAGGCGGGAGGAGGAGGAGGAGGAGAAAACAAAGAGCAAACTGACATAAATATACATTAATACATAATAATCTAAAGAATATCATAGAATATCTAGAGACCCTCACCTGGTGCGAAACAAATACTTAAATGCAAGCAGGCAACTGTCTCCAACAACCCCCAATCAGCATCAACCATTGATGCTGCTTCAGCTGTTCCTGCACCTGATTCTACGGTTTGATTGCTTTGGACTGTCTGCACACTTTCGCCCGCGCCCTTGACATCACTCTGATGCTGGGTTCCAACACCTGGACTACCAGGACTACTGGGAGAGCTCGGCATCTCGGGCTTAGCACTCGGTAGTTGCAAATGCTTCCCCAAGACCTGCCAGAAGTTGTCCCGAACTCTGGTGCCAAACGTGGCCTGTTCAGCTTTGACACCCAGCTTCGCAAAAGGCACGACTGGCACTCTATCGCTGGACATGCCATTTGTTATCAGCTCGTGCGCCTCTTCTGGGATGGCACTTTGTAGCCATGAGTCCCAATCAGTGACAAGGTCTTCATCACCTCGAACCATCCCCATCCCAGCACCACCTAGCATCGTCATGTTTTGGGCTCCCATGGGTCCCATGGATCCAAGCGATTGAAGCCAGTTCTCCACCAGCTTCTGCACTGATTTGTTCTGATCCTCTGGGCTCAGAGGGGCCTGCGCTTGAACTGGTGCAAATTCCCAGTCATCATCGTCCTCGTTTTCCAGCTCTCCTGAGTCGGAAGAGATGATGCAGTAGAAAAACATAGAAAAACAAAACGCTCCCAAGATCTCCCAAGCAAACAACAAAATCAATAGCGTGGCTGCATCGCTTCTTTTATCTTCTTTTATTCTTGCGGTCATCTTCTTCAACCTTTCAACCGTCCAACATGTCGTCTTCTTTCAGACAGGGGAAGCTTCCTTCACACAGGTCCATAGGATTCCATAGGTCCAACATGGTCCAACTACTGTAGGAAGGCGAAAAGGAGAAGCGAGTTGCTCGTGCACTTGACACATATCTAGGGGGCAGCTTGTGTTTGTCTTGGCACTGACCTTGCCTCCCTGTGACCCATCTTCAACATACATGGAGACCGTATGAGACCGTCGCAGCTGAGGTTTTTCATACTTTTGCACTTACATTCAATGAAGGACTAATGCAGGATAAGGATGATAAGAAAATAAGAAAGATATATTTCCCACCCAACTCCCAGGGCAATCTTTGGTATGCAAAGCTCTGGGATCTCTCATGCATTCTTTTGGGGGTTTTCTTGCTGTTTCGCAAAACCAAGACCACTCAGGTCTGTCAAAGCTCTGGGGATGAGAGTGATTAATCATATGAAAATATATGAAAATCCTTGTCTGGCAGGGATGGGAAGAACTCAAAGCAATATTTAGTCACTTGATGCGACCTGTTTGTGGATTCAGTCTGTAACTTTGATTGGCGTGTCTCATTTGGTTGCAGACTTGCCTGCATTGTCATTACTGTCGTTTGTCATGACAGCTGGCGACAAGCTAAATGGACGGAATAATTATTTATAATTTATAATGATTATAATTAATATATAATTATATCTATATGTATTATCTATATGTATATATGATATTATATATGTATGTATATATATATGCATACAGTATTTGCCCTATTATTGTGTTTGAATGTTACTTGTATCATTTCAGCTGTCACCCTGTATCTCTGTGGGACCGGGGGGTTAGCGATTGGAAGGAATGAAAAACGTGGGAATCAACATTTGATGTAATTGATTCGTTGGAGCCAATGTTTGGGGAAATCGTGTAAAAAATCATTGGCAAAGCTTTTTAAAAGGCCTGCCAAGGGGCTGTGGGTGCTCTTCGGCTCAGGAATTGCTGTGCTCATGTTTCCTTCAAAGTCTCCAAAATCATCGTCCGTATCCTCCGTGGCTTCTGGTGAGCCACCTGAAGCGCCTGAAATACAAAGGCCAACCGATCATGAAGAATAACAATTTGAAGCGATCAATAGCGATCATCTATGTTGACACATGTTGACACATGTTGACACATGTTGACACTTGTCTTCCTGAAATAGATTGCGCAAACAACTAGTTGGCAAAGGGGGCGAGGGCGGCAGCTTTCTGTGAGGCACTTACAGCAAATAAGTGCAACTGGATTTGGAACAAATCAATAACTTATTTTAACGGTTTTTAACGTAAACACTGGCTTTTTGCCAAAAGCATCCAAAATTCAACACTGGCTTGTGCAGCACCGTGTAAACAATTTTTTTCGCAGGCCTGTTGGAAGAGCTGGCTCATTGAGGTGTTGCTCATCCCCCGGCGGTTCTGCTTCATCTGTTCCAGGCCCTTCAGGCCCTTCATCCGTGCCTCCGGGATCCAAAGAAAGCACGATGTCAGCGATAGGGTAGCCATTAGGGCGATCACCACTTCCACCACTGCCACCACTACCAGAAGGATGGGCCCAATTGGAGCCCGTCGTTTGTGGAAGACTTCGATCTAACAAACCAGGGTCATCTCCACCAATGTCGCCACGTGTGTGGCTGGAAGTGGCAACAGCCCTGCCACTTGAATCTGAGGATAGTGGCCCACCCATGTCGCCGGGTTGCGAGCTTGCATCCTGTGGCAAATGGGCACTGCCTCCAGACTCTCCCACTTCTGCACGCGCTGTTCTTGGGCTGTTGGCTGTGCCCATGCTGGGAATGGTAGCTTCTGGAGTTTCGCTTGCTCTTGCCGGTTGGTCATCACCAAAATCGGCAAAAACTGACCCTGGACTATTGAGACCATCTACATTGGAGATCTCTGCGCTTTGAGGAAGGTCAGCGCTACCTCCGGACTCTCCAACTTGAAAAGCCTCGTCACCGAACCAAGAGCTGTTGTTGCCCGCCGTGCTAGAAGGGTTGGCATCTTGATGCAAATGAGAACTGCCTCCAGATTCACCCACTTCAAAGCCATCTTGAGCTGATCTTGGACTGTCAGTGGCCCCCAAGCTAGGCATGTTGACATCCTGTGGCAAATGGGCACTACCTCCAGACTCTCCCGCTTCAGCACGTGCTGTTCTTGGGCTGTTGGCTGTGCCCATGCTGGGAATGGTAGCTTCTGGAGTTTCGCTTGCTCTTGCCGGTTGGTCATCACCAAAATCGGCAAAAGCTGACCCTGGACTATTGAGACCATCTACATTGGAGATCTCTGCGCTTTGAGGAAGGTCAGCGCTACCTCCGGACTCTCCAACTTGAAAAGCCTCGTCACCGAACCAAGAGCTGTTGTTGCCCGCCGTGCCAGAAGGGTTGGCATCTCGATGCAAATGAGAACTGCCTCCAGATTCACCCACTTCAAAGCCATCTTGAGCTGATCTTGGACTGTCAGTGGCCCCCAAGCTAGGCATGTTGACATCCTGTGGCAAATGGACACTACCTCCAGACTCTCCCGCTTCTCCACGTGCTGATCTTGGGCTGTTGGTTGCGCCCATGCTGGGAATGGTAGCTTCTGGAGTTTCGCTTGCTCTTGCCGTTGCCGGTTGGTCATTACCAAAATCGGCAAAAGCTGACCCTGGACTATTGAGACCATCTACATTGGAGATCTGTGCACTTTGAGGAAGGTCAGCGCTACCTCCGGACTCTCCAACTTGAAAAGCCTCGCCACCGAACCAAGAGCTGTTGTTGCCCGCCGTGCCAGAAGGGTTGGCATCTTGATGCAAATGAGAACTGCCTCCAGATTCACCCACTTCAAAGCCATCTTGAGCTGATCTTGGACTGTCAGTGGCCCCCAAGCTAGGCATGTTGACATCCTGTGGCAAATGGGCACTACCTCCAGACTCTCCCGCTTCAGCATGTGCTGTTCTTGGGCTGTTGGTTGCGCCCATGCTGGGAATGGTAGCTTCTGGAGTTTCGCTTGCTCTTGCCGGTTGGTCATCACCAAAATCGGCAAAAGCTGACCCTGGACTATTGAGACCATCTACATTGGAGATCTCTGCACTTTGAGGAAGGTCAGCGCTACCTCCGGACTCTCCAACTTGAAAAGCCTCGTCACCGAACCAAGAGCTGTTGTTGCCCGCCGTGCCAGAAGGGTTGGCATCTTGATGCAAATGAGAACTGCCTCCAGATTCACCCACTTCAAAGCCATCTTGAGCTGATCTTGGACTGTCAGTGGCCCCCAAGCTAGGCATGTTGACATCCTGTGGCAAATGGGCACTACCTCCAGACTCTCCCGCTTCAGCACGTGCTGTTCTTGGGCTGTTGGCTGTGCCCATGCTGGGAATGGTAGCTTCTGGAGTTTCGCTTGCTCTTGCCGGTTGGTCATCACCAAAATCGGCAAAAGCTGACCCTGGACTATTGAGACCATCTACATTGGAGATCTCTGCGCTTTGAGGAAGGTCAGCGCTACCTCCGGACTCTCCAACTTGAAAAGCATCGTCACCGAACCAAGAGCTGTTGTTGCCCGCCGTGCCAGAAGGGTTGGCATCTTGATGCAAATGAGAACTGCCTCCAGATTCACCCACTTCAAAGCCATCTTGAGCTGATCTTGGACTGTCAGTGGCCCCCAAGCTGGGCATGTTGACATCCTGTGGCAAATGGACACTACCTCCAGACTCTCCCGCTTCAGCATGTGCTGATCTTGGGCTGTTGGTTGCGCCCATGCTGGGAATGGTAGCTTCTGGAGTTTCGCTTGCTCTTGCCGGTTGGTCATCACCAAAATCGGCAAAAGCTGAGCCTGGACTATTGAGACCATCTAGATTGGAGATCTCTGCACTTTGAGGAAGGTCAGCGCTACCTCCGGACTCTCCAACTTGAAAAGCCTCGTCACCGAACCAAGAGCTGTTGTTGCCCGCCGTGCCAGAAGGGTTGGCATCTTGATGCAAATGAGAACTGCCTCCAGATTCACCCACTTCAAAGCCATCTTGAGCTGATCTTGGACTGTCAGTGACCCCCAAGCTAGGCATGTTGACATCCTGTGGCAAATGGGCACTACCTCCAGACTCTCCCGCTTCAGCATGTGCTGTTCTTGGGCTGTTGGTTGCGCCCATGCTGGGAATTGTAGCTTCTGGAGCTTCACTTGCTCTTGCCGGTTGGTCATCACCAAAATCGGCAAAAGCTGACCCTGGACTATTGAGACCATCTACATTGGAGATCTCTGCACTTTGAGGAAGGTCAGCGCTACCTCCGGACTCTCCAACTTGAAAAGCCTCGTCACCGAACCAAGAGCTGTTGTTGCCCGCCGTGCCAGAAGGGTTGGCGTCTTGATGCAAATGAGAACTGCCTCCAGATTCACCCACTTCAAAGCCATCTTGAGCTGATCTTGGACTGTCAGTGGCCCCCAAGCTAGGCATGTTGACATCCTGTGGCAAATGGACACTACCTCCAGACTCTCCCGCTTCTCCACGTGCTGATCTTGGGCTGTTGGTTGCGCCCATGCTGGGAATGGTAGCTTCTGGAGTTTCGCTTGCTCTTGCCGTTGCCGGTTGGTCATTACCAAAATCAGCAAAAGCTGACCCTGGACTATTGAGACCATCTACATTGGAGATCTGTGCACTTTGAGGAAGGTCAGCGCTACCTCCGGACTCTCCAACTTGAAAAGCCTCGCCACCGAACCAAGAGCTGTTGTTGCCCGCCGTGCCAGAAGGGTTGGCATCTTGATGCAAATGAGAACTGCCTCCAGATTCACCCACTTCAAAGCCATCTTGAGCTGATCTTGGACTGTCAGTGGCCCCCAAGCTAGGCATGTTGACATCCTGTGGCAAATGGACACTACCTCCAGACTCTCCCGCTTCTCCACGTGCTGATCTTGGGCTGTTGGTTGCGCCCATGCTGGGAATGGTAGCTTCTGGAGTTTCGCTTGCTCTTGCCGTTGCCGGTTGGTCATTACCAAAATCGGCAAAAGCTGACCCTGGACTATTGAGACCATCTACATTGGAGATCTGTGCACTTTGAGGAAGGTCAGCGCTACCTCCGGACTCTCCAACTTGAAAAGCCTCGCCACCGAACCAAGAGCTGTTGTTGCCCGCCGTGCCAGAAGGGTTGGCATCTTGATGCAAATGAGAACTGCCTCCAGATTCACCCACTTCAAAGCCATCTTGAGCTGATCTTGGACTGTCAGTGGCCCCCAAGCTAGGCATGTTGACATCCTGTGGCAAATGGGCACTACCTCCAGACTCTCCCGCTTCAGCATGTGCTGTTCTTGGGCTGTTGGTTGCGCCCATGCTGGGAATGGTAGCTTCTGGAGTTTCGCTTGCTCTTGCCGGTTGGTCATCACCAAAATCGGCAAAAGCTGACCCTGGACTATTGAGACCATCTACATTGGAGATCTCTGCACTTTGAGGAAGGTCAGCGCTACCTCCGGACTCTCCAACTTGAAAAGCCTCGTCACCGAACCAAGAGCTGTTGTTGCCCTCCATGCTTGCAAGCTGAATGGTTGTTTCAGAATTGTACATGCTTATGTTTTTAAAGTATTGTAAAGTTGTCTTCGGCAGTCTGTGATACATGGTGAAGCTGTATGGCTGCATATCTTTTTTGGAGGACTTGTTGTATTCGGAGTGCTTACAGGTGATGCATGCTCTTGTGAGCACATGAACAGCTCACCACGATCTCTCCAAACGTATCTGACTGATATCTGACTGTGTTGTGCAGCCTTGCGGCATCCTTCGGTTTGATCCAATGGCAGGGCATAGAGGTGCCTGTCGCATCAAAAATCCAAAGCACATGTGAACTCGAGGAATCCACTGATGTTTTGATGCAGGCCGCAAGGCAAGGCTGACTGTTTTGCACGCTCATTTCTCGCAACTAAGTTGTCGGGTGTTCAATTCTAACACTCATGGATCTGCACCAGTATTCCTGCAGAGCTGATGCTAGAAACTGGCCCCTGAATCATCCTGAATCATCCATAATCATCCTGAATCAATGAATTTCAATGAATTATTCAAAATGCTGCCGTGCTCAAGGGGAATGGTCAGAATGGTCATAGTTTCATGGTCATAGGCTCCAACGGTCTGACGAATCTCTGTCATGTGTCCAGTGCAGCAAGATGCAGCAAGGTGTCAACGAGCGAAGGGCCCAAGCCTTGGAAGTTATTTGGCTCAGCTTTCTGGATCTTTCAGGCAATGTCTCACATGCGAAGTCGCGCAGGGTCTTTTGGATCTTTTGGTATCTCGCGGCCTTGTTATCCTTGTTCAAAATGCTACAAATCAATACAAATCAAGCGTGAGAACGGATCCTGCAGGATCCTGCAGCGGGATCGTGCACGAATTTCTTTAACGCCTGCCAGAAGCTTTGTCCTGGCCAGGTCTCAGCAGGAGACCTAAAGGACGTGGCGCATCGTGGCGCCATTTGTTTAGTATCCAATAATTTCAAATCAATTCAAATCAATTCAAATCATCAAATCATAACAGCAACATATGCTTCCAAATCTTCCAACATATATGATCACGTACGGGTCTAAAACGATACAGTATGATACAGTATATTTCACATTATTTCACCATCCGGCTCTTATCATCTCTTATTATCTGCTTATATTTGTTATTATTTGTTTTATGAAGTTCAGGATCTCTGTAGGAATTTGAGCTGAAGCGTGAAGCATCGGCGATTTCAGCATGTTTCAGCGCCGAAGAATGCCCGACTCCTCGTCCGAAGAAAGGTAGGTATCGTCGGCCACAGCCGTCCTTTCAAAGAGGTGGCAATAAAAGCCACGCTGGTCGTAACCACACCTGAGATTTCCGATTAGTCTCAGGTCGAAAATTCGGTGCTTTCAAGAAACATCAAGAACACTTCGCACACTTCACACTAAGCATTTGAATAATATCAAACCTAACATTATGTTCATACTATTTTGCTATTGAATATATCTGTTGTCAATGGGGGTTCGGTCAACACTCAAGCCTTTCAACTTTAACACCTGACACAAAAAGCTCGAATGGGAGAACTTTGATGAATTTGGCATCTCGAAGGCACGTGTTGTCCATGTCTTTCCTCATCTCCTCTAAGTTCTTGCCACCAGAGCGGCCCAAATACAAACGTTTGCAACCCACGCAGCAGCACCAGTACTCAAAGCATCCGCAAAGAGACGAAATCACGGGGCCGCACCACATCCTGAGTCGTGCCGCCAAGCAAATGAGACTGTTGGACTTCCAAAAGTATGTTTATGTTTGTTCATGTTTCTGTTTATGTTTAATATTAATAATGTTTAATATTGTTTAGTTTGACAATGTTTGACAACTGACTTGAATCACCTTGAACTTCTGAAATGGGCAAATTACCTGAAAAAGTCCAACGATCTCAATTGATTGATTTGGCACTTAGACCGTTTTGGGATTCGGCATCGACTGTATGCCTCAACAAATTAAATCCAGTATCTCCAACAACAAGTTTAACAATTCCTGTGTACCATGGTGCGCGCATTCTTTTTCTGCAGTGGAGCATCTCCTCATCGTAGTCAGGCATTGCAACAGTTCGGATGTTGGTGTCACAATCGACCACCTCAAGCTGCCAATCTGGTCCAGGGAAAATATGGTGATATCATGTGAGTATCAAGGTCCTGCCGTGGCGAACCGGGTGAACTTTCACAAGGTGGACAGAATAGGCTCCATGCCAGGATTGTAAACCCTACGTATCCCTACGTGCTATAGTTACTAGATGTTACTAGTACCGGTTACCCTACTGGTTACCTGGTTGCCTACCTGAACCTTCTCATTTCTTTGGCGTGCTGTCTTGTCATGTTTTGATCAGTTGCGAGGTGATGGAACATGATAGAAAGCAATTTTCGCCAAACTTTGAATCCACAATGGTATTGATGGAGTCACCATGAGTCATCTAAAGTTTCAGATCTAAGTGGCCTGAACATCTTTCCAGAAAACCACAAAATCCTCCCATTGCATCCAAAAAGAGCCATCATCTTTGGGCTCTTCACCACGAAGTAGTTTCCGTTTCACGCCTTACCGCCGGTGACCGCTGCATGAATTGGATGACATGAGATACGTTGCAATTTCTCCTGTCTCAACTTTGTCAGCCGAGATTCGTGGATGTTTCTGCCACAACGGGGACTTATCACTCCAAGCCTTGATGGCTGTTCTTTCTTGGTCCGCGACTACTTTTTCTCTTTTTGATATGGCTTAGAAGATCTTCGAACGTCTTGGAACATCGAAGCACTTTCAGTCGCTATCCATTCTGAGTTCTGTGCTCCTTGCCATTCACCTTGTCCATGTGGGTTGCGGATCTCCACCATCCGAAAGTACTCACCAGAGGTCACATCTGGGGCGACCGTTTGCAAATCCAAGACTGAATACCTCAGAGATTGCGCCAGCGCATCAGTCATCCGCTTCCACTGTATCTGTTGAAAGGCGCTTTAGCAACATTTCTGAAATATTGATGACCATGCCAAAATATCGCCATAATATTATAATACATTATGATAATAATAATGATAATAATCATAATGATAATATATATTATATATATTTAAACCACACACACACACTCATATATATATAAATACAGCAAATTGCGTATTCACCGCTGCCTGGTGCCAGGTGTGTGCCAAGAGGCGCATGGCCATTGATCAAGCCTTTACGATCAGGGGGGACGATGGTCGAGCAACAAATGAATGCACCATTTCGCTTGATACGATGCAGGAACCTCAGACTCTGCAAATGGAGTGAGGATGGAGTGAGGGGTAGGAAATGGTAGGAATCATCAAATACTCATCAGATAAGACTCAGAAATGCGCACTGAACTGTGAAAATTGTGAAAGACCGACGGATGACGGAAAAAGATCTCAAACATTCTCAAACCATCCATGAAACTTGAAGAACTCGTCGTCACTGAACTCTCCCTCTTGGGACAGTGTTCCGCCGCCTGCTGGCTTGAACGCGTTCCAAACTCCACTCATCCGCAGAAAATTCACGGCCGGATTCCCTGTGATCGCTGATAGCGCCCAGGACATAACCCCACCTTGGCTCCATAAAAGTGACACATGTGAGACCTAGCGGGCAAAACAGAGCGGAACAACAATAGAGTTTTCAGACCATGATTTCAACAACGACAACAAATAGATGAATCATCGAAAAATGCTTCAATATTAAGCATAAAGCAATTGTTTAAAGCAAAGGGCCCTCCAGCTTGTCATAGCCACCGTACATCTTTGCAAAAGCCTTCTCCATCAGAAGCACCCAAATTTCACGGCTGTTTGCTTGTGCAAAGCGGGGTTGAGTGGTTCCAGCGTGGCAGGGGATCTTCTCATCAATGACGATTGTCAGCCACTCGGTGCCCAGTTCTCCCTTGACCTGGCAGTTTCGGCAGTTTCAGACTGGACTGCACTGACTATACTGACTGCACAACTCACTTTGCAAAGGGGTCTTTTCATGTCTTTTCTACAGTCTGAATGATGCCATGATGTGAAGTTGCACATGCAAGAAAAAGCAAGCGACAGCCGAAAGGACAAAACGATAATCTCAAACCAAGATCTCGTTTGAGAACCAAACACTCAGGCTCTGACCTGATTCCTTGGTTTAACAGCTGTCAGCACAAACAAGAAAACCTTGCAACTAACCACACACTCCAAGTTATCATGAAGATGATGACATGATCATGAAGTCACTTGAGCCTTCCTGAGCTATCACATATTCCCTGTCGGGGTCAAATCCCAGATTCCAAAGGCGGAACTTATATTTGCCACGCGGATCAATCGTCTTTGACAAGATCGCTTGCTGCAAGATTTCTGGCCTTTCGGCCACAGAGGCCTCAAGTCTGAAAAAACACATCAGCATGGGTGGCATGGGATGCTGCAATTCACCGCCATGATATGTCATCAGCTCATGAGATTGCATGAAATGGTCATACATTCTATTCTAATACATTCTAATACGCCATTTCAGACAAGCTGCCAATGCTGCAATCCTGAATCAACGATGGAGGCATGATGGAGGGTTGAATCAAAATGAATCACAGAATTCTCCCAAGTCTCAAGGAGATCAGACGAGGTACAGCCAGCAATCGCCCAAAGCACCCTGCACAAATGAAATGAACTTGCACAGCTCGCAGAAAAATTCCATACGTTCCATACGTTCCATTTCCATCCATTTCCATCCATTTCCCCCATGACTAATATGACTATGTAGACTGGTAGACTCTCAAACCATCCATCACCAGCAATATCCACCACCATGCCATGATGCCATGCGCACTGCGCCTGAAGAAGATCTGCTGCTTCGATGCCACCTTCAAAGAGCTGAGCTCCACGTTGGCCTTCGCTGTCCTGTCGTTGTACGTGCTGAACACATGTATGCAGTATGCATGTCTCTGGGTAAATTATAATAATTCCCGACTCCTGACCTGAATTAAGGCAATTTTGAGATATTTTGAGATAATTCCACGAACCATCATCATTCTAGTCAGGTCGCAGTGACACTGAGGTCGTTATCATTTACCGGATGTATGATGTATATTGATGTATGTATATGTATGTATATGTTTCACATTGTGGGCATGTGGCATTCTGCCACCAACATGCAGCTTGTTGCGTCTGCACATGGCTGTCATGTGCAAAAATCAGTGGGGGCTTTCAATTTCAACCAAACAGTTTCACAACTTGACTTTCGGTGAGTTTGAGGCATCGGAATGTCAATGGACGGTGGAAAATGCCTTTTCTAAGCATGTCAGTGCTGAGAATAATGTGTAATTACAATGAATCTCAACAAATAGTATTGTCATAGTATGTCCCAACAATTCCCAACCATTCCCAACAATTCTCAACATCTCACAGCAACAGTCCAAAGGTTGTCCTTCTCCGCAATTTCTGATGCCTTGACCCAGTCTGTGCCGCCACCGCTGTGCACGAAGCCGCCAGCCTGCAGTGATTCCGTCTTTTGTGAAACCTCTGCGAAATAGATGTAATTGGAAATGTACAATGGTACGTCACGTATGTCCATTATCCATTATAATCTCTCTCTCTCTCTCGCTTTATTGATATATATTTAAAATGATTTAAATATATCTTAAATATTTATATCAATTTTATTCATTCACTTGGTCGCGTTCACGCATCCTATGCACATCCAAATCCAGTACCAGATTATACTTTCCGAAAAGTCACACAACTTAGAGACTGACAACGATGTTTCAGGCGGAAACACGTTTTGATTCCATCCACTATCCACCTCCCAGCCACGACGTGAACCATCATCTCCCGACGTTAGTTGATGCTGAGCTACGGTGTCGCCCTTCAACTTTCCCAGGCTGTTGTCATTTGGCGGAAACTCGGCGTCCTCCAGTCCAAATATGACAGGATTCCATATCTTTGTGCTCTTTGTTCCCACTCACGCGGCAAAATACAAATGCATGATCTATCATGATCTTACGTTTTTGCAATGTGTATATCAATGTGTTAACGTGAATAATTCGGAATTCCTGGAACCATAGAATCCCTTTCCATCGCTTCCATAGGAACTTTGCTTCGAATGCACGACCCGATGCCGACTTGTGCTCCAGGCCGTTCCTCGAAGTCATCCCAGCACATGCCCTTGAAGCAAGCTGGCATGCAAAGCCACGACAAGTAGCTGTGGCAGCAGTGGAAGCAGTAGATATGGAAAGCGTGCCAAATCCTGGGTGCCATTTCATGCCATTTCTCCGGCATGTTCTCCCTGCCGAATTTTTGAAAGCTAGAAAGATCCAAACACTATCAAACACTTTCATTTCTGAAACGTTGATGGGATTTGCTTCCAAACACATTTGCACCCAAGGATCAAAACGAAGGGGCAGCACAACACGCGGTATACAAAACAGCCACGGCCATCACAGACCTCACAGCTGGGTGCACATGCTGACATTCCCTGGAAAGCGCAACAGATCGTAACAGCTTTCACCTCCCATCTCAATCATTCTGAATCATTCTGAATCATTCTGAATCATTCTGAATCATTCTGAATCATTCTGAATCATTCTGACAAATCCGCTCCAAGTGCAGTGATATCAAGTGATTTCAAGTGCCTCTGGCCAGCAAAGCAGGACGGGAGCCAACCATTTCACACCAGAGAAATACGCACAGGCGGCCAGAATGCCGTACACCACCAAGCCGGCCACCAGGACCTTGGATATCTATGGATTGGTTTGCATTGCTTCCACTGAAAAAGATGTACAATATTAATCAATATTATACCACGATCAATTATGATCAATGTCTAGTTCTTAAGGCGAAAGGCTGCTCCGAAGCGCAAAATAATCATGAAGTTCTTCATGCCAATTTGGAAAAGTGGTTCGGACTCTACTTGGGAGACGCTGAAGTCGAAGACTGAAATGCGTGGGGCCAGGAGGCCCACCCCAGAGGATGCCTGACCATGATGACCATGTGCATTTTGAAATATTTGAAGTGACATAAAAAATATATAAACATATTAAAATGAATGAAATGAATGTCGACATTGCGGCACATTGCGCATCACACATCAAGTGGCTATAATGGCTGCCTGAATTGACTGCGCCAAACATTGCTGAATGTTGCCAGCTTTTTCAGCAGTGCCAGTGCCACTCACCAGGAAATGAACGGCAGTGCCGTCATCGGTAGGATACGACGTTGATGCCTTCGGCTGGAAACCTGGAACGGCATTGCCGCAAGGTCCACAAAAAAAGGTGGGATGAATGCAGTGTAAACCAGGCGTGTCACTCCTGAATCACAAAAGAGCATACCAGAGGCACCAGCTGTCACCAGCTGATTTGCGCTGTATACACTGTACCTTTCAATTTTATCCATGCGGATCTGTAATTTCTATGTCTGTGCAATCTCAATAATTCGCAATCACTCCAAGAACATGCTAAGTTTTGAAGATCCGGTCAAAAAAAGGGAGCAGGCCTCAAACACGTTCACTCGTATGATATCATATATATATCAATATCAATATATATTATCCCAATTTATCTCCCCATATCTCCCCATTCCACACACCACGGGGGCCCATGTGCCCATGTGGCCTTGCAAATCTGGACATGAAGCAAAGGCTTTGCCCATCCAGGGCCCCCATTGACCATACTGTTGGGGTCTCAGTCCTGCGAATTGAACTGGTCTTGGACACTGTCATTCGCTTCTCTTTCCCTTGATGCTTCATACAGTAGGCTTCATAAGTCAAAATATGTCAAAATGGCAAAAACTTCACTGCATTGGGAACAACATTTCTAAGTTTAAAGAAGTTTAAACACCAAATTGTTGGCTTTTAGGTTTAAAGAAGTTTAAAACAACAATCCAACGCAGGCCAACAGCAAGCTCAGAAACATTTCCACCGCATGGAAATCATGGCCTTTCACAATGAAGGACGCCATCACCAGCTCTTGACGTCGATCAGAAGGCAACGCACATTGATAGAGGTCCTGTCAGGCTCAACCTATCACAACTTAACTTGTTTGTCATTTAGCTTTGAAGATCTTTCACACATGCTCAAACATTGCAACCGTGTTCACACAACTTCTACGTGGTTTGCCTCTGCACCCGCTGGCAAATCTCTCTCGGGCATTGTGAACTAGTGCAAACTCTTGCGACGTCCTCATTCAAAGCCACTTTAAAAGCATCATCACCCATCGTCTGGACGGTAGAGAAAACTTGATGCCGACAAGGGTAATGCATCGCCTTAAACTGCGGAACGCAAACACCGGCTCTGATGCCAATTTTTGCCGAGTTTCATTGAATTTCAACATATTTCACTGACAAGGCTGCCAAGGCTGCTAAGGTGCACCACAAAGATTCGCAATCGACAAAGTCAGGGATCCTTCGACGTCACTCACCATCGCATTCGGTGACGGCAAGGCACATGCCTGGATGACCTGGCAGGATGTTGCGATGAGCTCCAGAAAATTGCGAAAACATACCATTGGACCATATTGGACCAAGAATCACCCCTACCTAAACTAGGGGCCCCCGTCCCCCCTAAAATAATTTCCAAAATTATTTCCAAGGGGGGGTGACCTTTGTTATATTTCACATCCTTAGGTGCAGATACCCGGAAATAATTTCCAGAAACAGACCCCCCTAAATATTAGCCAAAATCCATGAAATTATTTCAAGGTCCTTCCACCTACTTATTTTGATGGGGGTTCACCTCTCAGAGTCTCAGAGGAGCCACTTTGTAAAGGACATACCATGGGATAGACTTGCAACAACGGGCTGTTGAGCTTCGTGCAAACCGCGCGCAACACAGCTAAAATAGATTCAAATTGATCGAAACCACCAATATTGATGCCACGACAACAGGCGCTGGTTATTTTTTCACACTAATGACCACAAACCAGCAATCCTGCGGCTCAACCCCGACCCCTTGTTGGAAAATTATTTTGATGGGGTCCGACCACGGGAAAATAATTTTCAACCCCGAAATTATTTTTGCATGGTTTGACCTATGCCAGAAGAAGTATATGGCTCTTGCATGGAATTGATAATTATTTCTGAAAAACTATTTTGGTACGTGACCCCCCCTTGAAATAATATATAAGGTAGCAGTGATGACCAAGATATACCAAGACCGTCAAAGACACATAAGAACACGTTGAAGATCTTTGCATCTACTTACACGTCAAAATGCATCAATACGCATGCCCCCAACAAGCATTGCGGAGACCTGCGCTGGCCATTCTACGCCCTCTGCCGATGCCAGGATTGATGCCAGAGACAAGCACACAGCCAGCACACTGCACATTGCCCGTTGCTCGTCTAGGTATAGCAAGGAAGGAACCACTCAACATCCATCAACATCCATCAACATCATATTCGTGTGTTCTGCTGATCCATTCGGTCTTGAAAGTAGAGGGGTGGAGCGTTGTTTCCCGAGTTGTTCAAATCCTGACTGCGCAAAGACATGTAAATGGGAATGGCACTAGCAATGGATGATCATTGAAGTTATTGTGCTTCCACTGTTACAACTTGAGAGGAAAGAGGCCAGTTCAATTTTAACACTTCTGAAATCAACAAGATCCAAAACTATTCACACATGTCCAGCCTAAGAACAAATTATGCATGCATGTGTATCTAAATGATTGATATTGATTGATATTGATTGATATTGATTGATATTGATTGATATTGATTGATATTGAATGATATTGATTGATATTGATTGATTATGAATTTGTAACTTACGTGCACGCACAATCACGCACATATGCGAACATAATAGCTATTCTGTTTGGCTGTTGTTCGGTTTTATCTCTCAGAGTCTTTGAGTTCAAGGTCTTTGGATTCTTTGGCCTTTAGCGTCCATCTGACACAATGTCGTCTGAAAGCTAAACAGCTGCTGCACGGCTACTGCACGGCTGCTCGGCTGAAGGAACACCAGAAGCTGACCGTGACCTGCAGCACCAAGGCTCCGACAAGTTGGCAAAAATCCCACCTGCAGATCCTTCAGGATTCCTTGGGCCCGATGTGATCGCCACATGTGTCACATGTCACAAGCTTCTCTTGAGCATCCAGCACTATGAGTCATCTTGGTGAAGCAACAGTATACCAACAGTTAACCTTCGACATCCTTCGGCATTCACTTGCAGCACTTGCATATCTTAAATTTTGCTTGCATGATCTTGCATGCAAGTCATGGCCCCTACCTATCCTACCTGTATAATCTGTATATTGAAAAGCGTGGCCAGTGGATGATTTCCCTCCACATCAAGCCTTGGAACTTCCATCCCAAGCTTCAGTCTAGGGCGCAAACTGTTGACGAAGTTCCTTGGGGGCAGAGCAACATAGAGCAACTAAAGGTAGGAGAAAGACATAGACCTCTTACACTCTAACACCAAACATTTCCCCCCATAGGGCCTTGCCAATACTTTCTGACACAAACCTCTCCTTTTCTTCAACAATTGTTGCTTTTGTTTTAACTTTTCAACTTGTTTTTGGTGGGACGGGGGGCATGACATTGCAATAGCAAATCAACCTCCTGGACATCAGCTATTTCCCGAGGCTCCTTGAACTGTCGCTGCGCGTCTTTCAATTGATTCCTTGGCTCAACCAGACACCATTTGGTGCAGCAAATGCGCCCATCATGCAGGAAGGATGACCCAAATGACATCGAAATCTTCAGCATATCATGCTGGGGCACTCAGCATGCTTGACATCCTGTTCCGCCAAGTTGATGCTGTGTGCATTGATGGGCTTCACCTGGCCTGACAAATCCAGCAAATTCCAGGGGATTCTGGGGGATCTTGTGCAGAAAAATGACACGACATCCGTTCCTCAGCACCAGAAAGAACAACAAGAACAGCAACAACCGTAGCTACCACCGCAACTGATATCTCTGCTCCCCACATCGAGCCAAAACCACACGACCGATAATGCTGCCACTGGCATTAATTACGCTTCTCAAAGCCGCCAGAACCTACAAGTTTGTTTTGTTGATTTTTGTTAAGTTTTAAGGAACATTCTACCATATTCTACCCATTCTACACAGCAATGAGATACTGCTTGGATGTGCTTGGCATATCTTGGCATCCCCATTTTTTTGTCTACGCTACCTCGGTGTGATTCCAGCGATGACGGTGCTGCGTTAGCCTTCGCGTGCCACACTGCTGCAAAGGCCCCATTCGGTGAAATCTTATTGCATCAATCAACAAATGTACGAGATTGTAATAGATTCTGCGAGCATCCAGTTGCAAGCATCTCTCCTTTTCGAAATGGTCATTTTCCAAATCCACTTGCATGAATATCATGAATCTTGGGTCAAAGTTGCATTGTGCTTTTCTCTTGAAAGGAATGAACCTGAGATTCGGCTTGGGCAACAACTTGGCAACACGACCCAACATAAATAATAGTAATAATAATAATTAATAATAATACTAATTTTTACACATTAATCAACAATCGCAGGGGAGTACGACATAGTGTGACTGTAGCTAGTCTTGGTAGGTACTGTTTTACTATGTTTTACATGTGCTGTGTGGCTGTGACCATTTGCAGCATGTCCTTGTCGCGTTCTTCATGATGAGCATGATCTCGTCTAGCTTCGGCTGCTCGTGCTGTTTCATGCCTGGAGACGGCTGGCGGCAATCAGGTTGACAAACAAAGCATGAGAAGAACAGCCGCTATGCGACTTGAAACATGTGCACTTGAGGCTTCTGCTGCTCTGTGAGGTTCGCCTTTTGTTTCCTTGGACAAAAACAAAATCTACAATCAGCTGGGCCGCTGTGGGTGTAATGACACCAGAAAGTGCAACGCAACAATGGCAAAACAATGGCAGCAACCATTCCATGATGGATCCTGAAGCCACAGTCTTAAGTAGTCTTCTCTTCCCTTAGGAACTCCGTGCAAACCACATTCATTTCTGGATCCAAGGCTCTGCAATTCTGTACCTTGGCAATCTGCTTGCGCGAGCTGAAGGGTTGCAAGATCTGTGAATGACGTTGTGAACTGACAAATTTTTGGAGCTACAACTTAAAGGAGCAACGCAACACCCATACTATGCACTAATGTACACATATCTGAAGGATGATTTAGCTAGTATGTAAATGTATGTAATGTATATGTGTCTGTATGCGTGTGCCGCATATAAGCTGTATACTGTGTAATGCAATGGTTTAAATATGTAATATATTATATATACGGTTCATATATATATATATTTCACGTGCGGTATGTTGCATACGGTTATACGGTACGTATATCATCTATCATACAGGTTATATTTAAATGCATAAATGCACGCACGCATGCATTGTCACAAAGTGATTCAAACTGGGGGTTGACATAGCACACCCATGTGATCCGATTATATCCGATCGATTTTTGCCTAGGCACGAGCTTCTTTCAATGACTGCTCCAACTTGTTGCTTTTCATTACAGCTAAGCGTGTGCCTTCACTGAAGTCTTCCTCTTTCCGCTTGATACGTTGAAGCTCCTCCTGAAACAGCTTTTTTGGCTCATGAAAGTTCTAAGTTCTCGACAATTTCTTGTCTGGTAATTCAATTAATTCTACACAATTCTTGTTGCCGAACTCTGCAAAGGTTGGGCAATCTGAGCAGCTTCAAAGTCCTCAGAAGACTTCAATGCATCTTGCTGGTGCCTGATGGCCTCCATAAAGCCGTGGCCATACCGCGCTGTGACATCCCCTGGCAAATATCGACCCCGGACCTGCTGCACTGTAGCTACAGCAGCTTCAGTGGACAGCACTTTCTTTTGCAAAGCTTGAGCCTGGGCCTGAGCTGGTTGACAGAAATCCACCGGAGAATGGCGACGACAAGACCTGTGAGATGAGAAGAGTCATACTAGGGATGCTGCTCTCGCCAACGTAACTTTGTTTGAAGCACTTCCCTGTGCTTTCAGCCTTTCTTCCATCCTGTCATTCTCATCATTCTCATCATTCTCCAAAAACAAGGGGCAAAGTCTCAAGTGTCGCAACCCCTTGAGCAACCAAAGATGCCACTGGGTTGATTCTTCAAAGCAGTAGATTGGAGATGATTGGAGTGCATCCAGCTATATTATCTATCATGCTATATCCAGCTGCCTGCCATTCACAAGCCAGCCTGGACTCTTGGTGCTCCAGCTGGTCTGTGTGCTTTGCAAGGGTCTTCTCCTGGACGGAGCGACAAACATGCCGGCTACATCGGGCTACCATCAATTCCAAGACATTCGGACATTCGTAGCCGGCGATTGATTCGCCGTGATTCGCCGTTGCCTTTTTGATCAGCTGCTCCACCTGGACTTTCGCAGAGCTGTACTGCTTCTGTTTCAATTTTAGTTCGCTTGTCATTGTCGCCTCAGTATACGCGAAACTGGTGTCACGGTGCCGGCTGCCACGAAGCAAACACAGGCATACAGCATACAGCTGAAACATGCTGAAACCATGAGCAAGGTACAATCTCTGCATGGGCCTGTGCTGAGGCGCTATTGGACACCTGAGGAAACCATCGGCTGGTATCTGCTGGTAGGGCGCACGTTCTGCAACCGCACCAGGGGCTACCCACCGCATCCCACCACACCTTAGCAGCCTTTGAGAGGCTAAGCCCAACCTCAGGAAGCTGAAGGGCATCTGAAGGCCATTTTTCAACGCTGGACACTGTCCTAGGAGATTGGTGCAGGTGTCTTTCTTTCTTGCTAGCTCCCGCACTTTCCATTTCCACAAATTCCTTTTCATTTTCCGGGTGTGCAACTGATTGGTGGACCTATTTCGGTCACTCTCAGTTTTGGAAAATGCAGGACGCAACTGCAACGGCAGTTGTCCTGGTGGTACCATACCATACCATACCATACCATACCATTGAGATGCTTTTAATTGTGGCATCTTGGAGGACTATTCGTTCTGCGCTAATCCACTTTTGATCATGATCGCACATGCCAAAAACGAATACACATGAGGCTTTGTCAACTACAATACCGGCTTTGAAGAAACGACCATATTTCGTGTCAACAATCTGCGATACCAGTGTCAATCAATACGTATCAATACAGTCAGTGCCTTGGTTGCCCTTCGGCCTTCGGGTTTTGAATCGCTGAGTTCCCGTGCTTCATTGGCAGCTTGGGCTGCAGCCCCAGTCAGGAGGGTCAGCAGAAGCCACATCCGAGACATGTTGCCGACTCGCTGGAACCACGTGGCTGCCAAGGGCGAACCTGTTAAACCAGGCAGCCAAACTTTGGGCGTTTTCGTGGTGAAACATGTGAAACTTTCATAAACTTTCCACATAGCACGCTCCAAAAATTCACGAGTTCGTCAAACACCAAACACTTCGCAAAATCTCTGGCTCTGAGCCGCTCTGGTCACACACTGGAAGTGGCCTGATGCTTCCACCTTGCCAAAAAACGCTGGAAAGCGAGTCCCCATGTCCTGCGCAGCAGCGATGCTACACTTCCATACAAAAGCCTCATGCCTAGGCCTGGCTTGCCCCACATGGTGCAGGATCAGCTTATCCCAACGACCAAGAAGCCCATTGGCACATCCCAGTCCCCAAACAAACTTATCCGTGAGTTGGATTGAATGCACCAATGCTCGAAGGGTTTGCTGATGTCTTTGGTGAATGCCAAATCTTGGAGACATGAGCCGGAACGCTTTGGATTTTTTCCTGACAGCATAATCATGCATAATCAGTGCGTCTAGCTGCATTCCGCCAGAAATCCTAATTAGATTAATGTGGGTTACAGATTAGTGTGGGGATACACAATTGTGCCCACAGACTCCAAAATTATTCTGTAACTCTGGAAATGATTGAGGGGTACAGTTTTGTGTCCACAGGATTTTGGTGTAAGTTTTTTTTCACTTTTTTTGTTTTTTTTTTAAGTTTTTAATTGTTTTAAATTATTTTTATTTTATTTCTTAATGATAATAATTTTTAATTTAATAATTGTTTATTTTATTTTAAATTATTTTTTATTTTTATTTTTAATAATTTTTAAGTTAATTATATTTTTAATTTAATTATTTTAATTTAACATTTTTTTAAAAATATAATAAATTAATAAATATAATATATATATAATCATTACCATTCAATTTTGTGACAAATTGTGTCAGGATACACAATTGTGTCTTGGTCTTGTTTCTGTTTGTTCAAACATTTTTCATTTTTTTTATTTTTTATTTTTTTTCTTTTACTTTTTATTTTCCATCATTGAAATTTTCCAGATGCCTTCCACAGAAAATTACATCCAGGTACACAATAGTGTGGTTTGTTTGGAGGGTACACTATTGTGTCCTGCTGTTTCCTGGGGTGTTTTTTTTTTTTTGCAATCATTTCCTTTACCTTTTCCTTTGCTAAAGTTTTTTTCTTTTAATTATTTTTTTTAAGTTTCTTTCATTTGAAATTCCCAGAAATGCCCAGTTTCCCAAAATATATGATGCCTTATTAAAACCCAATTAAAAAACATCACTCAAACAATTTTTCAAGGGGGTAGTCCATGAGCAACCCTGATACACAATAGTGGGTTTGTTTGGAGGGTACACTATTGTGTCCTGCTGCTTTCTGAGGTGATTTTTTTTTTTTTTGCAATCATTTCCTTTACCTTTTCCTTTGCTAAAGTTTTTTTTCTTTTAATTACTTAATTACTTTCTTAGTTTCTTTCATTTGAAATTTTCAGAAATGCCCAGTTTCCCAAAATATATGATGCCTTATTAAAACCCAATTAAAAAACATCACTCAAACAATTTTTCAAGGGGGTAGTCCATGAGCTGATACACAATAGTGTGGTTTGTTTGGAGGGTACACTATTGTGTCCAGCTGCTTTCCTGAGGTCATGATTTTTTTGATTTTTTCAATCATTGAATTAACCTTTTCCTTTGCTAGCTAAAGTTTTTTCCTTTTAATTATTTTTTTTAGTTTCTTTCATTTGAAATTCCCAGAAATGCCCAGTTTCCCAAAATATATGATGCCTTATTAAAAACCCAATTTAAAAAAATCACTCAAACAATTTTTCAAGGGGGTAGTCCATGAGCAACCCTGATACACAATAGTGTGGTTTGTTTGGAGGGTACACTATTGTGTCCTGCTGTTTCCTGGGGTGATTTTTTTTTTTTGCAATCATTTCCTTTACCTTTTCCTTTGCTAAAGTTTTTTTCTTTTAATTACTTAATTACTTTCTTAGTTTCTTTCATTTGAAATTCTCAGAAATGCCCAGTTTCCCAAAATATATGATGCCTTATTAAAACCCAATTAAAAAACATCACTCAAACAATTTTTCAAGGGGGTAGTCCATGAGCAACCCTGATACACAATAGTGTGGTTTGTTTGGAGGGTACACTATTGTGTCCTGCTGCTTTCCTGAGGTCATGATTTTTTGTTTTTTTTCAATCATTTCCTTTACCTTTTCCTTTGCTAAAGTTTTTTCTTTTAATTACTTAATTACTTTCTTAGTTTCTTTCATTTGAAATTCTCAGAAATGCCCAGTTTCCCAAAATATATGATGCCTTATTAAAACCCAATTAAAAAACATCACTCAAACAATTTTTCAAGGGGGTAGTCCATGAGCAACCCTGATACACAATAGTGTGGTTTGTTTGGTGGTACACTATTGTGTCGTGCTGCTTCCTGGGGTGATTTTTTTTTTGCAATCATTTCCTTTACCTTTTCCTTTGCTAGTTTTTTTTCTTTTATGGTATTTCTATGGTATTACTATTGGATTTCTATGGAATTCCTATGGGATTTCCATGATGTTTCTATGATATTGCTGGAGGGTTTCTATGGGATTTCTGAAGGGATGCTATGGGAGTTCTATGGTATTCTTATGGGATTTCCATTGGATTCCTATGGGATTTCTATGGTATTTCTATTGGATTCCTATGGAATTTCTATTGGATTCCTGTGGGACTTCCAAGGTATTTCCATGATGTTTCTATGATATTTCTATGGGATTATTATTGGAATTCTCATGGGATTTCTTTGTGGTTCCTATGCTATTCCATGTTATTTCTATGATCTTTCTATGGGATTTCTGTGGGATTCCTATGGGATGTCCATGGTACTTCTATGATATTTCTTTGGGACTACTATTGGATTTCTATGGGATGTCGATTGAAAGTGAATTGACAGTAAATTGAAATCAATTGAAAGTAAATTGAAATCAATTGAAAGTAAATTGAAATCAATTGAAATCAAATTGAAATCAAATTGAAATCAATTAAAAGTAATTTGAAATAAATTGAAAAAATTGAAATAAATTGAAAATAAATTGAAATCAATTGAAAGTAAATTGAAATCAATTGAAAGTAAATTGAAATCAATTGAAAGTAAATTGAAATCAATTGAAATCAAATTGAAATCAATTCAAAGTAAATTGAAATCAATTGAAAGTAAATTGAAATCAATTGAAATCAAATTGAAATCAATTAAAAGTAATTTGAAATAAATTGAAAATAAATTGAAAATAAATTGAAATCAATTGAAAATAAATTGAAATCAATTCAAAGTAATTTGAAATCAATTGAAAGTAAATTGAAATCAATTCAAAGCAAATTGAAATCAATTCAAAGTAAATTGAAATCAATTCAAAGTAATTTGAAATCAATTGAAAGTAAATTGAAATCAATTGAAAATAAATTGAAATCAATTCAAAGTAATTTGAAATCAATTGAAATCAAATTGAAATCAATTCAAAGTAAATTGAAATCAATTGAAATCAAATTGAAATCAAATTGAAATCAATTAAAAGTAATTTGAAATAAATTGAAAAAAATTGAAATAAATTGAAAATAAATTGAAATCAATTGAAAGTAAATTGAAATCAATTGAAAGTAAATTGAAATCAATTGAAAGTAAATTGAAATCAATTGAAATCAAATTGAAATCAATTCAAAGTAAATTGAAATAAATTGAAAATAAATTGAAATCAGTTGAAAGTAAATTGAAAGTAAATTGAAATCTATCATTTTTTTTTAATTCCACACTATTGCGTACCCGATACAATGTTTTTTTCCACACTGTTCTGTATCCAAAAATTGTTAAGGAGGGGGGGGGGGTCCCCCCTGTACCAATCTGTAACCTACATTATTTGTCATTATTTTCATTGGCAGTGCATGCTTAAGGCTTCGCAGCGTCGCAGCCAAGGTACTGTAGCGTTCTGAAAAGAATGGATCAACTATGATCAACCCATTGCAGATAGATACACACACACACATACATAACATACATACATACATACATACATACATACATACAACATACATACATACATACATACATACATACATACATACATACATACATACATACATACATACATACATACATACATACATACATACATACATACATACATACATACATACATACATACATACATACATACATACATACATACATGCCAGTTCCGCTTTGTAGGGCACCAGTTCCGCTGTCTTCAGCTCGAAGCCTAAAGTCTGTACACCGTACTAAAGAAGCCAATTGGAGTGCGGCATGAAGGACAAGCCGCCGCTCTGCTATTATGTCGGCGAATTAAATCATGCAAACACAATGAGCAGACATGCTGGTGTCTGCAGGGGAAAATGACGGTATCAGGTTTTTTGTTCCGACATATAATGCACTCATCTTCTTGTGCACTTTGACGCTTCAGAAGTTTCTGCTCCAAGGTCTCGTTCAAAGCAACTTGCTGCTCCACAAGTTGCTGCAGCGCCAATGCCTCTGGAGCAAAGCTGTCAATGAAAAATCAACGCGTGCCGTTTCAAAAATTGTTTTGAGCCGCGTCAACTTGTTTCTTCTGCCTGTTCCTTGTTTCTTTCTTGACACTCTGCCAATTTCTCCTCACCCAAGTGGAAGCAATGTCCAGGCAAGCTGCATAAGAGGTATGCCCTGTACAGCAATGTAATGTCGATTTGAGCTTGTCAGCTGTTACCAATCCAATCATTATTCCGAAGTGCGGTAGTAGTGGGTAGGTCGCATGCCTCGACCTCTCTTTGCCTGTTCTCCGCTTCCTTCGCTTTCAAAGTCGCCTCACAAAACGCCCGAGCGAAGCCAAGTTCCAAGCCACAGCCGAACCTTCAAAGCCCCAGCCTTCAAAGCCTCCAAGGAGGTTGATGCAGGCTTCGTCTGCTGGCGTGCCATTCGATGTTTGAGCTCTATAATGTCTCAATGCCCGTATCTGTTTTGTTTCTCATGCACAGGACGTGGGTGTCCCCCACCCGTCAGCCATCAACAGATTGTGAAAGAACTGCACAAGATTGAAACCACAAACCCGAATGCCTCACACTTCTGGTCAATGTTCATACTGGGAAGACATGGGAAGACAATAAATCCTTGTTGAAAAATCATGTGTGGTGGTGTTTGTATGGTGCTGTTTTAGTGGTGGGGTTTTAGCGGAGTGAGGTGAGTGGAGTGGGGCGAGTGGAGTGAAATCAGTCAAGTAGGTGAGTGGAGTGAATGGACTGGATTGGAGGGGATTGGAGCGGAGTAGAGTGAGTAGAGTTGCGTAGGTGGAGTGGAGTGGGTGGTGTTGGCTTTTTGGTGGCACTGTTTGTGTGGTGGTGTTGGGTGCGTGGTGTTTGTGTGGTGGTGTCTTGGTGGTTGTGTTTGAGGGGTGGTGTTTTGATTGTGTTATTGGTAGTGCTTTGGCGGCGTTGTTTGTGTGGTGATTTTTTGTGGAGTTGTGTTTTGCTGGTGGTGTTTGGGTGGTGTTTGAGCGTTGGCGCTTTGAGCATGCCACACAAAATGCAACCCAGGGTCTCCAAAGTGCCATGCTTGCCACGCAAAGTGCAATCACGCAAATGAAGAACACACAATCTTTAAAAGCACGATTTCCAATGGGAGAAGCGACGAGAGACGACGACAGGCGACGAGAGGCGACGAGCCGACCAACGCCAACGGGAACCCTTCGCTATGCATTCGGGAAAAAAGAAGTGAAACCTGTCCAGCAACAGCGTCATCCAAGAGCCTGTTGCTGCTCCTGACGGCTGACCCTGGGCTTGGGAACAAAAAGCTCCACGCCAGGAGGCGGCTCGGCAGGAATTTGAATCCCAAGTTTTTTGGCGATCGCCTTCCACAACACTTGGCCAAGCTCACTTTGACTCTCTCTCCATTGCCTTCTCAATGAGATTAGCGTTGACCAAGGGACGACACTGTAATTGCGCGGCCTTCACTTCAGACATAGTGGTTTTCACCACTGGCCAGCCATTCACCTGGCGGATCATTTGAGCAGTGCAACATTTAATTGTGGACTTGTCAGGAGGGTCAATAATGCCAAGTATCAGGAGGTGATTGATTAGTAGGGGCGATTTATTCAGCCTACCTTGGCATTATTAAGCATGACTCCATGACTATTAACGATCAATCAGTGATCATTTACCACCAGAGCTGCTTGAATGGTTTTCTCCATGTGAGAAAATGGTTGTTGGGTAAACCACTTTGGTTTTGTCAGTTGCAACTGACAAACATCCTATGGGTTTTGTCAGTTGCAACTGACAAACATCCTATGGGTTTTGGCACCAATCACAAACATGCGCGGACCAACATCCTATGGCTGGGTGATATGACTCCTCGCCTCAGTTCCTTTCAAGCAAGCCTCCACCCGCTCCTTAAAACAGCAAGGCAAGCAGCATTTTGCTTAACAAGGAAGGCACCACTAGGGCCCAGGCACGTCTGATCGTGCGATTCGAACCAGGGACAGGCGCGGGCGGGCCTTTCCCTTTCGGTTCCTTGTTGTATGGTCGCTGTTTCTTCGCCATTCTTGAGCCGCCAGGACGGAAAAACGCCAGTTTGTCTGGCGGTCAGAGAGAAGAGATGTAAAAGAGATCAGGCGTAAAAGAGATCAGTTGTGCAAGAGAAGAGGTCCGACACTAAAGCTGGAAAGATCAATGATGGCATCAAGGTTTGCAGTTTGACATGACAAATGAGACATATGGTCATCATGCAGCACAAATCAGCACAAGTTTCCAAAGACATCATCATGACATGAGAATAGCAAAGACATCATTTTGTCAACATTGCTGACACCTGTAACTGTTCACATCACTTCAAACTCATTTTCATCAAGCCTGCGCTACTAAATTGGGCTCTGAACGGCCAGCCTGCACTCTTCCCCCAATGTGATGTGTCTGCAATACAACTTACTTTGGAGACGAGCTGGAGAGAAGAGCAGGCCACAAGCAGGGAAAAGTAGTGACATTGTGATATCAGCTCAGAACTTGAAAACTGAGCTTCCAAAAGCTTTCCCTAAGAGCTGCAGCTGCACAGCTGGCCGGGAATCACCAGGTTCAAAACAAGTTCACTGGTGTGCATCGCGGCGAAGAAAAAGTCAGGCAAAGACCAAACCTGTCAAACAGAAAATCAGTTGTTTCAAATAGAAAATAGACCTAAGCATGTTACCAAACATGTAAAGCGCACCTAGATGGAATCAGCACTGTGAATAATCCTGCTAGCTTCGGATGCTTCAGTTCCTATTTCAGAGTACATAGTTCAACAGCTAACGTTGGTGGCCTGACACAAAGCCAAAGGTGTGGTGCTCCGCAGAGGTTTTTGAGTCAGGATGTGATTTGCAGGCCTGGCTTGGAGCAGACAAAACGAGATACAATGAGTGGCTCGATCTTTGATGAAAGCAGTTTGATGAATCCATACATCAGCCTATGCATCAGCCTGGAATAAGACATTGTCAAACCATACCCTTAAACCAAGGAAATAGATGGCAAGATGCGAAGAATGCTTCAATACTGACTTCCAGATGAATGCCATATGTTCGGTGATATTTGTGACATTTTTGGGAATGGTCCTGCTGCCTACACCCATCTCCGCAACATGGAAAGTTATGATGCCCAGCTGGCTTGGGCAAACCAAGCTCCAGTCAGCAACTGCATGGTGTTTCCAACACGAGCAATACTGTGAGCTGTCAACAAATGCCACCACTCGGTGTGGGGGGTTCCCCTGTCAGGACTTTAGCCGGGCAGGGAAGCAACAAGGAACAGCAGGGAAACAAGCACCAGTGGTGGCTTCATTTGGGAGAAAGGCAAAAGAAACGGCAAATCCTGTTCTAACCATCGAAAACGTCGACGGCTGCCCCATCGATGTGATTCATGATACATTTGGCTCCGACTACGAGTGGTTTGGCCAAGCATGTTTTGAACCAGAATCAGTGGGTTTTGCTTGCATCAGGCGGTCCAGGCCGGGCTTTATCAACCTTGTGTTTTGGCACTGTGGGTATCTAATCATTTGCATACATGTGGGCGTGAATATGTTAATGTTTCCTCCGCATGCCGATGTGCAGGCTGTACATGGGGGCTCTTCACCGATCCTTTGCCACATGCGTGATAGACCCTGGACACTTACTGGAATATACTATGCATTGCATCAGCCGTGACCCACTATTGAAGTAACTTGTCGGCGCTGTTGTTCTGTTCTTTACTCACCGACTTCAATTCATCACAATGATTCTAGTGACCACCCACCCTTCTTATGCAACAGCGCCTGCGCATCTCAGGCCCAAATCAATCATGATCGCTGATGACAATGCTTTCTGGCAAGATTGCTGGCACCTGACACGTGGGGACTGGGAAACAAATGGGATACAAGTGAAGGAAATCATGCGACCAACCGGACCCAAAGTGAGAGACAAATAGGAGAAAAATGGGAAACAAGTGAGGGAAATCATGCGACCAACCGGATTCAGAGTGGGAGACAAGTGGGAGACAAATCAAAGACACATGGGAGACAAGTGAGGGAAATTATGCGACCAACCGGACCCAGAATGGGACACAAGTGGGAGACAAATAAAAGACAAATGGGAGACAAGTGAGGGAAATCATGCGACCAACCGGACCCAGAGTGGGACACAAGTGGGAGACAAATAAAAGACAAATGGGAGACAAGTGAGGGAAATCATGCGACCAACCGGACCCAGAGTGGGACACAAGTGGGGGACAAATAAAAGACAAATGGGAGACAAGTGAGGGAAATCATGCGACCAACCAGCACCAACACTCTGAGGACGCAAGCCCGGAGACACAGTCAAAATCATACGACCAAGGCAAGCAACCCTTTTCAAAGGAGTAAGAACCCCATACAGGTAAACCTGTTTGGGGAATGAAAGACAAACGGGGGACAAGTGAAGGAAATCATGCAACCAACTCATACATACATACATACATACATACATACATACATACATACATACATACATACATACATACATACATACATACATACATACATACATACATACATACATACATACGTACATACGTATGTACGTACGTTACGTTACGTTACGTTACGTTACGTTACATTACATTGCATTGCATTGCATTACATTACATTACATTACATACATACATATAAACATATATATATATATTGAATCATATTAAGATTATGACGCGTACTATGAGTCCTATGCATCTTGGTAGGCCGTCTAGCCACATGCCACACAGCTTCGTCCGGCCAATGATTTTCATGGAGCATTCAGGGTATGAGGTATGAAGGACCGTGGGCTGACCTCAGGATCCTCAGGTCCTCAACGAAGTTTGACTTCGATCTGTACAAAACATATCACGCAGATATTCAGATCTGCCAAAAATATCCAATAAGTTGACCATGAGTAAGACTGCACAAGCTGGGAACTGATGTTTGGACCTTTATCATCGCTTATCTGTTCCAAGAGGTGAATGCTCAACTGAGGGTTTTGCCTGCTGAGAATTATGAGAATTTGTGATTACTTGCACAACTAGGTTAGAAGCTTCAGCGAGCGTAAGGACTCTGCTGTGGCATGTCTGCCTCACTCACTTATCAACTTGCTTGTCAACTCGGCTTTGCCGTTTGGTGATTTGGAAGCACAAAACGCAACCAGATGGCCAGCACGAGGTGATGGCAAAGAGCCAGAAGCTTTCAAATCTTTCAAAACAATCTCGTACAGTCGCACAGTCTGCCTCAGAATACCTCATGAAACCGTGAGGAAGCTTCAGACTCACCGCGGCACCCAGGGATTTCCAAGGTGCCAGTGGTACCGTTAACCAATTCTAAACACAAACGCTACTCACTCCACAGTTTCATACTTGAACGTGACTGGAAACTCAATGCTGAGGGGAAGCCAGTCATGCTTCGTGCTGTGCAGCGGTAGTTGCCGCATCTTGCCTTCTCTGAAGTTTACAAAAAGGTAAAGCCTTTTAGAGCCTTTTGGAGCAGCTGCAAGGCTAAGTCTCCCTGGGAAACTCCTTTGAAAATCTTTGAAGTAAGTGGGCTTTTGAACATCTGTGGCCCAGTGGCTTTTGCTCTGGCTACTAATGACCAATCAGCCTTGAAGTATCCTGCACTGATGCGTAGCTCCTCACCTAATGAATTCCAATCCACCTATAGAATTTAAACAACTGCTCCAATAGCTTCCTTCAGAGAGCCACGGCCCAAAGAACGATCAAAAACATTGGCAGCTCTTGGATATGACTCTATTTGGTCTCGATCACAAGAGAGGTTCAAGAGGCAAGTCAAGTGGAAAGCTCTGACCGGACGCCAGACCAACCACACTCATCATTTTTGCACAAGATAATTGCAGCAAACTGTTGCGAATGCTTTTTCACCACCCTTGTAGAATCAAGATCTTGGGCATACTTGTGCATCATGTCGGTTGTCTGCTTGTTCACAGAACCTCAGACTTGCACCCAAGAACCTGATCGGTGACGGCCGCTCTGGTAATGCCCTCGCACTACCTGGCACTACCTTGGACTCTGGTCCCTGCCGATCCTACCGGTTTTGGCATTTTGTTCTTCCACGGCAAACTCTTCCGTAAAGAGCCAAAGAAGTCAAAACCATAGCTGGCATTGCATTTCTGCAGCCGAAAGGCGAACGCTTTCAGCTCCCTTGGCGCAGAAATCCGCTTCCAACATCTACCAACTGTTTGCCAGTAGGAAGGCAGGATGCCTGATCACGCTGCGTTTTGCGTGATATTGCTTCGCTGCCAAGCTTTGGCGCAGCATTGGAGAAATTCACAACCTTAGTGGTAAGCGAGTTGGAGGGTGGAAGATTGAACACGCAATCAGCGGAACTCATTGTTAGAATCCAAGTGACTAAGCTGAACTTACAGCGAGATCAAACTGGAGATGGGAATACTAGGGAACGCAGTCTGACTTCTGATGTCGTCAAGAGATCCCTACCACTATAGAGGGGGAGGGCGGGGGGGACAAAACCAACCTGTCGAATTCTACTTTTTTTTGCTTGGAAACCCTGGAATAGTGATCCAACCCCTCAAATGGAATTGTAAAGTAACATTTCTTGAAAAGCCTTGGGCACTGGTTAGAAAATACTTGCGCTTAGCCCCGGAGGAGCTAAGCGCAAGTATGATGACGGCAGCGCAATTTTCGGAGGGATGCGATCCCTACACACGTGCTGCTTCAGTCTGACATGTGCTTAGCTCCTCCGGAGCTAAGCGCAAGTATTTAATTTTCACCTGCTTGCCAATGACATGGAATGATGAGGAATATTGATCATTCAGAAAACATGATTGCAAAAATGGAATTTTAAAATGAAATTTCAGTACGACTCCCCCCCTCAAATTCCATTTTTAAGAGGGTAGGGATGTCAAGAGTATCTGCATCAAATCCACCATGAGACTTGTTCCTACGCTGAATCTCTCCCTCTCCCTCCCTCTCCCTCCCTCTCCCTCCCTCTCCCTCTCTCTCTCTCTATTTGTGACATTCTTGGCATTCCGGCCTTCGCTTCAACGTATGCTCAACATAGCTCTTAAAAGACGAAAAAGTTGATAGCCTGCACCACTGACCACTGACCACTGCAACTTCGAATGCAACTTCAATATGGGTTCAACATACCTTTTCAAAGCTGCATCTGGCCACATCGTTTTGTTGAATGCGCAGTCTTGAGGAATATGTATGAATTTGTATCATCTGGGCAGAACATGTGAACACCAAACCAACAAACGCCTCCGTACACCCAAGCTCATTACAACATTTGGCAACAATCTTCTGAATCATCAGACGGCCCGGTCGTGCAAGAGAACTGGTACTTCTATGACCTTCTTCTTCAAGTGGGCCAACGTGTTCCAGTGTGACTGTGTCCAATGCAGTTCAAACTACTTAGTTCAACATGTCTGTGCTATGATTGCTGTCTGTTCTGTGTGACTCTTTGTGACTCTTTGTGACTTTGTGACCGCACCTCCTCTCTGGTTTAAGGTCCGACAGATCCGACAGCGAATAAGGCAGAGAACCCAGATGGGATGAGCTCATGTTGCATGTTGGGCAGGGTGTCAATGGCACGCCGTCCTCGTCCGGGGGGTCCTGTGTCAAGTGCTTTCCAAAGCGACGAAGACGTATGAAAACGCATGAAAACGCAGCAACTGTCTCGCAAAATTCGCAAGATCAAAAAACATCAAAAAACGAACCGAAAGCTGCGATATGCCGCGACGTCTGTGAAGCTTTGAATTCGACGCCACCTCTGCAAACCCCTCCAGTCCTCCGGCGTGCAATCGGCATCCAGAGGCTCTTCGAGCCTTTGCGATGGATAGAGGTTTCCAAGCTTTGTGTCCAGCACAGACTTGAGGTGGAGATCTGACACACCTGGCAAAGCAGATCCTGTGGACTAAAGGGCAACACTGCAATCACAGCACATTGTTGAAAACGTCATTGATGGAAACGGCAATGGAAAATGAAGCAAGAAAGCAAGGCGCCTTTGTTTCCTCTGGCTCCTGAAATGCCAGGATCGGACGAAATAGTAGCACTGGAGACTGCTGACTGGGGATACTCCGTTTTTCGGCAAGGCATCCTGAGTGCTGCTCTCATTGCACAAGCAGCACAGGTATACTAGTTGGTGCTGTGTCAGTTCCAACTCTAATCACATTGGCGTTCAAACTTCCGAGGAAGCCACCCAAAACTCCCGGAGTCTTCTTCGGCGTGGGGCGAAAACAAAATCGACAGCAGCGATGGTCCACACTGCATGGTTTTGCCGAGTCTTCGAACCACTGGGGACACCGGGGCCAAAATTGCTGCTGATGAAGTTTGGCAAAAGGCAGAGGTACTGCCTAGCTATCCTTGAACAAGAGGCAAATGACAACTTGCAAATGACTTATAAATGGCTTGCAGGTCTTTACGCTACAACTCAACATACAGATTATTTTCAAGGAACATCAGAGTCTGAGGTGAACGCTGAAAACCTGAGTGCCGTTGCCCACACAAAACCTGTCAACGGGGCGTTTTTATTTTTAGGAGAGGGGTTACTCAAAAAAACGCAGCAAAGACCGAGGGACGTAAAAACACCAAAAAGGAACAGAAAGGCTACAAAGCAAAAAAAAACATTCTGCTAGACATGCGGAATGAACGGTTCCAACAAATGGAGTTCCTGAGTGACAGTTTTAGAAATGAAGAAAGAATGAGGCATACAGATACATGCAGTACAGCACGGTACAGCTACTGATGCTACTGGCAGTTCCCAAAGACTGGAGCACAGATGCGTGCCAAATTGACCTGGAACTTGGCCACAGAAGGATGGCAGCTTTATTGCTCTGCTGATGATTGCAGTCATAGAAACCCAAACCACCACGCATTGTTCTCTTGCGAGGCGTGTCATTGATGAGAAAGGGCGACGATGCCACTTCTAAGCTCGTGTCAACTGATTCAACTGGGCTGGTCACCTGGTCCACCGCGGAAAACCAAGTTTCAATTTAAACAGTTGTAAACATATTTAAACAACATCCGCTCAAGACAGGCAACTTGATCGTTGGCAATTCCAATTCCACAGATTGTCCAGGCTTCAAGAGGGACCCGTGGGGGAAAGGATGGGACAAACCATGAGGCCATGACTTCACCTTTCACCCGGATGGGTGAACTGTGGGATCTGGAATGGCCTCCGGTAGCCTAACCCTTGCCACTTTCAGCGGCCTTCGAAGACCCACCAAACCAAATAGTTCTTGCCCCTCAGAAACGACCAGCTTCTTTGGCATTTTTTCACCTAAGTTTTCAATCTTCTTGGAGGGAGAGTCGCTACTCATCACGAACTTTGCTGCGCATGCTGGCGTCTCATGTCAAACATGAAGATAGGCACAGCTGCTGGAAAATATTCAAAGTGCATTGTTTTAGGCCCTTTCAAAACGGAACCACAACAAAAAGAAAAACGCCACCAATCAGCTTCAGTGAATTCACATTCCGCTCCAGTGTTTTTTTGTTTTCGTGATGGTGTGGGAAACCAAAGGAGGTGTACCCCATTTCATTCCTTAGAAAAATCGAGAAGTGTAACAAGTTTTGCTGGCTTAGCATGGCCACTTTGCGCACGGATGACACGCACCACATCAGATCGGTGCTGAATGTATGGCTCAAGAAAACAGGTGCCCTTAGCAGCTGCCGCTGTGGTTGTTTGGGTGCCTGGGGACACTCAGGTTATGAGCCAAAGCAAAGCGCCTGGGTGACTTCGCTGTTTTAGCTGACTGCCATGGATCGAAGGAGACGGGCTGATCAGAATGGAGGAGAAGGCTTGGGCGGTGGCTTCTCCAGCTCCGGAAGTTAGAAGGCTGAAGCTGCTGAACAATGGAGCCTCGACCGACGGCACTGGTGGTGCAAGGGGCTCTGACGATGGTGCAGGAGCTGAAGCTGGTGGTGGTGCTGGTGTAGTTCTGGTCCGATGTTCCAGTGCCTGATGGACTGATGGCTTGCTTGCCCCACTTTTTTCGGACCTGGGTGGTGACGGAGCCCTTCAAGGACTGCAGCCACGGAGGTTGGACTTGGATCGGATGATGAGGTGACTACCTGGTCGAACATCCGGGATCCTGGCGGGTCGTTTGCCTCGCCTTTTCCTGGAATCCAGAAGTTCGGCATCGAGCATGGTGGAGCATGCTATGGAAGTGGCCCAACCTGAAGGGCTCCCACGCCGATGGCGGGACCTGCTAGGAGCTTCGGAGCGCCTGGTGCTGTACCTCAACAAGCCTTGGTGGGAACTGCGGGCCCTGTGCAGGCCATCCACTATGACTTCAGGCTCTGTGCAGGCCACTGGAACTATGATTTCGGGATCTGTGCACGCCACCGCAACTATAGGCTGCTGGAACTATGGCGTTGGGCCCTGTGCATGCAGGCCGCTGCAACTATGGCCTGGCCCTGTGCAGGCCGCTGCAACTATGATCGCTGGCCCAGAGCAGGCCCTTGATGAACTACATCCTGGATGGGGTACTGTGCACACGAGGCTCTTGGTGAAGTTTCTCTCGGTGCACTTGGTCAAGCTTCTCCGGAGAAGGACATTGAGGAGCTGAGATTGAGACTGGTGCAGGAGGCCGAGGAGAACTTCAAGCGAGAGGCAAAGAAGCTCTGTGGTGAGGATGGCGAAGTTGTGTCATATCACACAGCTTCCAGTGGTCGAGAAGGTGGAGTTCAAATCGCTGCAACAACAACAACAACAACAACAACAACAACAACAACAACAACGACGGCTGCGATGTCTCCACCACCAGGTTTTGGATCAGTGACAGCAGCTGGCTGGAGCTTGAACATCACCCCAACAGAATGGAGGTGGGCTGGCTTGAACCTTGGGTGGTCATGTTCAGCATGGTGGACCGTTGTTGATGAGGGCCAAAGAACAATCGAGGTCTTCGCCGCTGTTGCTACAAGCTCTACTCCGGTGCCACGTGGTTCAGGTGGTGCCGGTGCTGGCGCTATGGGAAGTTCTGGGCTTCCGATGAGACCCCCTGGACTTGGAAGCCAAGATCAACAAGGTCTTCAAGCGGATCCAGAAGCTTTGAAGAGTGCACTTGTGGGGGACATTTCCAATTCGGCCCGTGAATGGTGGAGCCAGGTGCTGAATGAGACCATGGCGCTCTACGACCGGTGCCTGATAAGCACGCCACTGGAAAGAATCAGACTTCAACACCAGAAGCGTTGAGGTCGGAGGCTTATCTGCGATTGGAACAGCGGATCGTTCCTCTTCTCCTGAAGTCTATGCTGGAGCTGATCAAGGGTTTGGCCTCAGCCGACTTCTGAACTTGCTGCAGCCGCTGAAGTACTTCAGGTCTCAGGTGGAACCAATGGGTGAACCAGCCACTGAGGCTACAACAGAGCTGCTGAAGGATGCGACAGGCTTGTTGAAGTCCATTCGGGGACTGTCGGGGAGAAGGGCTTTATGGACTTCCTGGTGGGTTCGCACTACTTGATGGTGGAGCTACGCATGCCCTTCGACAGGCGCGCCCGGAGGAGGAAGCTGACCTCATGCCGACCAAGGTTGAATTAGCCTATGGCCTATGGGTCGACAGTGCCCTACAAGCACCCGGAAGCACCAGACTTTGCTTTCCAAGCATCCAGTGGAGCCCATCATACCAGACCACTGGTTTGGTTGGCTCCTTCCGACTACCGCATCACCTCTACGTTGCAGTCTCCGAGGAAGTTGTCCTGTGATGGCCCGCGAAGAGGGATTGGACCTGCTGAATGGCCTTGAGAAGATGCAGCAGGGCGACATGGACGTGAATGCTGGTGAGCTGGCTTGTCGGGGTGCGAAGTTCCCTGAAGTGCCCATGGATGTGTGGAAGTTCATGAAGGGCCAATGAAAATTGGAAGGACCTGACAGAGAACCTTCCGTGGAACAGGCACCAGAGGAAGCGAATGTGGAGGTCAAAGGGGGTGGTGCACCACTTTTTTGCTGGAAAGGACATGAAGCAGTGGAAGGAGCCCGAACAGGCTTGCTACGTTGTGATGTCAGTGGATGTGCTCCATGGAATGGATCTTCACGATCCGGCGATGTGGTCATTCATTTGGAGCTTGGCTGTCGCTGGCAAGTTGCGCGCTTGGCAGCTGCCGCTGTGGTTGTTTGGGTGCTCTGTTGTTGCTTCTTTGTTGCCACATTTACCCTGTTTGCTCCCTTCCAGCCTGGATTGAATATCTTCATGTCCTTCTTTCACGTCTTTTTATCCTTTTCTCGTTTCATGTTCCTTGTGTCACTTCCCTGTACTTCATGCTCCCCTCCACTTTTTTGCGTGTGCTCGCGTGGCATGGAACACATGACGCTGGGCACACTTGCTGGAACATATTCTATGTGCATTGTTTCAGGCCCCTTTCAGGAAGGAACCATAAGAAAAAGAAGCTATCTCAGTGAATTCATATTACGCTCCTTTCCTCTCATTGTTTCTTGTTTTGCTGTCTTTATTTTTTGGCTGGCGTAAGTTCTGCTGATTTTCATGCGAAAACCAGATTAACTTAATCTCTCTCTCTCTATGTGATGACCATTATTTCTTCTTGTTTCTCCTTTGTGCTTTTCATGTTCTTTGAACCGCTTCGGTGTCTTTGTTGCTTCCCTGTCCTTCTGGTATTTGCTCATATCTTTTCATTCACAGGACCTTTTTAGGTTGCTGCAGCTCCTTGTACTTTCAGGGTTTCCTGTCTTCTTTGCTCTTTGTTTGTTGCTATCCTTGCTTTTCCCGCCACTTTGTTGCACATGCTGGCGCCTCATGTCAAACATGAAGATTGGCACAACTTCTGGAAACTAATCTATGTGGATTGTTTTAAGCCCTTTTCAAAAAGGAATCAGGGCAAAAAGGAAAAGCGTCACCAATCCTCCTCAGTGGATTCACATTCCGCTCCAGTGTTTTTATGTGTGTTCTTTCTCTATTGACTATTGTTGCTTCTTTGTTGCCGCGTTTATCCTGTTGGCGGAAACACAACGACTAATCCCGAGCACGCATGAGGGGGGGAAGGAGAGCACTGGCCAACGATTTGCTTGGAGAGTCTTAACACATTGATCGAGTAACTTTATATATATATATATGTATATATTACTCCATATTCCGAGTGCATCTTTTCCATATTCTATGTGGAGGAAATCCAGGAAATATTTTTTGGATCTATTTTCCTTATTCTAAGTGCAACTAATTTATTTTTAATATTCTATGTGTCAGCCGGTTACTATATCCTTTTCTCCATTTCCTTTTATTTTGCTCATTCTGCTCCTGATTCCCTCTGTTCTATGCGTCAGAATTTTGCGGAAAGTCACCCAACCATCGGGCCTGGCTGGCCCCGTTGACGAAGATTTCCAAATCGCCTGAGTCAACATAGAGCACCAAACGCACCACGTCGCCAGGGCGAAGGCATTTGGGAACCAGATCCTTCCACGGCTGAAAGTCATCACCTCCGACTTGGGTCCGACCCACTTGGAAGACTTGCGACGTCACGACATGAACTTCTTGAAGCAGAGTTTTACTCATCAAATTCGACAAGAATCTTTGGACGTGCATTTTGAATCATTTTGGATCATGTTGATACATTTTGATCAAGTTAGGATATTTGCCGTCACAAATTCAAGGGCCGTGGTGGCCGTGGTGGCAAAAAAGAACATTTTCCGAAGTTGGGATATATTTGTACGTCATTGTGTGTTTTGAGATGCTGATACTTGTATCATCTGATTTCCAGCTGTTCCATCCTGAGTGGAAACAATGGACACGGAGGGTTTGTGTCAACCCCAAGTAGTGGAAGATAAGCTTGCCTACTCACTAGTTGCTGCCGCTGGGATGCTTCCGGTACTTTTGGTCAAGCAACCGCGCTGTTTCCTGCCACTGATCCATAGACTTCCGTAGTCACTGCTGACCCATGAAGGATGCGACAGAACTGCATAGGCGCGGTGCATCAAAAAACCATCATCTGGGCCACACCCAGTGATACCAATCTCCAACCCCTCCGATCCAACATCTTCCTGGTTTGCGGCTCTGGCCTACTCAAACACCTTGCCCAAAGAAACTGATTTTCTTCAAAAAGGGCACAGCAAGCGACAGCAAGGATTGATCCGATTTAATACTGAAACACAGCAAACATGGGTACTCATGGAATGTAAAAACCAAGCTGTTCACCTGAGCAGACAGGCTATGACTTCTGCTAACGACAAATAAAGTGTCCATCTCCATGATGACCACTTCGAAGGAAACCACGCCATCCTTCCAGGGAAGTGAGCCGGTGATGGCCATGCCTCCTGCAGCACTGCTATGGCGGCTGGCAAGGGTGGCACCATCATCGCTGTCGGGGTCTGACAGTGTGATGCTGTCTTCGGTCGCACGGTCGAAGAGCAATGACCTATGCACCTGGGCCATCCCTGGAACCACTGGAAAATGAACCACTTCACTGCAGTCGAATGCTGTTACCCTAGGAATGGGTTTTGGATCGTGTTTGAGACCAAGAACTTGAACGACCTTGAGTTGAAGGATGTCAAAAGTTGACGAAAGCTCGAAGATAGCACTGATTGTGCGCATCAAATCTTTGTAGAGGTTTTGAGCTACTACTTGGTGAAATGGTGTGAAATTAACATATATATATATGTACATATATATATATATCCATGATACATATAGATATAATGATGTGTAAATATTAACAAAGGAAGTCGGGAAGCAATCTTCCGAGTTACGGATGACTTTTACCTGATGAAGGGTGGTGTGAGACTTTACACCACGTAACGATACACTCAATGAAGAGTGGTGCGAGACACTTTACATCACATAACAATACACTCAATGAAGGGTGGTGTGCAGCCTTGCACCACATAACAATACACTCAATGAAGGGTGGTGTGAAACTTTACATCACATAACAATACACTCAATGAAGGGTGGTGTGACACTTTACATCGCATAACAGTACACTCAATGAAGGGTGTTGTGAGGCTTTACATCGCATAACAAGGCGCTCAATGAAGGGCGGTGTGAAACTTTACATCACATAACAAGACACTCAATGAAGGGTGGTGTGAGACTTTACATCGCATAACAGTACACTCAATGAAAAGTGGTGTGAGGCTTTACATCATATAACAAGGCGCTCAATGAAGGGCGGTGTGAAACTTTACATCACATAACAAGACACTCAATGAAGGGCGGTGTGAAACTTTACATCACATAACAAGACACTCAATGAAGGGTGGTGTGAGACTTTACATCGCATAACAGTACACTCAATGAAAAGTGGTGTGAGACTTTTCATCACATAACAATACACTCAATGGAGGGTGGTGTGAGACTTTACATCGCATAACAGTACACTCAATGAAAAGTGGTGTGAAACTTTACATCACATAACAATACACTCAATGAAGGGTGGTGTGACACTTTACATCACATAACAAGACACTCAATGAAGGGTGGTGTGAGACTTTACATCGCATAACAGTACACTCAATGAAAAGTGGTGTGAGACTTCGCATCACATAACAATACACTCAATGGAGGGTGGTGTGAGACTTTACATCACATAACAATACACTCAATGAAGGGTGGTGTGAGATTTCACATCACATAGCAAGACACTCAATGAAGAGTGGCGTGAGAGTTTACATCACATAGCAATACACTCAATGAAGGGTGGTGTGAGACTGCAAAGCGCATTGTAATAGCTGCAGGAATGTTGCATGGGCTTTCTTTTGGGGAGTAAGCCGGAGCACGAAACCTTGTGTTTTTCCGTGTGAAGCGGCTGCAGCCGGCGATGAAAGGTACCTCCTGCGTGCGGCGGTTGCGGCTGGGGTCGTTTCATCCGCGAATTGGTTCCTCCTCCGTGTTCTGCAACGAGTGGTTGTTTTTGTGTGCGTAGTTCTATACGTTTTTTGAACCTGTGGTTGCATGGTTATTGTTGTAATGGCCGCATGAATGTTGCATGGGCTTTCTTTTGGGGAGTAAGCTGGAGCACGAAACCTTGTATTTTTCCGTGTAAAGCGGCTGCAGCCGGCGATGAAAAAGGTACCTCCTGTGCGCAGTGGTTGCGGCTGGGGTCGTTTCATCCGCGAATTGGTTCCTCCTCTCAATTGTCAGGCTTGGGTACCCCATCAAAGGGTATCTCATCAGCCATGGCTGGCCAGAATGAAAAATTATAAATCATATAAAAAAATATGCTTGAAATATCGAAAAATATCAAAAAATTGAAACAAATTATTAAACATTAAAACAAATTAAAACAAATAAAAACAAATTACTCCGTGCCCCTCACTTTTTTTCTGTGCTAGGTTCTGCTGTACTTAGTCTTAGGTGGCAAGTCTGAAACAGACTAGAACATTGTTTGCAATGACCCCTGCTTGCTGCACCTCTGCTTCTTTCAGTCTATATTCTACTTTGTTTGACATTGAACCCTGCCAAAATGATGATGGAACTATTAAGATAGAATCTTTGTAATGATGATGCATATTAAATACAAGTTGTTTTAACACTTAATCACATCTGGGGTTGAGGGTTGCTCTGATATTAGGGATTGCTGGCAAGGGCCAATTTTATTACAATTGCAGTTACCCCAGTTGGTGCTTACAAACTGTGAACAATTGTGCACAGGACCCAGTGATTTCTCCACGGTGGTTGACTCCGAAGCAAACTCCACTCTACGTGTGATTGCCCCCAGGAGCACATCCTGGCACACCAAGAGGGGAAGCCCCTCCAGGGTTGCGGAACAAATTACAAAAACAAAAGTATACATATGCGAAAAATTAGAAAAATTAGAAAAAATTAGAAAACATTAGGAAAAATTAGAAAAAATTAGAAAAAATTAGAAAAAATTAGAAAAATTAGAAAAAAAAAATACAGATTTTGGCACCTCCCGCGCCACATTTTAGTATTCGATTTAGTCTGCGTAGACTAATTTTAGTATTGCTGCAATGTCCTTTTTTTTTGGCAGACTTTATCAGAAAATTTTACAATATATTGAAACATTTTTTTGAGGAGAATTGCATCTAAATACAAATAAAAAGTGCCAAGTGCTTACAATATAGCTGCGAGTAAATATAGCACATGCTTAAACAAGACAAGTACAGTGCGTCACAACCAATTACTTGATAATAGTGTATTTCAATACATAGTCAATCTTTTGATACTCTTATTACATTGGCCAGAAAGACAGTGCAGTACTATGTCACATCAGAATGTATGAGAAGGGGAGGTCGAGGTGGGGCCACAATGGCTACCAGGGCCACAGCATATGTCACATCATGTTTGCCCCAAAAACAGGTATGAAACATGATTATCATTGAAATTTAATCTAATGAAATCTAATGAAAACTAATGTTTCAAAATGATTTATAATTTGTTTTAATTTGTTTCCAAGCTGATGAGAACCCCTCTGATGAGACTCCTTGTTCTCACAGAAGATCCTCTGTGTTCTGCAACGAGTGGTTGTTTTTGTGTGGGTAGTTCTATACGTTTCTTGAACCTGTGGTTGCAGATCGCATTGGAATGGCTGCATGATTGTTGTCATCTGGTGTTGCCATGTGCGTAGATACATGCGGGTTAGCCACGTCACGTGCAAAATGCATCCAAATGCATTGTGATGGCTGCGTCAAGGTTGCTTGGTGCCGCAGCTGCATGCGTAATACATGTAATACTATATATATATAGTTGCTTTTGCCTTTTGCAGCTGGACATCGTAAATCGTATTGAGGTGCCTGCATCAAGGCTGCGATTGTGATTTGTCAGCAGATTTTTCAATTTTGGCGCTGGTGATTTTCCGTGTAAAATTCCTTCTAAAAAGTGCTTCAAAATTGTGTTTTTTTGCTTTGGCGCCGAGATCCATCCGGTTTTGGAGCTGCAATTCCTATTGTCATTGTGTACAAGAAAGCTTCTCTCTGCATGTTTTTTCTGTAAAAGCTTGCTGTGTGTAAAAGATTTTGTGTGTAAAAGCTTCTCTGTTCAAAAAGCTTGCCGTGTGTGTAAAAGCTTCTCTGCGAAAGAACTTGCTGTGTGTAAAAGCTTTCTTTGTGCAAGCTTTGTAGTACAAAGTAGTACTGGGAAATGCTTTGTGCAAGGTTTGTAGTACGAAGTAGTACTGAAGTGCTTTGTGCAAGTCTAGTAGTACAAAATAGTACTGGAAGTGCTTTGCGCAAGCTTTGTAGTACATAGTAGTACTGGGAAGTGCTTTGTGCAAGCCTTGTAGTACAAAGTAGTACTGGGACATGCTTTGTGCAAGCTTTGTAGTACAAAGTAGTACTGGGACGTGCTTTGTGCAAGCTTTGTAGTACAAAGTAGTACTGGAACGTGCTTTGTGCAAGCTTTGTAGTACAAAGTAGTACTGGGAAGTGCTTTTGTGCAAGCTGTGTAGTGCCAAATAGTACTGGGAAGTGCTTTGTGCAAGCTTTGTAGTACAAAGTAGTACTGGGACGTGCTTTGTGCAAGCTTTGTAGTACAAAGTAGTACTGGGACGTGCTTTGTGCAAGCTTTTTAGTAGAAAGTAGTACTGGGTGCAAGCTTTGTAGTGCAAAGAAGTGCTGGGTGCAAGCTTTATAGTACAAAGTAGTACTGGGAAGTGCTTTGTGCAAGCTTTGTAGTACAAAGTAGTACTGGAACGTGCTTTGCGCAAGCTTTGTAGCAAAGTAGTACTGGAACGTGCTTTTTGCAAGCTTTGTAGTAAGTAGTACTGGGAAGTGTTTTGTGCAAGCTTTGTAGTACAAGGTAGTGCTGGGAAGTGCTTTGTGCAAGCTTTGTAGTACACGTAGTAGTAATGGGACGTGCTTTGTGCAAGCCTTGTAGTACAAAGTAGTACTGGGACATGCTTTGTGCAAGCTTTGTAGTACAAAGTAGTACTGGGACGTGGTTTGTGCAAGTCTGGTAGTACAAAGTAGTACTGGGACGTGCTTTGTGCAAGCTTTGTAGTACAAAGTAGTATGGGGAAGGACTTTGTGCAAGCTTTGTAGTACAAAGTAGTATGGGGAAGGACTTTGTGCAAGCTTTGTAGCACAAAGTAGGGCTGGGAAGTGCTTTGTGCAAGCTTTGTAGTACAAAGTAGTACTGGGAAGTGCCTTGTGCAAGCTTTGTAGTACAAAGTAGTACTGGGAAGTGCTTTGTGCAAGCTTTGTAGTACAAGTAGTAGTACTGGGACGTGCTTCTTGCAAGCTTTGCAGTAAGTAGTACTGGGACGTGCTTTGTGCAAGCATCGTAGTGCAAAGTAGTACTGGGACGCGCTTTGTGCAAGCTTTGTAGTACAAAGTAGTACTGGGAAGTAGTTTGTGCAAGCTTTGTAGTACAAAGTGGTACTGGGAAGTGCTTTGTGCAAGCTTTGTAGTGCAAAGTAGTACTGGGAAGTGCTTTGTGCAAGCTGTGTAGTGCAAAGTATTACTGGGAAGTGCTTTGTTCAAGCTTTGTAGTACAAAGTAGTACTGGGACATACTTTGTGCAAGCCTAGTAGTACAAAGTCCAAAGTAGTACTGGGACGTGCTTTGTGCAAGCTTTGTAGTGCAAAGTAGTACTGGGTGCAAGCTGTGTAGTGCAAAGAAGTACTGGGTGCAAGCTTTGTAGCACAAAGTAGTACTAGGAAGTGCATTGTGCAAGCTTTGTCGTACAAAGTAATATGGGGACATACTTTGTGCAAGCCTTGTATTACAAAGTAGTACTGCTTGCGCAAGCTTCATAATACATAGTACTGGGAAGTGCTTTGTGCAAGGTTTGTAGTACAAAGTAGTACTGGGACGTGCTTTGTGCAAGCTTTGTAGTACAAAGTAGTACAGGGAAGTAGTTGAACCACGGCTTATAGACGGCCGTGGGTTTTGGGGGGTTTTGGGGGGGGCTGATAACGTTCTTGGCTACCCGCCTTACAAGATATTCTCTTGGACTTGCTGCTACGCTATCCACTCTTCTCTTGCTTGGGGGGTTTTGGGGGGTTTTGGGGGGGGGGCTGATAACGTTCTTGGCTGCCCGCCTTACAAGATATTCTCTTGGACTTGCTGCTACGCTATCCACTCTTCTCTTGCACCGTACCCTGGCACACGCTATCAACTTCCTCTTGTAACTTGCAAGACACTCTTGATTTTTGCATTGTTGTTTCTTGGGGGGGTTTTTGGGGGGGCTGATAACGTTCTTGGCTGCCCGCCTTACGAGATAAATGGCCATCACAAAATGAGTCAAGGTGTGCATTCAATGATCCAGCAATGGATGTGGCGTCAAACAATTTTGCCGTGTTCTCCCAAAGAATTGATGTCATGCCTTGTCGATCTGCTGAAGAAATATCATGACTTTCAATGACGGCTTCATCCACTGAAACAAATAGTTTGACTGCATTGCAAAATGACTAAAAAACATATTTTTCCCCATCTAATTACGAGATGAAGCCGCTTTAACCAATGGCACGGCTGCGTGAAAGATCCAAAATGGACTGGAATGCTCTGACCACTGTAAATCGGCAGAAAAACAAATGCTCAGCATTGCTGGTGTGCTGAATTCCTCACGGCCGCCTGTGAGCCGTGTACCTAGTTTGTGCAAGCTTTGTAGTACAAAGTAGTACTGGGAAGTGCTTCGTGCAAGCTTTGTAGTACAAAGTAGTACTGGGAAGTGCTTTGTGCAAGCTGTGCAGTACAAAGTATTACTGGGAAGTGCTTTGTTCAAGCTTTGTAGTACAAAGTAGTACTGGGACGTGCTTTGTGCAAGCTTTGTAGTACAAAGTAGTACTGGGACGTGCTTTGTGCAAGCTTTGTAGAGCAAAGTAGTACTGGGTGCAAGCTTTGTAGTGCAAAGAAGTACTGGGTGCAAGCTTTGTAGCACAAAGTAGCACTAGGAAGTGCATTGTGCAAGCTTTGTAGTACAAAGAAGTATGGGGACATACTTTGTGCAAGCCTTGTATTACAAAGTAGTACTGCTTGCGCAGGCTTCATAATACAAAGTAGTACTGGGAAATGCTTTGTGCAAGCTTTGTAGTACAAAGTAGTACTGGGACGTGCTTTGTGCAAGTCTAGTAGTACAAAGTACTACTGGGACATACTTTGTGCAAGCTTTGTAGTACAAAGTAGTACTGGGACGTGCTTTGTGCAAGTCTGGTAGTACAAAGTAGTACTGGGACGTGCTTTGTGCAAGTAGTATGGGGAAGGACTTTGTGCAAGCTTTGTAATACAAAGTAGTATGGGGAAGGACTTTGTGCAAGCAAGCTTTGTAGCACAAACCACTACTGGGACGTGCTTTGCGCAAGCTTCGTAGTACAAAGTAGTATGGGGAAGGACTTTGTGCAAGCTTTGTAGCACAAAGTTGTACTGGGAATTGCTTTGTGCAAGCTTTGTAGTACAAAGTAGTACTGGGAAGTGCTTTGTGCAAGCTTTGTAGTACAAAAAAGTACTGGGAAGTGCTTTGTGCAAGCTTTTTAGTACACAGTAGTATTGGGACATACTTTGCGCAAGCCTTGTAGTACAAAGTAATACTGGGACGTGCTTGCGCAAGCTTCATAATACAAAGTAGTACTGGGAAGTGCTTTGTGCAAGCTTTGTAGTACAAAGTAGTACTGGGACATACTTTGTGCAAGCCTAGTAGTACAAAGTCCAAAGTAGTACTGGGACGTGCTTGCGCAAGCTTCGTAGTACAAAGTAGTGCTGGGAAGTGCTTTGTGCAAGCTTTGTAGTACAAGTAGTACTGGGAAGTGCTTTGTGCAAGCCTTGTAGTACACAGGAGTACTGGGTGCAAGCTTTGTAGTACAAAGTAGTACTGGGACATGCTTTGTGCAAGCTTTGTAGTACAAGTAGTAGTACTGGAACGTGCTTTGTGCAAGCTTTGTAGTACCAGTAGTAGTACTGGGACATGCTTTGTGCAAGCTTTGTAGTACAAAGTAGTACTGGGACATACTTTCTGCGAGCTTTGTAGTACAAAGTAGTACTGGGACGCGCTTTGTGCAAGTCTGTTAATACAAAGTAGTACTGGGAATTGCTTTGTGCAAGCTTTGTAGTACAAAGTAGTGCTGGGAAGTGCTTTGTGCAAGCCTAGTAGTACAAAGTCCAAAGTAGTACTGGGACGTGCTTTGTGCAAGCCTTGTAGTACAAAGTAGTACTGGGACATACTTTGTGCAAGCTTTGTAGTACAAAGTAGTGCTGGGAAGTGCTTTGTGCAAGCGTTGTAGTACAAAGTAGTACTGGAACGTGCTTTGTGCAAGCTTTGTAGCAAAGTAGTACTGGAACGTGCTTTGTGCAAGCTTTGTAGTAAGTAGTACTGGGAAGTGCTTTGTGCAAGCTTTGTAGTACAAAGTAGTGCTGGGAAGTGCTTTGTGCAAGCTTTGTAGTACAAAGTAGTGCTGGGAAGTGCTTTGTGCAAGCCTAGTAGTACAAGTAGTAGTACTGGGACGTGCTTTGTGCAAGCCTTGTAGTACAAAGTAGTACTGGGACATACTTTGTGCAAGCTTTGTAGTACAAAGTAGTACTGGGAAGTGCTTCGTGCAAGCTTTGTAGTGCATAGTAGTACTGTGACGTGCTTTGTGCAAGCTTTGTAGTACAAAGTAGTACTGGGAAGTGCTTTGTGCAAGTCTGGTAGTACAAAGTACTACTGGGACGTGCTTTGTGCAAGCTTTGTAGTACAAAGTAGTATGGGAAAGGACTTTGTGCAAGCTTTGTAGTACAAAGTAGTACTGGGAATTGCTTTGTGCAAGCTTTGTAGTACAAAGTAGTACTGGGAAGTGCTTTGTGCAAGCTGTGTAGTACAAAGTAATACTGGGAAGTGCTTTGTGCAAGCTTTGTAGTACACAGTAGTATTGGGACATACTTTGTGCAAGCCTAGTAGTGCAAAGTCTTAAGCAGTACTGGAACGTGCTTTGTGCAAGCTTTGTAGTACAAAGTAGTATGGGGAAGGACTTTGTGCAAGCTTTGTAGCACAAAGTTGTACTGGGAATTGCTTTGTGCAAGCTTTGTAGTACAAAGTAGTACTGGGAAGTGCTTTGTGCAAGCTTTGTAATACAAAATGGTATTGGGAAGTGCTTTGTGCAAGCTTTGTAGTACACAGTAGTATTGGGACATACTTTGTGCAAGCCTTGTAGTACAAACTAGTACTGGGACGTGCTTGGGCAAGCTTCATAATACAAAGTAGTGCTGGGAAGTGCTTTGTGCAAGCTTTGTAATGCAAAGAAGTACTGGGACATACTTTGTGCAAGCCTAGTAGTACAAAGTCCTAAGTAGTGCTGGGACGTGCTTGCGCAAGCTTCGTAGTACAAAGTAGTGCTGGGAAGTGCTTCGTGCAAGCTTTGTAGTACAAAGTAGTACTGGGACGTGCTTTGTGCAAGTCTAGTAGTACAAAGTAGTACTGGGACGTGCTTTGTGCAAGCTTTGTAGTACAAAGTAGTATGGGAAAGGACTTTGTGCAAGCTTTGTAGTACAAAGTAGTACTGGGAAGTGCTCTGTGCAAGCTTTGTAGTGCAAAGTATTTCGGAAAGGCTTTTCTGTTTAAATGCATCTGTGTGCAAAAACTTTCCGCGCCCGATGGTGTTTTTGTGCAAGAGACGTCTCTCTGACAGTAAGAGCTTTCTGGCGCGCAGAACAGCTAAGATGAGTTTTCGAGGAGATGAGAAAGGTTGATCAGTGCTCGGATGAGATGAAAACAGCTGAGAAGAACTTACTTTGATGACATGTGGGATGAGATGGGGTGAGATGAGAAGAGCTGAGATGAGGTGAGAAGAGCTCACGTGATTTGAGGTGAGATGAAGTGTCGAGTGCAAAGTGCAGGGTGAAGAGTGCACTGTGAAGTGTGAGGAAAGTGTTCGCTTTGCGTTGCATTGCGCCGGGGTCGTGCGCAGGTCATGTTCTTGGACAACATCTGTGCAACAGCTTCGCACAAAGCACGCACGCACGGGCCTGGCTGGCGCACGGCGCATGCAAATTCTATAGATGAAAAAGGTCTTATAGATTCTTATAGTATATCCCTAAGGCAACTTCCGCCCCGCCTTGTGCGGGTACTATGGGTATATACACACATATATATATAATTATGTATATAATTATATATATAATTATATATATAATTATATATATATAATTATATATATAATTATATATATATAATTATATATATATATATTATATGTGATGTGTATAATAACCAGATAACCATCTAAACCAGATACGCTGGATCAACGGTGCCCAAACACACGAAAGGCTTGGAGTCTGAGTTCACCCTGAGCTTCGGAATCTAGGAGATCTTGAAGGCTGACTGCCTGGAGGAACCCCTGGCATGGACCCAGCCATGAAGTTGAATGCAAAAACAACAGAGCAAACAAATGCCTCAAAACGCTTAAACAAAACACTTTAAAAACAATAAGAAAAAATCACCATGCAAAAACACACTAAGCACAACCGGCACAACAACGTTTTGCATTTCAACGCCTCACACATGAACTTGTACTGGGAGTGCAAATCGTCGCAAGGAAGGCGCTTCTGTAGTTCAGCCAAACGCTCCACTCTGGATATCGCAGGTAATGTGACAATGATTTCGCCAGAGATCGGGTTCTCCACGACGACTGTCAAGACATCCTTTCTGGCTCAGCACCAATTTCAACCAAAGTCAGTGACTTTCCTGGGGCCCTATGGGCCCTGCTTCAAGATGGAAGAACCCTGACCATCCACAGTAGCCTCGACCTATCCTTACTCGTCCTTACTGTAACGGCCTTGAGCCTCTTAGAGGCATATGATGATATATGATGGCATGTGATATCTCAGATCATGTCGATGCAATATAGATGCAATATGGATGCAATGCTATGGCCATTAGGCCATTATGACATCCAAAAAGAAACATCCGGGTTTGTACTACGTACCAGGGGTAGTACCCAAAATTTAGCCGGCTAAATTTCTGTGAGGGCGAGGATCATTGTTTTTTTTCCCAGGCTAAATCTCCTGGCCCTAGTCCCTCTGGGGCTAGGACCCGAAAATTTAGCCAAACACAATTTTAAGTCAACAGTGTCACAACTTGCCGGGCTAAATTTCTTGGAACCTAGGTTCAGCTCCAAACATGCAAACATATGCAAACCACAGGTCAAAACAAACAAGAAACCCTGAAAAACACACAAGTGAACATGGGTCAATTTTTTTGGGTAATTATGGTTCCCGATATTCCCTTGAGTTTTTCATGGTAAAAACCAACATATTGATTACATTGGGTAGGGTAGCTCTCCCTACAATCACCTACCCACAGATCCAAGAAGGGGTTCGAGCACTGCTACATGTTTTCTGGGCCTGCGCGCTCGAAGTGATCAAGCGATCAGAGTGATCAGAATTTTCTTGTGTGTTTTGGCATCTTGAACGCGCAAAAACAAGATGAATAAAACATCAAAAACAGTTGATACAGTCGGAGCATCCACATTGACAAGAGGAAACCCACACACCAACTTGACGCACAAAAAAAATGGAAAGTTCTCTCTGATTAATCTGCATCATCTGGATAATGTGGATATGGCATGTGCGCGCCAAATCTCCCAAGCGTATACCCCATTCCCAAACTACAGATAATCATGGTATCAGATATATCAGTTATTGTCCCATACGACAGCTGGATATGTGTGATATATGTGGATTAGATGGTTTTTGGGTTTTTGTTCCCAGCACAAGTGTCTCGGTCCAGGTGCAGAGGATGCAAAGAGAGGCAAGGAACACCCAGCTTTGCCACCAGGCCGGTGTTGCCCTCTCAAAAAGTGGGGGAAGGGGGCACACGGCTAAATTCCTTAGGGCTCTGGTGGATAAGGTGTTTTTGGGCAGCACAAGGAAGTTTAGCCAAACTTCATGGTGAAACCAATCCTGGGGAATGCTCCTGTATTCAAAAGGTGTGGGAAGGGTGGCCCATGGCTAAATTCCCTGGGGCTCTGGTGGATAAGTGGTTTTAGCAGCACAAGGAAGTTTAGCCAAACTTCATGGGGAAACCATTCCTGGGGAATGGCCCTCTTTTCAAAACGTGTGGGGCGGGTGGCCCATGGCTAAATTCCCTGGGGCTCTGGTGGATAAGTGGTTGTAGCAGCACAAGGAAGTTTAGCCAAACTTCATGGGGAAACCATTCCTGGGGAATGCCACTCTTTTCAAAACGTGTGGGACGGGTGGCCCATGGCTAAATTCCCTGGGGCTCTGGTGGATAAGGTGTTTTTGGGCCGCACAAGGAAGTTTAGCCAGGGGAATGCTCCTGTTTTCAAAAAACTGTGGGAAGGGGGGGTCCATGGCTAAATTCACTGGATAAGGTGTTTTTGGGCAGCACAAGGAAGTTTAGTTAGAGGCCATGGTGGTGCATCTGTCCTAAAAAAAATCGAACAGCAGCACCGAGGAATCTTTATAGCAAACACCTAGCTGTTCCTGGCAGGAGAGAAAGAAGCTGCTAGCGACCCATCCAATGAAAGACGCTGCAGATCACATGCCGACTTGAAAGGCTGGTTAATCTTGGGGCACGCGTGATGTAAACCAGCAAAGGTATTCCTTTTATTAGATGTAAAAATTTGTGAAGAAACCACCAAGCTAACAAGAAATACCAAAAGGCGAAACGAAAGCAAACGAAACTTCTCCCACTGGTCGGCCGAGGAGCCACAGACAATGCTTTATCATTTTGCAGTCAGTGTGCAGAAACTTGCGCATTGGTGTCAGGCTCTAGCTGTCTTCAGCAAGTTGAAGAACCACCGGCTAGATTTGTATGGTTTGTTTGTTTTAAACAAAAGAACCAAATATACCAAATATGATCCAGCCCCTTCCTGCTTCTTCCAAAATCAAAAACGATACCTACAGAAAAACTTGTATTGGCTAAAGTTCAGGGGCCCTGGCTCCTTATATGCATCATGCTAGCAAATGATTTCAAACTTGTTGTCTTCCCATGTAACCTGGCTAAATTTCTTTGTTCCTACCCCCAGGGGCTTCAAGATTTGCCTGGCTTAAATTCTTAGCTGGCTATAGCCAGTGGGCACTAGCCCAGGGATTCTAGCCAGCTGGCTGCAACGGGGATAAGAAACTTCAGTCGATACAGTAGCTCCTCGGGCTCGCTTGAAGCCTCGACAGTTGAGACTTCGTTGGGTGCGCGGCTTGCTTCCATGGTGGGCAGATGCCAACGCCAAAGGTTTGTGCCGATTCATGTGTGGCCCTCTGCTGACTTACGGGTACTTAATGCATCTTAACGCCATACTCTGCCATACTAATCACGCAAAACATACTTGCATTGCACGATATAACTCTGATATAATACAACGTGTACTGGTCACATGCTTGCAGAAAGAGCTTTGCTTGCTGCATCACCCCTCAGTTTCCGAGCCAAAGGGCCGATATCACAAATGGCTGATGGTACAGTTGGGATCAAAGACAGCTCAGCATGATGACTGTCCCAGGAACTAAAGCAGCATGGAAACGCACGCCAAGATCCCTTTCCCAGCACAGACCATGCACAGACCTTGCAAAAAGTCATTCCCCATTCAAAACACCACATCTAAGACCTTTGGTCGCAAGGTCGAAAATAACGGTTCAAACAAGGTCCAAACGAGGTCTGGACGGTACCCGCATGCACCACTGCCGACTTACCATCTTCAAGAAACAAGGTAAAAGGGAACATCCTAGTTCAACTAAACCAGCCAGATTATTATGGCAAAACATTGTTTGAACAAGTCCCAAACGAAGTTTGAAATGCAACATTTGAAATTCCCAGAACATGACCTAATGAACACCACCTAATGAAGCAAGGATTCAACGACCTCCGTGCTTCTCCATGGATCCCTTCCCCCAAAATCAAGCAAAATCATTTCTTGGCAAGGACTTCCACCATCTTCCACCACTGGGTGTAGTAATAGTATCTATTAGAATAGTTCCTAAACTATCTAAAGATATATCTAAAGTATGCTAAAATACCTCCAGTATTTGCCCGCAACCCACAGTTGTGTGGCAGAAAAGCAAGTGCCTCGATTCTGAATGGTCGTCGCGGGCAGTCTTCTGTCATTCCTTTCATCCCCCCTTGTGACATGGCACTGCTCAACATTTCTCTGCGCAGCTGCGCCGAATCCAAATCATCCCAACCTCTGGAGGCCGACTATCAGTTAAACATAGCAGTTAAACTACAATTCAGGCAGCAACTTGCTCCTTGTAATGCACTGACGTTGTTGGAAAGTGATAGTTGCTCTCTGCGCCTTTGGCACCTGGGCAGGAGGCAATTTTCTGGAGCATGGCAGCATGGAGTTCTCACCCTCAATTTGGATACTCACAGACATTAGTCATATTCGGACTCCCATACTAATTGATCATCCGATATAATCAATATACATACTATATCGACTATATCCAAATATGGTGCTATGATGTGCTATGTATACAATTCAATATACAATTCAATATACAATTCAATTCATTCAATAATACATACTCTGACTCCATCTGACTCCACCAATTTCTCGAGGTCTCAATGATTCTCGAGGTCGCTATGCTCCAGGCCATCGAAGTCCGCGGCCCGCGGCGCTATGCGGCGCTTGATGGCGCTTGAGCCAGTGGCTACAGTGCTGGTCCTACTTTCCAAAGCCCCGCGGTCTTTGGTCGTTCCAGGCGAAGTTCCACAAGATCCAGGGATATCCAGGGCTATTCCTGGATATCCAGGAGGCGCTGCAACTTTCCAGTTTCTGCACGTGGAAGCTGCAAACTGGTCACACCATGTCATAACCATGATGGCCTTACTGTACAGAGTGCTGGTTAAGAGAATTTCCTACGCAATCGCAGCCGAACAGTGGAAATAGCAGAACAGTGCAATGAATTCATTGGACTCACCGGGATCCTCGTGAAGCCGGAGTGCCTCAGAATGGCCCGTTGATGGCCGTTGTCAAGACTTGTTTCCACATGTTTCCACAGTTTCCCCCCACTTCGACTTGCCTGATCTGTGTCTTCGTGCGCAAAGACAGCCCCTTCCAAGCAGGGGGGCGATTTAAAGTGACAAGGGGACGAAGTGCAGCTGTGATCAGTATATCACCAGTACTGTGCCACAATCTGCCACAATCTCAACCAAGCCCTTTTCATCTGCTGCCCTTTACACACTGGCCATCTTTAGCAGCTTGCGACCCGGTCAATTGATGTCAATTGACACCGAATGGCTGCCTCGCAAAGCCAGAGCCCTTTGATCGACCTGAAGCAAAGCAATGCCCCAAATCTCGCACGCTTGTTTAGCATCGTTTGTTTATGTTTGTTTTGCCATGTGATGCGATGTGTAATCGTTGTTTTGATTTGTTTCGGTCTTTTTCGGTGGCGTTGGGGCATCCTAAAGGCAGTGGAGTGCATACCAAGCATACCACCCCGTCCCAACCGCACCTTCTACCAGCGGAATTGCATCCAGCTCCTTGCTGCCAGATGGTCCGAGATATTGCATCAAAATATATCAAGATATATTATAATATCAAGATGCACTATATATGCACTATATAAAGATCGGAATTTGAAATGCTATTGAGACAGTCACATCAGTCACAAGCCCACAAAGTTTTCCACTACTGTTGGTAGATCTGACAAAAATTCCTAAAATTGGGCAATCCCCAATCATACCAACAAACCTGAAACAAGCCCACCTTAAACAGTGACTAAATCACTAAATCCCAGCAAAATCATCCAAGATCCTGGTATGATATGTCAAACATTGTCAGTGGCCAATGCCTTATCTTTCCGGGCTTCTCTTGGGGTGATGGGTGAGAACGGAGACCCATCCCCAGCTGACAATCCCATGGCCATGGCCTTTAGGACGAAGTCCAAAGCTGCATGTGGACACCGACCCACGAGGGGCAACAATCCCTGCCACTTCATGGCATGTCCGCCATGCCCACGAAATTTACGATACTACTTGATACTATGCTGCAATGCCATGTCCAAAAGCTCCAAAGGAAAATCCTTTGGAAAACATCGGGAAACCATGACATGCCATGATTGAGCCTTGGCCAGTGCCTGTCGTGCATGTGCAGGCAAGGTCGGGAAGACTCCAGACCATTCGTGAAAGAGATACCTAAGCGTTCGTACAACGGTTCAACAGCAACATGAAGAGCAGCCAATGCTCTGAGACTTCATGCGGTTGATGTCTCATTTTGATTCATATATATATAATATAATATATATTATATATACATATGTCTGGGGCGTCCAACTCCATTTGCTCGCCCCTCTGCATGAGTTTGTCCATGACATGCTCGCACTGAGCAAACCTTGCAGATCTTGCAGCCAGTATCAGCTAGGTGCAAAGACAAGCCTGAGACTCTGAGGCCCAGGCGTTAGTCCTTCATGAACCAACAATTCCTCGGAGGAAATTATCTACACAAAATATGAAAAGTGACTGAATAATATTGGAAAATATGGAACGCAACTGGCCAGATATGGATATTACATCTTGTTTGTATCTTCTTGATTCTTCTTGCATGATGTTACAGTACATCCGAAGGCTAGCTGCAGCATGCGACAGCCAGCCTTGAACACGGCATCAATGACCTCCGCTGGAAGTTCAGGATCCATGCTACAAACCTTGGCTTTTCGTAGCAACTTCAGCCCTGAAACTTGACCCAGCAGTTTGATGTCATATGATGTCTTTGACATTTTGTTCCGTGCAACTTTGGCCCAGCCTGCTCAAACATGGCAGTGACCATGGCATGGAAAAACTCTGGCCTGTCATCCAAAAACTGCCTGACTTCCCCATTCAACCCTCCTGTCATCCTTTGAAAAAGGCAAGCTGGCCTGGTTCTGATGTACCGGCACACGAGGTACAGGAAATCTCTGCTGCCTTCAGTCATCGTATTCACCATGTTGCACCATCGTGCACCATGTTTGTTGCGATTGGTCGATCCTCACGGCATTAAAAAAAACCGAGACACCCCAGAAAAAACCTGTGTGCGGCATGGCCCTGATGCTGCCATGAGCACCTTTGGCCTCAAGTGACCACAAAACTTGACTGAAGAAAAACAGCGAAAACCTGTCGAACTACTGACAAGTCCGTCTCGCATTTGTCAGGAATGAACTAAGTGTGCAGACGAAAGCAAGCAGCCTGGGTTTGTGCCAGGCATTTCATGATGCAGAATTTTAAAAAGAACACTTCTGGCACTGGCCTAGATGGATACACAAGTGACTGTCGAATAAGTGTCAACTAACTTTCAAGTAACACACATACAAATACATATATTGAAGATATTTTGTGTATTTCTGTGTGGTGGACATCGCTGCGTTCTCCCGGGCCAACCTGGGCCAAGCCTGCAACGGAACAGCAGCAGCAATGGCACAGCAATGCATTTCGAAGCAATGCTTTGCCCTCTCCACATCATACCATTGGGGTACCATTCACCATTCCACATCTCAGTTGTTGACAACTGTATTGATTTATGATACCCTCTGGTTATTTAACATAGCCATGGTATAGATGGCCCATAGAAATAGATGGTTTACCTATTAAAAATGGTGATTTTCCATGGCTATGTTAAATAACCAGATAAATCAAATGATTTTAACCATCAATTTCCAGCTTTCCATGTTTCCTCGCCTCCCGGCGATCGATGACCTTCTGCACCACACGCCAAACCTTCAGTTTCGGAGATAATTTAGATGCTATGTCTGCTATGTATTGTATTAACTGATATAAAATCAGTTAGTAATCAAATATATCATACATTTTTTCTAATGCAGGAAGTTATTCACTACATTATGTTAAATCACATTTTATGACTAAAACTGTGATGGTACTATAATAATGTGTTTTGTTACATTCTATCATATGACATTGCATCATGTTGTCAAATGGTATGTTATACCATACTATATCGACTTCATATTATATTACAAGGCAGTATGCTAACTCAATATATAAATATACATATATATATATATGTGTGTGTGACAACATGCACTATATTATATCATATTACACTATATTAATTTCCTACTTCATTAGGCTCGAACCATGATATATGATATGTGATGAATTATTTCTTCTCACATTAAGTATCATTGTATTAAATATGTTACAATGTATCACATAGTCATAAGTCGCTATATTGATTCATGCTATGACATGTGGGTGGGTAGAAGCAATGTAGCTCAAGCATGTGCCGTGTGCCGTGTGCCTTGCCATCTGCGGTGTGCAGTGCGCTTGAAATCATGCCGCGCACCTTGCCAAACGGAACGTGGCCATGGCGCCCCAACACAACAAAGAACATCCTTGCAGAAATGGTGGATCACAACCGATCTGCAAATTCACAAAAAGTAATCACAAGAATAGTTATACAAGTTCCCAAACATTTATACAATCATACGCATAACAACACAACCGCCAGCTGTCTCCCAAGCATACCCAGGCAACATGCCTGTTCAGTGTCAGGTAATCCTGCAGGCTCTGGTAGTGAAGGCCTGCAATCGCAGAGTGCAGCTTGGATCTTTGGACCTGCTGTATTCAATGCATCTGATATGTCCAGGAAACATATAGGTAATATATCTATATATAGGTACACCATGTAATAACATGTATATAGCGTATGATATATATATATATTGATATCAGAATATAATATGCTTATATTAATATGTATATATATATATATTGTATTAAAACAAATCATATTACACTAAGTTGAAATCTATTAATCTATTATATATATATATGTATTAAAAAATGTATGATGTTAAATTAAAATAATTTGCAATGTATTATATTCAACTATATCATACTAAATTATATTTTATCATATTATATTATATGTTGTATATTATTACTATTATCATAATTATATATGACATTATCTACATGTACTTGTGCATGGTACATCAGTATCAGTACCACCATGTACCACCAATACATGCCATACACAATGGCCTGGCGGCCGCCGCCAGCTCTTGGATGGCAGGAGGCAGCCTTGGTCGCACGGGCAACGCACTGACCATCGGCCACGCACTGACACCAGGGCTCCCTCTTGTGACCCAAGCTGCAAACATTGTCACTTGCTGACCAGGTTTGCGCCATAAATATCTAGAACTATAAGAAAAAATACTATGCTGTATGCCTGTCACAATGACCTGTACAGGCATACGGCATACATCATAAGAGTCATATGTGAACCCAAATATATGGCCATATATGGCCTGTACAACTATGAATGGGCCAAGGTCCTCAACATCTTTTTCAACAAGGGCGCTGGCTCGTGCTGCGGTGAATTTAGGCTCACGAGCACTTCTTTGCCGGACATCACGACTGAGTCTCATTGCGTCATTGGAACCGCTGGAAGAGACCATTGTAGAAATCCTCAGCACAACAGTTCTTCCTCACAGTTGGTGTCAAGCATGCAGGAACTGATTCTGATTATTCTGAGTTTGAACTTTCTCGACAACAGCTCGGAGATTTGATGGCACCGCAGCTATGCCAGTTTTGAAACTAGTGTAAGTGTTTTGGATGCACTTAAACTTAGACACAGATATGGACACATTTTGACACTCTTGGCGTCCAAAAAAGTCCAACTAATCCGGCCACGCTACAATGCCCTTGATGTCGTCCGGGTCCAGCCCATACTGCTCGGCAAGCAGATTCTTCACCGCCCTCAGCTAAAACGACACAAAAGATTGCATCTCTTATTGAGAGCCTCCAAAGTATTTTTTGGAGATGTTAAAACACGGTTCTATGCCTTTTTTGAGATCTGTTCCTTCTTTGGAAAATTTGGCATGCAGGCAATTGTTAGCATTTTTCAGAACTGACTGAGCTTCTGGGATAGAGAACGCTTGATGGGGAGTTAACAAATGGAGGGTTGTACTGTTTTAACCTGAATTTCAGCAAATGCAAACGAAATTATACGAATGTTTTATGGCTCAAGATTCTTGGATTTATGACTTGGTATTTGTTTGCTGGAATTTCGCGGAAACGTGCCGCAAATTCCTGGAATCGGACAATCACAGAACAATGCTGGAAATTTACAGAATGACTCTGCCATTACTTTTTGTCCATGCTTTTTTTATATTATTGACTGTTACTGTTCATTTTGAGAGCAACAACGCGAGTATGTTGGGACAGGTGGTTGCTCGCTTTGCCTTGGTTCAGGCTTTAGGGTGTGACAGAAACAGCAACAAACCTTTGATCCATTCGGGAAATGTTCCCTTTTTGCCGAAAACATCCTTAGTCATCCTTTTGCTTCGCGACGGGGTTCCAGGCACACCCCTTAACTACGCCTATTGTGGGGCCCCTTTATTCGATACCAAAGAGGTGCATGTCCAGGCATATCGTCAGTGCCAACAGTGATGTGTCACGCAAAGGATGCTACAAATATGTCTTCAAAACGAAGTATTGAATATATATATATATACCCATAGGATCCATGTATGGAATATTTACCTACATTGGGATTATTTTAAATTACTTTAGGGGTCAATGTAGGTAAATATTCCATACATGGATCCTTAGGGATATTATTATTATATATATATATATATTATTATATATATTATATATATATATATTATTATTATATATATATATATATATTATTATATTTATATATATATATTGATTGAGTACATATTTATGATAGTAAGGTTGGCCTCACTGCATATTGTTTCACAATCTTGGGCAGTTCGTGGAAGTAGGACATGGTGGGAATTGGTGGGACACATCTGCAAGATTCTGTAGCTGCAAAGTTCTGGGCGGAGGAATGGACAAGTAATCCACCAGGGTCATCTTTCTCATGGAATCATCTCTGAAGGTAACGACCTCAAGCCACTTCAGAAAACACAGTGCAGTTGAACATGCGGAACAACATCATTCCGTATTCATTCCATATGGGTCGAAGCCTGGTACCCTAGACGGGACCCTAGGTACCCTAAAGATCCCTAAATCCCTTAAGTAGCTGGTTTTTGGATGGTTATTCCATGTTATTCCCTTAATCATATGGTAAGTTCATAGGTCTTGACATGTCTTGACCCATACCCATATCATTCCTCTGAGAAAGTGGCCAGGTCAATGGACGACATGGCTCTGTCACCTTCAACATCGTCCAGGTAGTACGGGTACACGGCATTGCTGGAGGTGTTCTTCTTCAAGACGTACATGGCGCAATTGTCAGGATTCCTTGGTCCCATGGCCTCTCTTGGTCCCATGCCATGAACTCATGAACTCCCAAAAAATAAACAAAATAAGCATTGAGATTTCCAGATGTGGAGGCAATCTCCAGTGGCGATCCAAGTGATCACGCACAGCATTTCTTGCTAAACAAGGCAGAGGCTCCATACCGTGTGGAAGGTGTTGGGAGACCAGTGAAACAACTGCATCAGAATTAGCCGCATTGCCAGGCCATGTGTAACGACAACGACTGCTTTGGCCTTGTTGTCTTCGTAGTAATGTCCTGGGGGACCAAATGGGCTAGCCAGAGTCAATGACTGCCAAGTCCCAAAAAATATCATGCACAGAGTCAAATGCTGAACTACAAGCCCAGGAGTCTCTGCATCATTGAATCCCACCATTGTTTCGTCCGATCATAGACATCTGCACCACTTTCGCCAGTAGGAAATCGGTACCTCATGCGCCCAGTTTCTGAAACTGAATCCTTATCAATACACCTCACGCACACACACACACACACATATATATATATAGTATATATATATATATACCATCAATATCTCAATGTTGGAAATACATGGGGACATAAATTGGGTGTTGAAGAGCATTGATTTTGCCTGACAGTCTTACAGCAGCTCGTGCTTCAAAAACTCAACCTGCAACCATGAAACCAAAACCTCCGGATCTTTGTCCTTTCCTCGCGAAGCCCAATGAAATTGTCACCTACCAGCCAGGGGGTATCATGCACAAATAGAACTTGTCACTTTCACACGGGTCTAAACACTTGCCCGGTTTTTGCAAAAGGTACCAAAACAGCGAATCAAATCTCAATCCACCCAATCCTTCCTCACAAGGTGGGAAATACATCGGGTTACGCCATGAGAATAAGATGCGTCACTGCCGAATCATGCAGCCATAAAATATCATAGAATGCCATGATGTAATAAATGGCATTCATAATATTCATAATTAATCAAGTCATAATCATATCTGAAATATCCGAGAATTGGGTACCAGCGAGGCTCAGTTTGTTCACCCGCGAAATCCGGCCAGATCCCGCGAACTCCGCCTTGTAAATTTCCAAATTCTTGTTCCCGAATCCGTGGATCAACGGAGACGTGGACGACTTGATCTGGATCGAAATTCGAGAAAATGATATTCCTTGCCTCGATGCAACGTTGTTACTGGGGCCAAAGAAGCGCAGCGATTGCTGTGTGATGCTGTGTGCTTGTGAGCTTCAGATTCAATCCAAGGAGCAGTTTGAAGAGTTCGCTGGAAAGGTGAGACATAAAAGTGAACCTTCTTGTCCTCAGCTCAAGCCAATGAGTATAGCATCAATGCATTCCACACATGCAACACGTCTCATACTGAACATCCAAGCAACTTGAGGAAAATGTTACAATGTCATGAAACGACATGCAAAAGAGAAATCCTTGCCGCAACTACAGCCATGAAATGCGTGGATGGTTCATTGATAGGTCACTATAGTATACTATAGTCACTTTCTAGTCACATATTACATCATATCGCAGTCACATCAACCCACATCAACCCACATCAATCCACTACACATTACCATCACATCGGCATCCATGGGCCCACCATGCAGGCCATCCAGGCCATCCCTGCGCAACGCTTAAAGTTTCTCCAACCACTCCTTTGATGCGTCGCCCAACTGCTTTGGCCTGCCGGCTGCCCAACCTGGAAAGGAGAAGCTATGGCAGCTATGCAGGACATTATGCAGGAGCTATGCTCTACCTATAGTGTCGGCTATGATGCTCTACAGGATGCTCTACAGGATATCTGCATCTTCAAATCCAAACTTGGCAAAAACGGCATATGACGGCATTCTACACATCTCTGCGACCTGCTGCAACATGATGTGCCAGTTCTCGAATGCAAGAAAACAACTACAATCAACATGTTAAGTTTTAAACAGTTGAAGGCCTGAAGGCCAATGGAATGGAATTTGCAGTCACACTCTTTGATCCACTGCTGAAAGGAACAAATCCCAAAGCACACTGGCCACATACCACATTGGCATTGGTGTTTCATTGGATCGAGTAAGCCTTTGCATGTCCCAGCGCATGTTGCCATCATGCATCTACCCCTCAAACTCGCAGCAAAAAGTCACTAAGACTCACTAAGAGTGGCACTCAGTGAGTTCCATCAGGTTGTCGCCTTTTTTCTTGAAGAGCGTCCTGTCAATGTTCCTAAGTTTTCATGCATTTTCACTGCGGCATCCCACGGCTACGGTCACAGCTTGAGAGAACCAAATGCGAACAAGCATCCCTTCTGATTGTCCGTGTCCTTGGCAATGCAGTCTGATATCATCATACATCATCTGATATCTGATCATTTCTGATCATATCTGATCATTCTGGGGCTGAAATATCTGAAATCATCAGAAATCTCTAATTACAGTACATCTACAATATGTGGTATATGTATATATATACTGTATATGTGATTTCAGGCCTTCGAAAACCTTCGTTCATAAGTCCACATGGTCTCCCACGTCTCCATTGCGATCAAAGGTCGAACTAAAATGACGCGCTCTGGCAGTTTTTGCCGCCTCGCCTCTATTTGTCTGCGCACAAATTCAGGGCAACCCTCTCCTTGGATGAGATGGACAGAGATCGAAGCCTGGATGTGAAATGATCTGAACCAACTGGGCTTGGAAACTCTATCGTTATCTAAGTTATCTATACGTAGTTATCTGACTGATTTGTGGATATCCATGGATCTCCGATATATCCGTGAGGCTATAAGCTACTTAAAATAATTAAAGGCTAAGGGTCTAGCAAAGCTATGACTTCATTACTACTTTTTACCATATCATTTATCCCAAGGCCGGACAAATTTGCCATGGTGCTCCATCTCAAAAGGCCATAGGAAGCAATAAGCCTCACTTTCAGAAAGCGTTCTCCATGGACGTGTTCGGAATTCATGACCCAACAAAGGCATACAAAAGTTATAGTATTATAATAATATAGTATTAATATAGTTATAGGCAGGAGATATGGCGAGTCTTGAACATTTTACTACATCCTGGCTCATGCTCGGGGAGTTTCGCTCTCCAATCCTCTCTGCAACTTATTGGGAACTGAACTGACCAGGCCGCCAGGTTGGTTGTGGAGAAGGACTCCGAGAATCTCTGAGATATGCATTCCAATGTGAATCAATGTGAATGTCACTTAAATATACTTAAATGAATTTCAGCAATGTCTACAGTAGAAAAAATAGAGATAATGATAAGATTTAAGATTTGCATAGATTAGCAGTGCATGGCATGGCAGCTATATAACAATGCCGTAAAGAAATGTGTACTGTATAATTGAGGAGTTGGGCCAAAGCGACCCTGAGGTGCCACCCGCCAGAAAGCTTGCCAGCAACACATGTCGCCGCACGCCGGGGCTGGGGGGGCTCGACATTGGCACAACGGGAAGTCGGTCAGAATTGATGGTCGAAAATTCGACGAAACACACGCGATGGTTTTGGGATGCTTTGGGTGTTTGAATATCGAATCGCAGAATCATGCCCTGTCAACAGCACGTATCAAACTATTCTTTTAAAATGTATGTATCATTGAAGTATGATTTGAGGATCACACATCATATTATCCAATAATATCTACCGCCCTCCATCATAGGATCCTGATGTAAGGTGGCTGTGGCTGCGGTGACTGTGGAGCCAACATGAGCCAACAATTCCGGCAGCCATGCGTCGCATGCGTCGCATGCGTCGCGTGCACGTCCTCCAATTTCCGCCTGGGGGTCCTGGGGCTCCAGCTCAAGCTTTTCACATGCCACCTTGCGCCACTGAAAGCTGTGGGAGCTTCGGAGAAATCAACGCAACATCCACATCATCCATTCAGGGCTCTGTCTCGTGGATTCATTGTGTTTTATGGACTCGGTGCCTTCACGTTGGGCGACTTCAAGATACTTTGCGCTTGTAATTGTCTTGTGCTTGTTTGCAAACCCATCTCCAAACCACCAAACGCTTCCCTTCTCAATTGATTGTTCTTTTTGGAAGCCTTCCTTCCACCAAAAGCTTCACAAGAAGGGATGTTGGTATTTCGAAACTAAATGAGACAGGCTGTTGCGAAAGTCCGTTGCGCAAAATCAAGTTCGGGAGCATTTGACAAGAATCCTCATGGAAGCGTGGGTCAAAACCCCGGCCATGCTGAATTGGACCCTCCACCTTCAATTCTGCGATATCAGCTCCGCAAGACATGGCCTGGAAAGGCAACGGTGGGCCGGTGGACGTCCTGATGTATGAAACACTATGAAACCATATATGGTATCAGCTTGAAGATTCTGGTGGGTTGCCGGGTTGCCTAAAACGACATCCTCACACAGGCACACACACACACGGAATATATATATATATATACACATATTAAGTGTTTATATCTTTATGTATGTCTGTGCAATTCTGTGCATTTATCAAGCAATCTCTCACGCTTTGAAACAACAACCATCCTGATTCAACATGAAAGTCGAGTCCAAATCACCCCCACCCCGAGGAATCCCGAGGACAACTTCTGCCCGCCTGCCAAACTAAGTCAATCAGCTCAGGGATCATGTCGTCCAACTGGAGCATTGATGCCACCTGTCCCAGCTGTCGCGACGTCGTGCCGTTTCAACGATTTTATTGCTGCCATTCCCACGATCTATCCGCAATCATTGAAAATCCTCATGGCAACATTGAATATTGAGCTTGTTTGATAATGGACTATACCCAGTATATAGTATACCCTCCAAATGACCATTTTAGATCATTTTAGACCATTTTACTGGGGATGAAATTTCTCCATTGGAATTGTGGGTCGCCCTGTTTTCAAACCTCAACATCTCCGACCTGAACCAATTGCAACGTCTCGGTCAGGGACATTGAAGGCCAAGCCAAGGAGCCTTCTGTGTCAGCTCTCACTGACAAACGACCTTGGGTCAGTTGGAAACACCAGATGACACCAGATCCGGATGGATCCGGATGGTGAGCCGAATTTCTCTGCATCTGCCGTAAATAGAAACTCGATCTGCTGTGAATCACCAATCCTTCAGCCATTCTCCCAAAAAGAAGTCAAGGTGACCGGTGACGGCACTTTCGTCACGGGTGCATTTGGTGGCCAAATAGCAGTTAAACCATGTGGCAATATATGTTAGAAATGTAGAATCTATATACAGAGAAATGATGAGAAATGTATAATATATAGTAATATATGTGTGTGTGGGGGGGTGTTTTTAAAATTAATTCGTATAATATATGATATTATAGATATTGTATTCCCGACAACCCCCATCGCATGATTGGGCTGCTTGAGATGGGCCTAGGAGTGCTCTCAGGAGCGCCGAAGAGCAACCAGCAGGCATAAAGACCTACTTGGTATTTCTTGGCATCCAGTGTGGATAAGTGTGGATAGCACATGCTGCATGCTTCTCAATCGTGCTTCACGTTGCTTCAATAATTTTCACAATGTCTCACCGTGCTTCGCTGTTGAAGTGGCCTTCAATGCTTCGCATCTTTCATCTTTCTCAATGTTGGTGCCACACAACAAGCAAGAACAGGGCTGCAAGGTGAATGACGCCTTTTCTTTTCGCGCAGGGCAGCTTACTCATGTTTCAAAGCTCTTCTGAAGACCTCTTGCATGAACATCTTCGCCATCGTAAGCGATCGGTTTCGCATCATCCCAAAGCTAGCCAACGTGAATCCCCTGCACATAGGTGAGAAACAATTCGTAAATCTCCTCGGCATGACGGCATAATGGTCGATATTGGTCGTATACACGCTTATTACATGCGTTTACGCAGAGCATGAGCTGCTCAGAGAATACAGTTCCTCACTCGTCACTTCCAAACAACGTCCCAGAGCAATTGATTTGACAAAAAAAACAGAACCGACAGAACCGACAAAGGTCCTGACCTCAGCTCTCCTCTGTCTCTGCCCTTGACCTTGCCACTGCTGATCACTCAATCACCCATTCACTGAACGTCTGCCGATTCTAGCTGGTCTATTCTATTCAGCAAGCCAGCGCAACTCAAACGTGCAAGTGCCAGCTCCCAAACCAAAAAAACAAGTATGATGGATCTCAATCTCATAATAATGTATATGTGTTATAAGTTATACAATAAATAAATATATATATATATATATTTATAATACACTGTATAATTATATAAATTATATATCTGTGTGTGTGTGCGGTCTCATTCCACCTGGAAGTCCGGGGTCCTAGCTGATTCCTCTCAGTTTCCCTTCGGCCGACAAGAGCAAGTCGTTTTTTGTGGGAGGCCGCCTCATCAAGGCCAGCGCCACAGTCAGCACCGAGTGTACATCGGTGTACATCGGTGCACACCCATGTTCATTCCGAATGAATCATTCTCGTTGTGGTCTCGAAACCTGAAACCTGCGGAAGCATGTGGCAAACATGCCTTACGCCTTACGTGAACTGGACGTCAGGAATTACAGTTGACGAGATGTGGCCTGATCAAAGCTTTTGGCGGCGTGCCACCAGATGGCAAGTAGCGGAAAGTGTAGACCTGATTGGACAGCGACCCAGGCGACGGCCAGAGTGAAAGCACCTAAAAGGCTAGAAGTCTGTTCTGGCCCAACAATACCACATAATACCACATGCAAAAGGATGCTGACTGCTTGCACTTGCGGCCACTATGGGCATCCGGCATCCGTCACTATGACTTTACATGTCTGTCTTGCCCCTCAACTTCCACTCAGTGGGCCGCCATGTCTGAGTTCGCGGATTGGCTTCGGTAATTTTCCTGGGCTTTAGCGGTCGAGTTTTTAAATATCATGAGATCCTGGAATGAAGCTGATGTTGTCCTGACTACTCCATGATCGTGGATGATGCTACTGGGTGAGATAAACGATCAATTTGAATGAAGCTGTACATCATACATAGATATACATAGAGTTTCATCATGGTTCATGCCTACTGCGGATCTTGACCATCAATCCCATGTAGTCACTAAGTCCTCGTTGCGCAAACCTTTCTCTAATCGTAGATTCTCAGTTGCCCTCTGAAAACGGTCCATCAAATGGATGGCTTCAAGGCACCGGTGTCCTTTTTGAAAGGCAACCATGCCAAAATGATAGGTCAAAATATCTGGCAAAACCTTCTGCTCCAGTCTTTTGAAGGACAACAATGCTAACTGCCATTGATCATGAACAGTTGATGCTTGTATGGCAGAATTATGAGTGAGCAAGGTGGGCTGCAAGTGTCTCTGTTCCAGCTCAGTGATGATGTTGAAAACTCTGTTCCACTGAGTGCCCCTGATGTAAACACCAATGGCAGTGTTGCAGGTGATCGCATTAATTTTCATCTGCAAAAGGAGGTCCTCCAAAAAGCCGCATGATTTTTGCCAAGAGATTTCATCTTCGAAAGCACTGAGGGCCCGGTTGCAGGCTACAAGGTCCAATTTCACGTCTGATTGAAGGAGCTGCTCCATGCAACAAAAGCCACTTTGCCAGGCTGCAACTTTTCCATAGGCATCAATGCCAACTGCACAGGAGATGGCATCTTTCCCTGGTCGCACTGGTTGCCCTGGTCGCCTGGATCCAGAGAGCAAATGACAGTGTTGGAAAATTGCAATGGCATTTTGCCAAGAGAAACCTTTCACGCAGCTTGTTGCTGCAGAGTTGCACGTAACAATATCTCTTTCCAGCTGGTCTTCGAAAAGCAACCAAGAACTCAGCTGCCACATCGACGCCTTCTCACAAGCGCTGATTGTTGCATTGTAAGTGATTGAGTCTGGGCGTAGACGCAAAACTTGAATCATACAGCTTACTAAATGTAGTGCTTCGCGCCATGCGCCACATTTTTCGAAGGCGCTTATAAGTGAGTTGCATGTAGTAACATTGGCTTGCAGTCTCCGTGACGCAAGCTGCGCAAGCTCATCAAATACGAGAAGTGCGTGCTGCCATCGAGAAACCTTCTCGAAGATGGACACAGCGGAGTTGTAAGTGATGACTGTCGGATCCAATGAACTGCTGAGGTCCCTGAATTTTTGCAAACTGCCTTGCCAGAAGTGACCTGTCCCCAATGCACTGAGAGTGGCATTGTATGTGGCAACATCTCTCTGGACCTTCCAAGCCAGGGAATGAAAGAATGTCAAGGCTAAATCCCACTTCTGTGCATTTTCGCATGATGCAATGCATGAGTTCAAGGCAAAGATGTGCCCTTGGATGCACTTCAACTGAATGTGCTCCAACGAGTGTAAGGCCAAATGCCATTGACTTGACTTCTCATACGCGCTAACCGAGGCAGTGTAGGTGATGGTGTTAGGCTGTAAAGATTCATCATAGGTTCTATCCAGCAAAGACATTGCTCTGCCCCATTGGTTGCTTTCCCGGCATGAACTGATGGCTGCACTGCTGGTAATCACTGAAACTTCCATTCCCTGCCAATCAAGTTCCTGCAACATGCACAGGGATGGAAGCCAGATTCCGCCTTTCTCACAAGCGCTTATCGTAGCATTGTAAGAAATCGTATTGGATTCAAGCCGGCGCAAAGCATAGCCACAAAGTATCTCACAGGCCTTTTGCCAGTGGGCGGATTTTCCACAGAAAGTGATTGAATTTCCATAGTCTGACACCTTTGGCACCATCTCTTTGACTCGACTGTCCTCGACTTTCTGTAGTGCTTGTTGCCATACCTTTGAGACTCCCTGGGCTTCTTTAAACTTGTCAGCATGTTGCAGGTGCTGCGTGTTGGAAACATACTGCGCATTGCTGCGCAACATTGGCTCCGAGCCTCATGATCTTGAGAACTTACACCTGCCTGTCGACATGAAAACGCTGGTGTAGAAGATCAGTGCTGATGTCCCATTCATGTCCGGTGATTGTAGTGCAACTTTCCAAAATTATATTCATACGATTTTATACGCACTAATTATTCACTAATTCTGTTGGTTGTTGAACAAGTTCGTGCGGTGGAATAGTTGTGTTGGATTGTTGAAACCTGTGAGTTCGACAAACACTTGGGGTTTCCGCGCTCCTTTACACAATTTAAGTGTTGCCGTCCGGCTATAAAACCATGTTCACCACAAAATCATTGAGCATCTAATGGGTATTGCATGGTATATATTGCCATTGCATGCAAACTTATCTCGCAAATATCATCAAATAAGTAACCAGATTGCACACCACCAGGACTATCAGGGATTTCCCTGTGGGAAAGCTGCCAAAAAAGAGGAGTCGAGGACAATACATCCAAAACCAGACTAGCCAATCTCTGAAGAAAGGCGGTCTCCGCACTAAACAAAGATCATCAAAGATCCTATTAGTTGATGTCCGAAACCTTTCCCCTTGCCATGGATCACATTGATCACATCACCCAGTCCGTCTTGCTGCCAGTGCTCATTTTCTTCGGGGCGTCGGTTGGCATCCCGCCGATCTCCATAGGATCGTCTGTAGCCCCTGAGGAAACATGACATCCGCCAGACTTGTTTCATGAAAGTGAGTTGAACATATATGAACATATATGACAATATGATAAAATATGTTCATGTATCCCCCCCATCCGATTGCAAAACGTTTCAATAGCAATCCAATGTCGGCCATCTAAGATCATCTAAAATCATCTAAGCAAGAATTGACTGAACATGATCCTGGTAGATCACAGACCTTGCTAACTGCCATGGTGGAATGAACCTGTCTCATATTCATTGCCTGAGGGCTCAAGGCCTCCACACCTACTGGACACCACTTCATTTTGATGATTCAAACCGTACGAACACTCATTCTGAGCAAAGCCCGTGACAACAGAATGATAATGCAGCATAATGCAGCATAATGCAGCTAATGCAAAAATGCAAAAACGAAAAGAATGAAAAAACATGAAAAGACCTGCAAGTGGCCAAATGGCCAATATTGACCAAATGGCTTGGCCAATGGAGATCAATGAAGTAGATGTGTCAGAAAGTGACTGCGGAGCCATGGCCTCGCCTTAGGCTCCACTCTTGAAACGGCAGCGTCTCCACATGTACGAACTCGCCTTGGAGGCCAACCAGCGGTTTTTTCGCGGGTCTGTGGGTCCATCTTGGTCCATGGATCTTTCTGGTTGATCAACGGTTGATCGTTGGGGCATGAAGCAATGTGGCTTTCAGCATCCAGATATATCCAGATATATCCAGATATATCCAGATATCTGGATATCCAGATATATCCAGATACAACATCAAGATCATCAAGCCTGACCAACTGCAACCAGGCAGCTATTCTGAGCTCCAGCAATGATGTCTGAAAACCTCAATTTGACAATTCATCATCCATCATTCGAAAAAATCTGACATGATGGAGTTGTGATGCCTCAAATATGCTCAAATGCTAATAGCAGCTACCGAACTGAGTCTTGAGTGCCAAGTTTCGATCAGTATTTTACAATGCACCACAAGTCCTAATGTTATACCTGTTACATGGGATAAAAGGGGCCTTTCCAGCCCACAGCCATCGATTATTCATTTTGCCTGGTTCGACACATTTCGACGCGTTTTGCCCTGGACAACCTTTGACAAAGCGCAAACGAAATATATTGGACGATGATGGACGATGTGCTCATTTGATTTGAATTCAAGCTTATGAGCGAACTAGGAATAGTTGAGTTCAATGTTAGGGGAATTTTGGGGAACTGAACCTGAATATGGCCCATGTCAAGGGTTGGAAGCTTCCGAGTGTGGACAAGAATAAACGTCTTGAAACATTTCTGAAACATCATTGCAACAGTCCCCTCTTCCTACCGGATCAGGTTTTTGACACCTCGAATCACCTCAGTGCGCCGTGATTGTCGTGCCCCAGCCACACTTAAATTTGCCAAGCAGCCGAACTCCTGTGCAGAACCAAAACAACAAGATCGACAAGGAATCAAAGTACAGTGGTACAGCATGGTACAGCACCAAACGATGGGGACATATCAGGAGTAGTATATTGGACGGTCCAGAGCTACAACTTGCGGTGTTCATTCTTACAGTGCTAACATGTGCTAACACACTTTCTGTATCTTTCTGTATGCTACGATTGTGCCTTATTTGTCGGTTGGTGCAGGGATTCTCTGTGGAACTTCCACGTTGCACGCAGCTCAGCAACTCGGCCCATGGAACCGAGAAGGGAATGAAACAGACCCAGAACCTATCGCGTCCAAGAGATGTCAAGAGGCGCTTCAACGGAATCTTTACTGATTTCTTGCAATATTTGGAACATACCATGAGAATCATATTAAGAAAAAAACCTACACATTAGACATATATATATCTAATGTGAACAGTATCCATTTCGACAAGGAAAATATATCTATCGAATATATCGAATGCATCTGTTTGAATCATCCCATCCTCTGGCGCAGCAGTTGGAAGAGACCTTCACTAGGCCATCGGGTTTCACGAAACCACGCAAGGCCTTGGCCATGGGGCCATGGCCATGGGGCCATGGGCGCCACAGGTTGAGCACCATGAGATCTGGGAAGTTTTTTGAAACACTTGGGACATGGGGCTCTTCAAGGGTCTTCAATATCTTCAATGGTGTTTTTCAATGGTCTTGCAGGCTCCTTATGAGTCGTCGTTTTTTGGGGGGGACTGATTGAAATCGGGATGCTCCGCTACAGAACTGCAGCATCCAAAACTGCTTGACCAATCGGTCAAGCACCGGCACTAAGAGCCAGGACTCGAAAGAACAGGTGCATCAGATTCTCGTGCCGCCATCCTCACTTGAGGCCCACGGATATCCCGTGGGATATCCAGTGGGATATCCCAGGGGTGAACCAAGTTGTGTCGCAAAGTGAAAATCCTGTGGGGATAGGAATGTAGCATTCAGGAACATTGTGGAACACAGGAGCTGGAGTTGGAGAGAACTTTTTACTGCCAATGTGCTTCTACACATCAAGCATTGAAACGACAATAAGCCAACGATGACTACACATTGTAGTAGGGCAGCTTTAAAGAACAAAGAAAAAACATATTTTTCGCAGCCGCTACAATGGTTACCCCCAAAAAAACGACAGGCCCGATGGTTGGGAAGTCTGTACCAAGCCGTGGTATATGGCATAGCCTTCGTTCATTAGCCAAGATTCTCACAAATGGATGTCCGTCGAAAAAACCTTGGACCACTCCAGCATGGGGGAAGTTGTAGTAAACTGCCCCGAACTTCTTGACCATGTCCTCCAGGTGCCAAAGTCATTGACCGGAATTCACCAACTCAGCGAGAACCAAGGATTCCCCCTCAAGGACGTTTCTGTCAAAAGTCAAAACGAATCAGCATCAATCAAATTCATTCAAATTCCATATTAATCCAATCCATATCTTCCATCCATATTCTGATCATATTCTTCCAACCTTTCCAGAACTATGCCACAGATACCCCGCCATGTCCTGAAACCGCGAATCCACAGCCAAGCGGGTGCCATCCACGTTGTGAAAGACTTCAGCATCTTTACTTTCAAGCTCCTCACAGAGCAAAGTCCACCTCTACTGCTCTGCCACAATAATTGCGTCTACTGCAGATTCCAGCTCGGTTTTTGATGTTTTTGTATAGTGAACTTCACCGTTTGATGATGCTTCAGGATGCTTCAGGCCTTCACAGTTGCATCGATTTCAGGATACCTTTCTCCTTAATCATCACACAAACAGGATAAATTGCAACCTTGCATTGACAAATCGCGTTTCAGATGTGTCGGAATGGCATTGGAATGACTCCCGTCAAAACCAGGTGATTGCGACGATTGACAAACACATACAGGGCACGAAGAAGAACCCGGAAAAACTTTGCTTGGCCATCATTTTGCTCACTTGAAAAAAATAAAAGACAGAACTATGGCAATTTTCGGCATACCTGCCATGAATATCAGATATCATGATATGATATAGCTGATATCAATACAGCTGGCAGCTGTGTGAGGCTGTCACACGCCAAGCATCGAAGTATTTCGATTGTCTCAAACGTAGTGGCCACAATTCGTCCCACGTGGCCCAATGCCTGGTGGGACCCCGGTGGGACCCGGGTGGGACCTGGTGCGAAATCACGCACCACGACGCGCCTCCCGATGCCTTGCCAGGAGGATGGAGAAGGTGAGATTGGCATCGCCCACCACAAGGGCATCGGCGTTGGGATCTATGAGTTCCAAGCGGTTGAGCCTCACGACCCAGAAGCGCTTTGATACGTCACACCTACGTCACATAAAAAAATGGTAAAACAGGGGAACTGGGACAAGACAGGTTGGAGGTCAGGTGGGAGGCTGTTATGTTTTTGTTCAATGTTGTAAATCTAAATGTTTGACTGTTTCTTTTTGTTAATCTTGCTAAATGTTTCGTCGGAGTTGTTTGATTAATGTTTGGTTTAGATGAGGGTAGGGTATGTTGAGGTTGTTGTGGTTTTACTGTATGAGATAGTGTCCATTAATGTTCATTTGATGCTTGATGCTTTCTTCGTGTCGTTTCATTGTATATTTTCTTACTTCACATTTACAAATTGGACATTCCAACGTTTCTTTCTTTTTATCACTTAATTCTTCCTTTTTCCTTTCGTAGTATTGTTGAGCATATTGTTTTAAAGTTTCTTTGTGCTGTTCCCTGTATCTGCGTTTGTTTTCTAAACATTCATTACACTGCTTACATTCATTTTTGTAGTAGTCTAACGGTTGAAAGACTTTACATTTAGAACACTGCTTTTTGTCAGTCATTATACCTCTACAATTTTAAGGGGTTATGTTATGTCTTTAAGGGGTTTTTAGGGTGGATTACATCATAGTATATGTTATTAAGATATTATGAACTAATCGTTAGGTTTAGTGTCTCCACTTTTCATCACCAGTACCTATTCCATCCCAACATTGAGAAACCATCGTTTTGATGTTGTAGAACACCAAAATGATTGTGTCTCTATCAAGTCCTCGTTGGTCAATCAAGTATCCCAACACTGACAATAGTGTATAATAGTTTTGTTGTAATGCTGTCATTCCTCCTCTATGGTGTATCCTCTCACCGTGTTTTTTGATTAAATCTTTATCAAATATGTTTTCATAAATTTCTTTCATAAGGTCGTGGTTTATCTTTCCATACTCTGCGTATTGCTCTAAAGATTGTTTTTGCTTAAGTAGTAGGTCATATTCTATAAAGTTGTAATCAGGATAAAGATTTTCTTTTCTGAAATTCATTAATCTTTCTCTATCTCTTTTTAGTTCCTCTTCACTTTGGCATTTTTCACTTACTATATATAGGTATTTTTTCTTTAAGTATCTATCACTTTTTGTAGGTGTTCCTTTATTTCATCTTGATTAATGTAATGCTCATAGTGTTTGAATAATTCTTTAGTATATTCACGCAAGAAAAGCTTGAATTGGTCTTTTAATCTGAAATCTATATTTCTAAATTCATAATAACGGTTTAAGCTAGGAAACATCCAAGAATTCTTTATGCTTTTATATTGTGAAGGTCTTCAAGCATTTGATATGTATGTCCCAAGTTTTTCTTTACATAAGATTTAGTTGCTTGAAGAAATATGCCTTTCTTCAGTGTAGGACTTTTCATCAATATGTCTATTTCTCTTCTCATTTGTCGGTCATTCACATTATCAGACAAATCTATTGGCGATGCTTCCATCCTTGTTTTAAAGACATATATTTGTTTTTCTGCTACTGAATTGATTTCTTTATCTTCAAAGTAGTCTTGATTGTATGTTATATATCTATACTCCTTTTCTCTCAAGTCTTTACATTTTGAACAGTGAAGATTATAACTACATATCTCATCACAAATTCCAGCCGGAAAAATGTTGTTCAATAAAACCTTAGTGTCAGTCATGTCTTTCTTACAACATCCGCAGTTTTTATAAGTAAATAGCATCCTCTTACTATATATAGTCATTTTTTCTTTAAGTAGTTTTTGGGGGCTCGTTCAGTTTTCGGGTTCGGGTTGGTTTTTGTTTTCCCTTTCCTCCTCTTCCAGTTCCTTTATAACCATATCAACTTCACTCATTCCTTCATTGGGGTCTTGTCCATAGGCGAGGTTTCTTAACCTCTCAAAATCCTTCACTTTGTGTCTTTCATTGGGTGGGAGGGTTTTGAGATGTTCCTTCAACTCTGTCAGGTCAAAGTATGTGTCGTGTTCTTCATCCTCATTTTCCATAAACATTTCCATTCGTTGCTTTTCCATTTCCATAAGTTTGTTTTCCATATATTGGAATTTTATTTGCTTCCTGTAGCACTTGCCACACGCATTCACAAAGGTTTTGAGCAAGTAGTTCCAATTAGGTTGGTTTCTTCCGTTCAGGGTTATGATGATGATGATGATGATGATGATGATGATGATGTGGTTGACATGATGATGTGGTTGACATGATGGTGAGAATGCTGCCCGACAATCGTCCATAACTCGGAAGTTTTCTAACTACTAAACTTCCTTTGATAATTATGATGTAATTACTCAGATTATGGCAGTGTTTTTCCACAAATTGGGACATCTCCGCTCCTGCCACAGGTCAGCACCCCTGGTTCTTCTCCAGCAGCTTCCTCTGCAGTGTCACAGACCTGTCAGGCAATGAATCCAATCTGACCTCTGTGACCCGCGGGACGCTGAAATCTTCCAAATTTGGCTTCCAATTCTCTTTAGAAAATATTCGAAATGTGATTTCCAGGTTTGCTCCAAGAAGATCAAGGCACCTCCCTTGGAATTGCTTCCGCTGCTTCCTCCAGAAGCTCCGAGACTGACCGGCTTCCATTGAATTCCTGAGCTGACTCAGCTGACCCGAAGTCTGCTAAGTTGCTGTCTGGCAATGGTTTGTCTAAATCGTTCCAATTTCAGAGCTGACGTGAAGACGTGAAGAACATTGCTATCATTGCTCCACCAAGTTGGGAGAATGTAATGCACCGATCCGATTCCTCGATGAATCGTGCGACAAAATCTGCAAATGATCCCTTGATGAAGCTCCTTCATGACAAAGCGCAAGTCCTCACGATGCGGCTGTCATAGGCTGTCATGGACTTGGCAACGGTCTCTTCATCCCATGAAAGGTTGGTGCCCCTATCAAGATACTATCTCAACGGCTATAAACATAAACTCCCACAAAGTACCCTTTCAACAATCTGAAAACTGCATTAATCAGGTCTTATCTCGTTTGATCTGCATCTTGTTGCAACGTGCTGCATGTCGCAGAATGTTGCAGCTGTGGCAGAGTGAAAAACATTCGACCGAACAACCCAAGCGCATGGCACATTGTATCACATGGCAAACTGGCACCTAGACATATATAGACATATGACCTCTCATGATATTCTCAATGACGTCTCACAAATTTTCATGACATCTCACCTTTTATCCACAAGTATCCAACGGAACCCAACGTCATCCAACTGTCCCATGTGGTAATCCAGCTTGCTCCAACCTTGGCGCATGCAGCACGCAGCGCGGCTTCATCTTCAGCCAGTTGCCATTTCTGTATGAAGGCTGCCACCTGAGACAGGTTAGACGGGTGATTGCATGTCAAATGTCAAAGGATGGGCAGGGACCATTGGCATTCGACATTCTTCATCATTCTTCTGCGCTAGTGGGGACGGCGGCTTTCCACACTCGAAGGCAGGATTTGGACAGACAGATTGATAGACCATATGTAACGTAATGTAACGTAGCGTGTGTATATATATATATATTATATATACATAATATAATATATGAGAACTAGGGGCATCGGAGTGGACCTTTGGAAGCGCGGGAAGCAGTAACGCAGTGCAAAACCGAAGTTGAGGACGAGAGGTAGGTGTGCGTGCTCAACATGAAAATGAAGCTAAGCCAAGGTTCCATACAGCGTAAAGTGTGATAAGGTGTAACGTTGTGAGGGTGTAAAGTGAAGTGTAAGGTGTAAAGTGTGAAAGAGTAAAGTCTAGAGTGTGCAGTGTAAAGTGTAGACTGTGGAGCGTACAAGTACAGTGTACAGTGTGGAGTGTAAAGTGTAGATTGTGGAGCGTACTGTGTACATTGCACAGTGTGAAGTGTAAAGTGTAGAGTGTGGAGTGTGGAGTGTAGAGTGTGGGGTGTCAAGTGTAGAGTGTGGAGTGTAAAGGGTAGAGTGTGGAGTGTAAAATGTAGAATGTAGAGTGTAGAGTGTCAATTGTAAAGTTCAGAGTTTGGAGTGTGAAGTGTAGTTAGTAGAGTGTGGAGTGTCAAGTGTCAAGTGTGAAGTGTAAAGTATGGAGTCTGCAGTGTCAAGTGTAAAGTGTAAAGTATAGAGTGTGGAGTGTATAGTGTAGAGTGCGCAGTGTCAAGTGTAAAGTGGAAAGCGTAGAGTGTGGAGTGTAAAGTGCAGAGTGCGCAGTGTCAAGTGTAAAGTGTAGAGTGTAATGTGTAGAGTGTGGAGTGTAAAGTGTGAAAAGTGAAGTGTAAGGTGTAAAGTGTGAAAGTGTAGAGCGTGTGGACTGCAAAGTGCAGAGTGTGGAGCATACAGTGTACAGTGTGAAGTGTAAAGTGTAATGTGTGGAGTGTAAAGTATATATAGAGTGTAGAGTGTGGGGTGTGGGGTCAAGTGTAGAGTTTAAAGTGTAGTGTCAAGTGCAAAGTTCAAGAGTGTGGAGTGTGAAGTGTAGTGTGTAGAGTGTCAAGTGCAAAGTTCAGAGTGTGGAGTGTGAAGTGTAGAGTGTGGAGTGTCAAGTGTGAAGTGCAAAGTATAGGGTGTGGAGTTTAAAGTAAAAAGTTTAAAGTGTAAAGTGTAGAGCGTGTAGACTTGAAAGTGTAGAGCGCGCAGTGTGATGTGAGTTTGGAGTGTAAAGTGTAGAGTGTGGGGTAAAAATTTTAAAAACTAAAGTGTAGAGTGCGGAGTGCGGAGTGTCAGGTGTAAAGTGTGGAGTGTAAAGGGTAGAGTGGGGAGTGTAAAGTGCAAAGTGTAGAGTGTGGAGTGCCAAGTGTAAATTGTGAAGTGTAAAGGAGGCAAAGGATGCCGATGCTATCCGATGCTGCCGATGTTGCTGACGGTGTCCCCGGGAGGGGTTGAGCCCGCGGCCAAACTGCTTGTGAAGGGGGGGGGGAGTTAACTGAGAACTTTCTCGCGATTGGAGATTCCAGCCCCCCATTACCTTGCTAAAGCAAGAGGGACTTCAGCTAGCAGAAGAAGCTAGCTTTCGTGATATACCCAAAGAAGTAACATACGGAGGCCAGAATGTATATATATCAAAATATGCCTCGGGCGACGCGCACGCATTTTTGCTTACAGTTTTTTTGTTGTTTTGCATACGGCGACTGTTTCGTGATGTTGTTTGGCTCGGAGTCGGCCGGCTCTTGCAAGAGATGCCCACGCGTTTTAATCTTTTTGAGACAACCGTGACGATGAAGGAGAGTTGATGTATGTTGATGTCATGCGGTAGAATTGTTTCTTGCGGGGAAACTATTCTTAAACACCCCGTCTGCGCAGAAGAGGTCTCAAGCTGTTGTCCTGAATATTTCCACAGCTCAAGAAATAGAAACGCGTCATGTCCTTGTGGGCTGGATTGTCTTTCACGTGCCACCAGTATGCATGGTGATATTTGCTTTGCAACCTGTAGTTTTCTGGGGCTGTTGATCGTTTCAAACAATGAAAGGAAGATTCACGATCTAGCAGCTTAAAACTAACAGCCAAACGGCCCCCGTGCAGCAAGGTCCTTGATGAGCCAACACACAAAGGATTTTTGAGGGACAGGCACGTCGTGCATTCCCAGCTGCCAAGGTTCAAGTACAGAAACTGTATTCCTGTACGTTTCTACAGAATTGGCACAAATAATAAACATGTTGCTATACTGGTCAACCCTGAGTGTGCGGCTGGTGCTAAGATTGTTGCTGAGGCAAAGTTGTCAAGCTTTTCTTCTCGATGTTTCAATGAAAGGTGGGTAACAATGGTGTGGCAGGTTAGACGAGAAACAGCTGCCATGGTTTCATATGGTTTCATGCTCCTGTGGGACATGGATTCTCACCCGATCCCATATCCATATATATATATATATATACGCGCAACGCCTGGGCTTTGCCCAGGCGTTGCAGCGTAGAGGTTTCCCATTCCCAAACAAATGTTGATGCAATATATATATATATTATTATTATTATTATTATTGTTATATTTAAAGTTTTTTAATGCAAAACACACAAGTGACACAAATGTTTATTTACTGTATTTGTTCGTATTTTTGCATTCTGTGATATAATATATTTTGTATAGAATTTACTATAATACATACACGGCCCCGATAAAGTATATCGCGAAGTTTGCGAAGTTGTGATATGTTGCGATGCTGTTCAGAACGAGGCCTACGTTCAACACTTTTGACCGACCCTCATCCTGACAGCTCACATCAGCTCGGGCTTAGGCCGCCGCTACATCCACTGCCTTCCCACCCTGTGGCCCATAGGACTCCTTCCAACGGGGTGAAATAGCGGAAACATAATACTGTACTAGTTACTAGTAGCCATAACAGGATACAAGCAAGATGCTTGTAGACAAAGTTTTGGCTTGCAAGTCTGAAAAAATCTTTCCAATTATCTGAATCAATACCGCTTCGTCACTTCCCACATCTGAACCAGACGCCCATTGTCAAATCCCACTCATTGTCTCCTCTCTGACTGCCAGGATCTTCCTTGCAAAGACGAAAGAGTTGAGGCACAGGCGGGCACAGGAAGATCAACAAGTTTTCTAAATGGACTTAGCAACGGGATCCGACATGACGGTCAATGTTACAAGATAAGAAGTCAATCGCTGGGCAATGCCTCAACATCCCCCGTTTCAGGGAGTTACCACCATAATGCCAACTTAAGAATATGCAGGTTGACTTTCAAACACATCATTAAGTTTGGAATACTGTGGACATGTTTGGAAGCTTCAGAAGATTACATGGCTGAATTCTATTGGATCATATTGGATCGTATCGTGGTGCACCATAGTGCACCATGGTGCACCTGTTGCTGTTCAGCGGCTCATTGAGCTGCTCCGCGGGTGTCTTCCCATCACGTCCATCGGGTCGGGGAGTCGAAGGTACTGGCCTGTGACTGGCGCAATATGGGTATCTATGTGAGGGCATTACTGCATTGTAGAATATTCCATTCACATTTCTACCTCGGAAAATGCCATAATCCTATTCAAAACAAAAATGTTCAAGTAATGTTGTTGAAAAATGTTTAAGACATTCATCACAAGAAATGAAGGAAAATAATAATTATCCATATATAATCATAATATACTTATTAAATTATGTTAATATTTTAGAAGAATTGTAATATAATTTGGAGAAATTATGACTTCAACTGATACTGAAGCCTGGGTGCGGCCTCCATCCGGTCTTTCCAATGGCGCCGGATTCTTCCATGGAGGCCTCCTGGCGATAACCAAGGCATAGGAGCACCAGCTGATGATAGCTCATGGTTGTTTGATGGTTGTTTGTCAATTTTTTTCAATGTTGGCTGTATTTTGCCAATTGTTTGCCATTCCGATCATTCCTCGGGCAATTTTTTTTCCTTCCAATTTCACAGTTTGCAGCTGGATCTCGAGCAGCAAACGTTCTTCACAACAACTCACCGTGGAAAGCAGTTTTGAGTATTGAGTTAGGCCAATGGAATGAGATAAAGATGTGTAAAGAACAATCGGATATCGGATATCGGATATATCAAGTTGATATGCAAACAACCTCTTGACAAAGCTGTACGGGCCCGGACTTTCGGGACTTTGGCTCAGGTGTTCACAAGGCAATGCGCAGCAAAAAGCCGAGCTTGTGATAAAGCTTCTGGTCTTTGCGGTTCATGAGCATCTCAGTAATTGCGGCCGCAACGCCCACCATCGAGAAGATCAGGATCCTGAGGAAAGCGTGACTTTGCCTGTCTTGGCCGCAAGCCCTATGGCTGTGCAAATGGAAAAAGTGCAACCCTCACATGGTATGAAAGTGCACGTGGTCAGTGAATATGTAAGCGATATCAAAAGACTAGAATCATTAGAATGGACAATGGACATCTAGTCAATCACCAGCTTGTTGATAACGCCTGATGAACCAGTTCTCCGAACCAATACATTCTGATCATTTCTGATGGAAACTGCCAATGTGCCAAGTCTCTTAGACAAGGTGGAGAAGGTTGCTTGCCATTGGATGAAGAAGGCTTCCCCGAATCCAGGAGACTCAATTTCCTGAAAGCAACTCAAACTTCTAAGCACCATTCAAGATTCGAGCAGGCGCAAAACAAAACTCACTAGCCTTCTCTTCGCAAGAAGCAAGGCTTTCTCGCTGAACATTGTTCCTAATCCCATCCCCCTATATAACATTAAACACGCCCCAAAAACCATGGTTTAGGGCATTTACACATAATTGGAACCATCTAGGGCGTGCTTTGTATTAGCGGGATGGGATTATTCTTGTCTATGTTTGCCAGATCTATGGCCTCACTTTTGAGCGCAAGAATTGTTTTGCCAGGTCACTTCGAAGCCCTGTTGGGATTGAGAAGCAGCCTGCAAGATGCAGGTGGCGATAAGCACAAGGGCCCTCAGTTTCTCAGCGGTTCTGCGGCATGTCGAGTATCGATGTTGCTGTTCGCTTTTGGCAATGACAGCGTATCATACCGCATCACCGCATCAAAAAAACTTCATCTGGAGATCAGCGCAGCAAAGGATCATCATATTTCCAAGAAGTAGCCACCGTGTTGACAGCGGCTATCGGTAGAGAGGCACCCGTCGGATGCCGCGGTGTGATCAACTAAGAGTTTGAGCTGAATTGCAGCATCAAGTAACAATAAGTAGGAGATCCACCATTCTACATTTCACATTCTAGCTTCTGTGGATCCGTTCAGTATAAGAGATTATAAGAGTACAGTATAGTTGTATAACATAGTATAACATGGTCAGAAAACATAGGAAAATATCGAAGGGATTACATCTGACTGATAATTCATGACAGACCTGTGGACTCATTCATTGGCTCTTCACTCTTTGTCACCACTTGATTCATCCAACTCCTGCATGACATAACGGGCAGCTCGATCATTGGCCAAATTCCATCGACCAAGAAGCTGCAACCTCAAGTTAAAGTGCCGAACACGCGATGGGTCGGAAGGCATGGACAGGCATGATTGAAATAATGACATGAGCGTGTGACAAAAAATATATATATATACTTTGAACAGTATTGAGTTCAATATGGTTCAACAATGACACAGTGCATCGTGCTGACTCCAAGCTTTCAACTTCTCAGGTTCCAGTGAAAACGAGACTCCAGAGCTGATTTTCCGTCTCCTGAAAAAACTGGCTGAGCGAGCAAACACCTACATTGGAATGCCATACTGGGAAAACTGGGCAAATGTATCAAACACCTAATATAGATTGATGATGATTAATGTAGTATAATCTAACAAGGCACTTTCGGTGACAACCAGAAGCTAGACATTATTATATTATATATTATGTTAAGAACTGGCGGGTTAATAAAGCTAAGGTTCTTGGCACTCAGTTCAGCCTCTGCATTTGATGGCCTCAGTTAAACAGTTAAAGCTGTCTGGGCCAAAGGAATTCGAGAGAGGCTTTGTACATCCTCTTCCGCCAACCATCAGGCACTAAAGGTGACTTGCGTTGACGGCATGCACAGTTGCTAACAACCCAGATAAAAAACATTTCACGTGATTTGAAACCGCAATGCTACTCAAACACGCTCAAGCCGCAATGATGCATATATGGCAAGCTGCACTTGATGGATCTTGCTGCCCTCATCCTCATCTGCTTCCAACAAAGCTTCAATGTCGCCATCCGCATCCTCAGGCAGCTCGTCCGCTGATGGGGGGTCCTGTGAGTGATGTGAGGAGCACATTCCGCAGATTTCAGCAGCACAATGTCGTTGTAGCACAACGATGCACAACGTAGCCGCCAGTCTACCTTTTCTTAAATGCTATGGATTGATAATTCGCTCATGAAATGTTGCAAAACAGAATGATGCAAGTTGGACAGGAGGAAAATCAAAAGTGTTGGATCTGTACCTCATCCTGCGCAGCAAGATTATCCAAGGAAGTTTAGAAGCCAAACTTCCGACAATATGACAGAGAAGAGAAGAAAAAAAAAGATCAAAGAAAAGAAAGAGTCAGAGGAAAGAAGCTGCAAGTGCGCGAAAAGGTAGAAGAGTCGCAAAACAATACGTTTTTCCAATGATTTGTGGCTGCGGAAGGTCGAAAAGTAGGCTCGCTAAAGCGTGCCAGATGAGCGACGAAAAATTGCACGCCGTTGTGGCGCAAAGCGCGTTTCGAAGTCAGAATGTGCAAAGCACACCATTCTCGAAGCACTTTTGGAAGTTGAGATGATGAAAAAGTGCACGCCGTTGTGGCGCGAAGCGCATTTCCAAGTCAAAATGTTAAAACAACCACATGTTCGGACCACTTTTGGACGTTCAGATGTCGTTTCGCGTGGCAGGCGCAAAGGATTGTGCACCTCGTCAAAAGTGAGCAAACGTGAAAGGTTTGTAATAGTTTCAAAAGCGTTGGCAGGCATGGGACATTTGAAGATGGTCTGCAAAGATGCATTTTCCGTGGCAGGCGCAGCACAAGAGACATGTTCATCAGAGATGTTAGCAGGTCCGGACGCTGATTTCCTGAGAGGGTTGCATTTTGGAGCATCAGATCTTCAGTTTTGGGAAGATGATTTTGTCTGACAGGTGCAGCACTTCGTTTGACCTGGCCTCACTTTTTCGTGGCAGGCGCAATACTTTAGAGACATGGACTGAAAAAATCGCAAAACGCATTTGCACGAGGCCGTCAGCTCTGCACTCAACTTTCCAATTTTGAAGGAAGTCTCGCAGAATTGCTGCGTTTTTTGATGTTGTCAACTTCGAAAATTGAGGAAGTCTCGCAGAATTGCTGCCTTTTTGATGTTGCCAACTTCCAAAACTGAGGAAGTCTCGCAGAAAAGCTTCATTTTCAAGCTTGCAGATAGATGGATGATGATGGATGGATAGACAGAAAGATGGTTAGATAGACAGGGAGACAGACAAACAGATAGATAAACATCCCGCCGGGTTGGAAATGGGCCGAGTAAAAACAGCATTTTCATGTGACTGGCAAGAAGTCAATCATGCGTTTCGCAGTGTTTTTTCATGTTTCTATGTTGTCCATGAAGGTCAATTCTATTGTGATTTTGAATTTTCATTGGGATTTACTGTCTATAGTTGACATGTCGGAGTGCGAAAAAGGTTCCTTTTGGGAAGTCAGCGTGCCCAAAACCTCAGCGGCAGCCATTTTTTCCGGTGATCTCTACATCTTCGCTAAGTACGCACCTGTTTTCTCCAACAGCGCTTTTCCAACTACATTTGCCTCCCATCGCCACTGCCATGTGCGAACGTACGTCCAAATGAGGTCATTCAATTTTTGTTCGTTTTCTGGGCAAGATGTCAACTGATCGGGAACACTGGCAAGTACGTGAACGTTATTACCCCACCCCACCCCACCCCACCCCGCGTGACGTGACACATCTTCAACGTAGCATGACGTATGTGCGCACGTGCAAGTGAACGTGCCGTGGCGTAACATCATGGGAGTGCGCAAGTACGTGAACGTTATTGCCCACCCCACCCCACCCCTGCGTGACGTGACACATCTTCAACGTAGCATGACGTATGTGCGCAATTGTGCGCACGTGCAAGTGAACGTGCCGTGGCGTAACATCATGGGAGTGCGCAAGTACGTGAACGTTATTGCCCCACCCCACCCCACCCCTGCGTGACGTGACACATCTTCAACGTAGCATGACGTATTGTGCGCACGTGCAAGTGAACGTGCCGTGGCGTAACATCATGGGAGTGCGCAAGTACGTGAACGTTATTACCACCCCACCCCACCCCACCCCACCCCTGCGTGACGTGACACATCTTCAACGTAGCATGACGTATCTGCGCAATTGTGCGCACGTGCAAGTGAACGTGCCGTGGCGTAACATCATGGGAGTGCGCAAGTACGTGAACGTTATTGCCCACCCCACCCCACCCCTGCGTGACGTGACACATCTTCAACGTAGCATGACGTATGTGCGCAATTGTGCGCACGTGCAAGTGAACGTGCCGTGGCGTAACATCATGGGAGTGCGCAAGTACGTGAACGTTATTACCTCACCCCACCCCACCCCACCCCTGCGTGACGTGACACATCTTCAACGTAGCATGACGTATCTGCGCAATTGTGCGCACGTGCAAGTGAACGTGCCGTGGCGTAACATCATGGGAGTGCGCAAGTACGTGAACGTTATTACCTCACCCCACCCCACCCCTGCGTGACGTGACACATCTTCAACGTAGCATGACGTATGTGCGCAATTGTGCGCACGTGCAAGTGAACGTGCCGTGGCGTAACATCATGGGAGCGCGCAAGAACGTGAACGCTGTTACCACACCCCACCCCACCCCACCCCAAGGAACATATATAAAAATGCCTAAAACGCTCGGACGGTTTTCAACCCGTAGGCAAAAACATATATATAGATAGACTAATAGATAGACAACTGCAACTACACTACACTAGAACTACAGCTACAGCTACAACTACAACTACACTTCAACTACAACAACTTCAACTACACTACAGCTACAGCTACAACTACAATTGCCATTACACAAAGCTACAGCTACAACTACAACAGCAACTACTACAGCTACTACAGCTACTACAGCTACTACAGCTACTACAGCTACTACAGCTACTACAGCTACACCTCAGCGGAAACTGCAGCTACAACTACACTACAACTACAACTACAACTACAACTACAACTGCAACTACTACAGCTACTACAGATGCAACTGCAGCGACAACTACACTACAACTACAACTTCAACTACACTTCAATTGCACTTCAATTGCACTTCAACTACATCAACTACAACTGCAACTGCAACCGTGATGGATTAAAGCTACAACTACGCTACACTACAGCTACAACTGCCGCTACAACTACACTACGCTACAACTACCACTACCACCACCAGTTAACTACACCGCAACTACAACTACAACTGCTGCTTCAACTACACTCCAACAACAATTCCCACTAGACTACAGCTGCAACTACAGCTACAACTATGCTACTCTACAACTGCAGCTACACTACGCTACACTACAACAACAGCTACAACTCCTACAGCTACTACAGCTACTGCAACTACAAACTACGCTACAACTACAACCACAACTACAGCTGCACCTATAACTACAATACAACTACAACTGCACTACACTACACTACAACTACAACTACAACTACATTGCACTTCGCTAGACCACACTACATCCTGCAGTTGTGGGTGAGGTGACCACTGCAACCACTCCAAAAAGCACGGTCCATCAGTGGATTCGCTCTGCCATCCATGCATCACAACAACTCACCTCTCCTGTAGTTTCCTATCTGTGAAACTTCCGCCACCTTCTTGTGCGGTACTTCTGGTAGATTATCATGATTAAGTCCTTGTTTGAACAGATGCCAAACCACAACCCAAACATTACATGAAAATGCCCAGCCATGCCCACCCATGCCCAGCCTCATCAAATCGTTCCCCTTCTGCTCCTTCTTCCTGGTCGATCGGGTCGATCTGGTCGATCGGGTCGATCGGGTCTATGAGGTCTTCGTCTATCTGCTCAAGATCCTGGAGCAAGCTGAATATCTCCACAGACACAGTGACTGTCTATCCAAAGTGTCTCCAAATTGGCTCAAAAGTCTCCTCGGTCACCTCTGTATCTTCAGGGATCTCCTCTGTATCTTCAGGGATCTCTTCAAACTCCTCTTCCGGTGTCTCCTGAGACCAGGAGTGTGAAGGAGGGTGAAGGACGGTGAGGGCGCAAAAATGTGCAAACTGACCATCAGTTTAGCCCATCTGATGACATGATATCACGTCATCTATACTGTATATATATTCTATATATATATATATTTACATATACATATATCATTATGTGTTATCATTCTCAAGTACTATCGGTTACTATCAATTCTCATATCCCAGCCGCAACCCCATTTCCTCCAAGGGCTTAACCTTCACGGGTCGAATGCCAGAAACCACGCCAGAAACTGGTTTGTAAATTGATCGACGAGGGCCAGACAGCAAACCAGCCTGAGGACGATATTCGGCACGTTTGCCAATTGCTTATAATTGCTACAAGAAAAGGATGCCGGATCAAGCCGTATCAAAGCAAAACATATTGACCAAGCATAATGTTTGATACATTATGACATTGACTATCTAACAAAAACACAAATAGCAAGATAGGAACATCAAGATATATATCTGATTCTGCTTATTAAGGACTCCCAAAACAGCATAGATTGTGACAAAGTTTGGAGCATTTGGATCTGTTTCAGCCCATCCAGTAGATTCGCTTGCCATTTCCCTCGCCCTCACAGGAAGAAAGCGTGTCCTAACGATGTCCAGACCCAGGCTTCTTTAGATGGTGCTGCTTCAAACCTATGCACATATATATATATATTTATTTATTTATAATTATATATATACTGTATATTATATTACGGTCCCGTGAGCTAGGCCTAAGGCCCGCCTGGTGACCTAGGATTTTGTGCACCAAGTCCTAAGTCACTGGTGTTGGTACCAGGTGATTTGTGTGCACCAAGTTCTAAGTCACTGGGGTTGTTGTTGGACTCAAGCACTCTTTAGGGTAAACAATTAATAAAATCTTCTCATATCTTCTCCTAATGTCCTAAGTCATCAGAAAAGAGTATGGACTTGGTGCACAACATCCGCTACCACCAGAGGGGCATAAGTCCTAACTCATCAGAACGTACATACTTACATTACATTACATTACATTACGTTACATTACATTACATTACCGTACAATTCATTACATTGCATTGCATTGCATACATGCATACATACATACATACATGTATACATACATACATACAGAGATACATACACAGATACATAGGAGCACACAATTGTATGTCACCAGAGGGGTGAAAGTCCTAAGTCATCACAACCTACATACTTACATTACAGTACATTACATTACAGTACAGTCCATTACACTATAGTACATTATATTATACTACAGTACATTACATTACAGTACAGTACATTACATTACATACATGCATAGGACTTGGCGCACAGAATCGTATGTCACCAGAGGGGCACAAGTCCTAAGTCATCAAAACATATATATATATATACATTACATTACAGTACAGTACAATACATCGCATCACAATACATAATACGTCAAAACATTTTTTGTATAAACTGAAAGAAGGAAAAAAAAAAACACAATCAGAAACATAGAGCATTATATTTATATTTGTTGTTTAATTGCTTTAAATGTCTGTACATAAATCGAAGGATAAAAAAGAAAATCACATATTTTTTTTTTTTTTGAAGATGGGCACAAGTCCTAAGTTATCAATTTTTTCAACGGTTGGCTCGAGGACTTCGACCCAACGACGGGGTAGTGCAACAGGGACCACAATACGGAAGCACAACGGGGAAACATAACGGGAAACAACAGAGAAAAATAAAAAGTGAAAAAAAAAACAAAAAAATAGATTTTCTATTTATTTAACTGCTTTAAAATAATGTCTGTAGATAAATCGACGGAAAAAAAAGAAAATCGCATATTTTTTTTTGAAATATTTTTTTGAAAATGGGCACAAGTCCTAAGTCATCAATTTTTAATTCGAATTTTTCTATTTTTCATACATAGATATATTTTTCTATTTTTTTCGTTTTCATTTTTCAATTTTGCTTCCCGTTTTGTTTCCCCGTATTGTTTCCCCGTTGTGTCTCCCCGGGGCGGTGATCCCAATGCAACGAGTCGGGGTGAGCGTTTTGCGCCAACGCGCGCGCGCGTTGGTGGAAAATGAAAGCGAGCAGTTCCCGGTCGCCTCTGCAGTCCCTGTGGCGCCGCAGTGGGGTGAACAACGGGGTAATACAACAGGGACCACAATAGGGAAAAATACAAGCGAGCAGTTCCTCGTTGCTCCCCTCCCGTTGTTGGCTTCCTGTTGTGGGCTCCCAGGGGCCTCCCAGGGGCTCCCACGCACTCCCAGGGGCTCCCAGGGGCTCATGCCTGAGGTTTGGCGCAGGGGTTTTGGCTCATGCCTGAGGTGAAAAATGTCACGACCCAAGAAATAGCTTAAATTGATCAAATTGATAGACTTGGTTCTGATGACTTAGGACTTATGCCCCTCTGGTGACATACGATTCTGTGCACCAAGTCCTGTGCATGCATGTAATGTAATGTACTGTAATGTACTGTAATGTAATGTACTGTAGTGCAATGTAATGTAATGTACTGTACTGTAATGTAAGTATGTAGGTTCTGATGACTTAGGACTTGTGCCCCTCTGGTGACATACGATTGTGTGCACCAAGTCCTGTTCATGTATGTAATGTAATGCACTGTAATGTACTGTAATGTAATGTCATGTCCTCTACCAGTACATGACATTACATTATATACATTACAGTTACATTACATTACATTACATACATACTTGGTGCAGCCCACGAGCATGATGACTTAGGCCCATCTTAGTATATTTCTATTAGTTTATTCCTAGGTCATCATGATGTACCAGCGGTCCATGCCGCACTAAATTCTTGTAAAAATCAATACTTTTCAGCAAATCAAGAAAAATCGAACATAGTTTCTGTTTTCAGACGGACACCTGATGAGCTGGGACTTGTCCGGGGGGGGTCCGGCGCATAATGAGATAGGACTTGTCCACCCCGGGGTATCTTTCACAAGTCCTAGTTCACGGGTCCCTAATATATTATATATATGCTGTATCCATTTAAGAAACGAGTACAGTAATTCAATAGTTTCATCATGTTCAATCAAAAATCTCATGCCATGGCAACAATTACCTTGCAATATCTTGCAACTGCATGGAACTTCAACGCCTTGGCCGTTGCCGGCTTGAAAGTGGCCACGGCTGGTGTAGCACGTCCAGGACGAGGTGCGGCCTAGCCAAATGGCCAGACAGGTTGTCATCCAAACAGGAAGCAATGACGAGTAATGGAGGGATGCTCTAGCAAATTCATGCAAATTCAAAGGTTGGTTTGATTTGCTTTGCCAAGCATTGCGTTGCTTGTGAAAAGTGTGAAAGGTGTCTTTTTTTCTCATGCCCTTTGTCGAAGCTCGCCTTGGGAACTCGACCCAAGGCAGGGTTTGAAATCGGACGGTATGCGACCTTGGACGTCATGTGCAGAGGCATTTCCGATGGTCAACATTGCCTTTCGCACGGCGCGGCACAACAGTACAAGTCCAAAGTCCATCAATAAAATCAGGAAATACATGAAAATACCTGTTTCTCGCTGCAAGCTCTAACAAAGGCTATCCGTTATCCAGCTGAGCCGCCATGAGCCGGACTAATGAACGATGGATCACAGAATGATGGGTCTTCCCATGGCAACTAGTGTGTGCTGTCAAGGGGACGCGCTGAGGAAACGGTCCCAACGCCAATGCCTGACGGTCCTTATGTCCTACGTTGCTACCCTTCATATCTGATGCTTCCGGGAATGGAAAGTATCTCATGGCAGGCCTGATTTGCCTGAGGCAACACCCTTGTGACAGAGCATGCTGTCCATGTGGCTGCTCTACACTCAACTAATAGCTGCGAGTGGCACAAAAAGGTTGGCGTTTGTTCCCACCCACCAGGATATCACTCATTCTGGGAAGGTATATGATGTGGTATACCATGGTATACCTTTCTTATCCTTTCTGAAACTTCTTCCTGCGCCAAAAAGAGAGCATGCTGAAATGCCACCGACCTGGATTGCTTTTAACAATTGTGCAGTCAAATTCTCGGTATTGTCATGGACAAAACTCACTGCTACCACCACCGAGGAAAGATATATAGCCAGCTGTGTTTGCAAATCGCAGATTCAAATTGACTGCCAAGCCTGAACAGTTTCAACATGACTTTGTTCTGCAGATTCCGGTCTCCACCTGGACAATTTCACTTCTGAAAAGTCTCGTGTGACTATGTGCCACTCGGAGGTATTAATGGAAGAAAGCATCCCTTGTAAGTGTGGTACTCCTTTGCAAGGGCCGAAACCACGTACCTGAGTAGTGCCACAGCAGCATGGCACCCAGTCCCACCTTCAAGTGGATCTTTGGTTTTGACAATGTTTCAAAAAATTTGAAGGAGTGCAAACAAACCGCGGTAATTAATTGCGGCTTTGCCAGGCGTTCCTTTCTTCATTAAATACATTAAATACATTAAATACTTGATTAGATGTCTTATGATGTCTTTACAATCCCTCTTCCCAACCTTCACGCTGCCGCTGCCCGGGCACGGGATGAGAGCTGCCAGCCGTCCAGGGATGTCGATGATCTCCACAGCCCTCAGCTTGGAAGAATCGTTGGGGGAAATATATGTCAAACGTATATGCCTCCATTGACATGTGATCCTATACCGGATCACGAATAGATGGCATCTGCACTGCGCCAAATAAGATGGCATTTCGAGCAAATGTCAAAAAAAAAATATTTGATGGCATTCGAATAGGTGGGTGGCCCCTGTTGTGCCATCTTAGCGTGCCTGCCCCAATAGGAATAGCAGAATCGCTACGATCAAGTCTAAGTGTGATTTATGGTTTTACCGACACGAGAAATACGTGTTAAAGACCCCTGTGTGCCATCTTAGTGTTGCAAAAAAACGTTTCGTTTTGAGAGGGTTGTTTTTTTCCGTATTGATGGCATACGAATCAACTTTTACCGGGACCATCAATCTGTGACCCCTATACATACTATTAAAATCACTACATAGTATATAAAATATGTATATATATTATGTGATATCATGAGGACTAGACTATATCAACTTTAATACTAAGATATATCGTATTAAGATGCATTAAGTAATATCCTTAATCTACTCGAGTTACTGACTATGTTGACACTATTGGCATCAAAATTCCTCAACGGTGTCTTCACGGGCTGAGGCATAAGCTCCGCGGTCTTGACAATTTCCTCTCAGCATAGCTGAGGTCTGTTCATGACTGCGCAGCATTTTAATATTGAACATAATTTAACAATGTCTTAAGATGATTTAACATTATTTGACATTACTTCACATAATTATCATAATTTATCATGATTAACATGCTTTAATTACGTAGGTCTATTCTCTCGTCACACAACTATTTTCAGCCGGAGATGTGCCAGATTTCCTTGCAAGTCGGTAAGTGTTAGTTAAGACCTCGTCCTTGCCAGCCCCCAGGCTTCCCATTTCAAGTGGAAAATCCTGTGCCTACAGAGTGTTTTCATTAGCTTGCTGACGCTTTGTGCGTCAACATCTGCATGTCATGCAGTCAACAACCCATCCACAAATAAAACGCATGTGTGTAGTAATAACAATGATAACATCAATAACAATAGCAACAACAAGAGTGCCAACAATGATACTATACTACTACTAATAATAAAGATATAAAGATCCTAATACGATTCAATAACAAATAATAACAGTACTATTCGACATCACATTCAGACGTGGCTTAGAAGCCCTGTTCCCTCGACAAACCCGACAACCCAGAGTCCCTTTCTCACATGGGCTCCGATCATCTCCGATCGGGCCCTGAGTCTGTCCTCATCTCCCGAATGCACCTGGAATGGTGCAGAATGTCATTGCATGTCATTGCTACGTAAAGAAATGTAAAGAATACACAAAGGATGAAGATGATGAAGGAAGGTCAGGCAACACGGTGGCAACATGTCTCTTTCATCTGACATCTGACCATGACCAACTCAGCCTGGGCGTCGCATCCATTTCTGTCTGATTCTACATGTTCCCCTTTTGCTTGGGACCTCGAGGGCTACGAAGCGCGGAGTAACCGCCAACCTCTGGGCCTTAACACACGATGACTGCGCCAAACGACAATGAATCGGAATGAATATGATTCATTGCAGGGACTGACTGCATGCATTTGTTATCTCTCTCTCCATCGCAGTGTCCGGGAGTTCATGCATTTGTTATCATTTGCTCATGTTCTTTCTCCGTAACAGGTTGCAACAAATGCCTTCAAGAATTAACGCCGAAACGTTGGGAGGCAATGGGAGGCAAGTTCTTGAAACTCAAGCTTGCAACATCTATCTGAGTCTATCTGCACATAGAAACGCATAATGATTCAGCATAACATGGATGGCGAATTAGAACGGGAACTCTCAGATGCAAATTGGGAACCGAAATGCTGAGATTGCTGCGGTCACCATGGGCTCAGACCGTGACAGGACGCAGTCAACTTTTTTGCAGCTATAGATAGCTACAGTACATGATGTGACCAGCTGTGACATGCGGTGACATGGCATGACATGGCTTTCTGGAGCGCAACAGCTTTGAAATGATAAGCTCAGCACATTCTCTAGACTCATTATATAGACATCAGTAGACTCATAGCAACTCTAAGCAACTCTATAGTTGAGGAGTCGGTGTTTTGATGTGTTTTGCATCTTTCATCATTTGAAGAACCAAGGGGCGACACTTTGGGATTCAGTGAATTTCTGTCACGCTGAGGTGAGTCATGGCGTCTTGACCCCACACTACTCTCTAGATGTAGAGCCCGGGCCAAGCAGTGCAAGCAATCGTGTCAAGAGATGCGATCGCCCAGTCAAAGCATGCAGAAACCAACGGGAAACGAACGGGAAACAAACGGGAAACATATATTTATATAACAATCAAAACTAATCAAAATTTAGTTCAAAATCACACGTCCTGGCTGTAGATCTCCGTGCTGTGCTCTCGTCCTTCGAAACGCCACCTGGGTCCACTGAGTGAAGAAAGTGACGGCACCGGCACCGCACAGCACGTGGCAAGGGGCTTGTTGCCGTCTGTGCCGTCGGACATGGCAATGGCCTGGGGCGGCTTGTGAAAACGGAGTTTTCACGGGAGGAAACCATCGGAACATATGGAAAGTGGATGAAATATGATGAAAGATTATGAAATCTAAGATATAGATGGAAATATATGGCACTGTTCTTCCTATATTTCCTATTTTCATTCTGATCTACACGAAACAAACTTGTCAGAGAGGAAACCACCGGGCCTTATCCAGCAAATCT